GATTTTTAGCCTTCCAAACTCTTTTGGTTAACTTAGTATCATCAGTTTTTGTTAGACTCCCTCTGGAACCAAATCCACATTGAAAAAACAAGCACAGGATTAGGACTTGGGATGATGCCACTAAGAAGACGGGCTTTGCTCTGTGCTTTTCTAGGGATTCGAAGTGATTATGATGAAACTTCCTGAAATGCTAAGTTGAGTTCAAGCACAGACTTGGCCACCAAACCTCCTCTTCTACACAAAGCCCCAACACATACACATGTAAGCCATATATATATATATATTCTTAAATCATTAATGAGAACACTATGAAATCTTCACTCTGCACTAAGTTATGGGGCTTACCTTGACAGCGAGGGAAGACAGGCTTTAACTTTCTCAAGCTCCACAAAGCAACGACTGTAGCGCTCGATCCTACATAGTAGTTAAACATTTTTATTCAGTTCCATGAGAGTATGCTATAGATACATGAAGGCTTAGATAAGGTTGAAAACCAAGCCAACCTTTGCTCAGCTTCGATATCTACACCAACAGATGCTGGAGCTGACAGTGATGAGTAAATTGGTGACCCATACATTCTAACCAGCTTAAGCAGCATATCCAAGGAAACGCTCAAATGCCTAAATAAAAAAGATTAGTGTTAGAAAATTTAAGAACACAAAAGTTGTAAAGATTCATGTCTGTTCTGTGTTTTATATTCTTTTGCATCCATCAGACGTGATTAACTCAGTAAGAAGACTCTTGCCATTTAAGGAAAAGTAAATGCTTACTGATCCATGTCACTTCCTAGAAGAGCTGTTAGAATGGGAAGAAGGGAGGTACACGTATCCAGTGTCATAATCTCATTTCTCTCGGTTATTATACTCAGTACATCCGCGGTAACCTGTAACAAATCAATAAGAAGAGTTGCTTTGGGCTGCTAATCTTTTTTCTCAGATATCACTCTATTAGTAGAAATACAGGATACTTACAGCATTGTCAGCCATCTTCTCCATTGAACCTATCGTGTTCTTTACATCATTCCTTTCCCAATATCTACGAACTACCTGCAAATTGGGTAAAACTATTTAGCAAAAACAAAACTATAGGTCTTTCTAATCCCTAATTCGGACGAGGACCCAACAACATTATCACAACTTCACAGCTTTCATTCATGTTACCTGTAACTTAGCCAAACGAGACTGCATAGAGCTGACAAACTGATCATGTTTTCCCATTATGTCTTCAACAATATTATCTTCAGAAGGAGAATCGTTCCCTTGTTCAACTGGCATATGGTTTCCTCTCTGCTTGAACTACATGGAAGGAATACAATATGTATTATATCTGGGTCTCAGAGGAAAAGAAGCAAAAGCATTACTAGATGTGCTGATGGAAATTTGTAATCACGAAAGTCATGTCTATTCAGTTTCTCTGAAGGTAGTAAGTAACACGTGAGACTAAATAAATCAGAAAAAGAAGTTACGTCTTTGTTCATTACTCTTATTCCTGTCTCCCTATTTTGTTGATGCAATTTATAGTCAGTGTTATAGCACAAGGTAGAAAGAGTCTAAGGCTATTACCATATTTGAAGGGGGAATGTTAGGAGCCGCTACATTTCCAGCTGGAAAATTAGAAACAGGACCCTCGAAGTTGGAAAATCTTCCTCGTCTCTCCCTATTTATGACGAGTGACTGGAATCTTCCTGATATGATAAGACACATGAGTGAGACTTACCAAGTCATTTTCAATAGGAAGGTGAAAGCTGGATCGGAAGATTTACCTCCTTTTCGACTTTCAGTGGGACTTGGTTCTCTACTTGATTTGTGGCTTACCAAGTCATCTGAAACAAAGACTAAAGCTTAGAACTGAGACCATCATCTATCAACTCAACATAGTTAAGGAAATATACAGGGCCAACTACACTAGTGAGTTCTCTGAAACCTCATTAGTACTAACACTATAGGACACTCTTAAGGGCAAGGGGCAAGGGGCAAGGGGCAAAGGTAGTGTAAAACTATCTGCCGACGTTCATATTTTCACAAATAGAGGAAAAGATACAAAGGCACAGCAACTTACAGTTTTCATCGTGGTTTCTTGGAGGAGATCCCATCCGTGACCTTGAATTACTCCTGCCATATCTCTTGTATCTAAAATCGTTGATGCTTCGCTCAGCTGCACCCCGCATGCCACCCTTGCCACCGGGAAATGCATTTTTATCCGGTAGATTACTTGGTTCAACTGGCTGAGACTCGGACATTTCAAGAACTGAAGCGTTTGGCAAATCTTGGTTATCCTTGCTGCTAGGCGACCTTCTAGAATCAGCCGCCTGCAAGGAATAAGGCATGGTTCTTGCAATTATGTCAAGTTCTGCTCTGGATTCAGTCGCCTGTTCTCTTCTAGGGTCTTCTCTGGGGACAAACACCTGAACGAAATCTGCAGCCTTATTGACATGATTCCCCCTTGAGTTAGCTTTTGCAAAATTCCTCCTTGACGTTGCAGCATTTGAGACAGCGTTTGAAACACCCGAAGCAGCTTTTGAAACACTGACTCTATGAGGAGTGCTAGGTACACTTCCCGTGGCTTCAAACAGACACATAACGAGAAACGGCATATCATTTAACCAGCGCTGATATAAATAGTAAGAAGATACCAGAAAATTAATAGAAGCAAAGCATACATGATGATGATGTCCTCGACTCTTTAGCACCGTCTGAATTTTGAGAAACTGACAACCTTCCGAGAGGCTTTGATTCCTTCATCAATGAATCCGAACTTTGGGATGTTGATGACCTTCCAACGGCCTTTGTTTCTTTTGTGGGAGGATCAGAGTTCTGAGTAACAGATAATCGTCCAAGAGACTTTGTTTCCTTCAATAAAGGATCTACGTTCTGGGAAACAGACAGCTTGCCGGGAATAGTCTTTGAGTTATTATCATTGAGAACTACTGGGCCAGACTTTTTCTCTGGTTGTCCATTTGACTGAGCAGCATCTCCAGTATTGCATGGCTCAGTACGCTGGCCATGTATCCGAATATGAGTGGGGGAGGGTAAAGATCATAACCAACAAGCTAAATTTAAAGAAAAGAAAAAAAAACATAATAACGGAGAGAGCTATACCGAGAGATCTACAACCCACACGCCTACACAATTTTGATTGTATGAGCAACCAAGCAGCTTTCCCTCGTGAACATTCATATCTGACAATCTTGACCATCCAACGTCCACTCCATCATGACATCTAATTGGCTCCCACGAGAAAATCTACAATTTGCAGTGGATTAGACTACAAGAGTAACGTAAGGGGAGAAGACATATAAATTGTCAAAGCAAAGGAGTAAACTACAAGAATGAATCCTAAGAGATGATTTTGATTAACATAGTAGTTACATACTGTGTATCAAAGTATGAAAGAATTTACCTTGAGACTTTCTTGCAATCCACAAAGCACCGTCTTTCCATCTGGATTAAAGCTCAGGCAACGGACCCCAGACGTCTAAGCGAAAATGAGAATATTAAAAGGTAGACTGAAAATAAGATGCCACCAAAGTTGAGTCTAACATAAAAGAAGTGGTACCTCAGGTCCACCAGAACCAATTAGCTCGAATGTTTCAAGATCCCAGAATTTTACAGTCCTATCAGCTGAACCTGTTACCATAGGCAAAACCAGGATACTCTCAAATAATGAAAAAGATGACGCCATGACACAGGTATATGAATGGTCAGCTTTCGCTGAGCTGGTTGCCACAACGATACACTGCGATCATTCACTTCTAGCCTGTGAGAGCGTCGATGTTACAAAATTTCAAGACCAATACAAACCTGTTGCCAGCAGAAATTCATGAGGATGAAAATCTAGGCTTTGAATCTGTCCTTCGTGACACTTAAACTCGGTCAATAGTTTTCCAGCTGTTAAATCCCACACCTGGTAAAGACAGACTGCATATCAGATCCATTAAACACAGCTCAAGTGCAGAGAAGTAACACTATACACTCGCAAATTCTCCTCCATGATGAGATACATATATAGAAAGTTAGAAGAAAAACTAATTCCTTTCCGAAAGCCAGTTCATAGAAAAAAATACAGTTTCATTGCTGTAAGCAGCTGTGTTCCCTCCGCAGTAGACAAGACTAAAAAATCTGATATCCAGAAAGGAAGAAATAACCAACAAACATTGAAAGCAGCTACGAACCTTTACAATCTTGTCCTCTCCTCCAGAAACAACCCATCGACCATCTGGAGTGAATCTGAGTACATTGACTCCTCGAGTATGACCCTTGTAAGTATGGATGGGACCTTTTTTCCGTAGATCCCATATCTTAAGGTTCGTGTCTAGTGAGCCAGACGCAAAGAACTCACCAAAAGGGTGAAAATCCACTGATATGCAATTCGACCTGTGACCAGTGAGAGTCCTGACAACTAAACACCAAAGCAAATGAAAGAACGCATTTCAGTAATCACAGGAGTTAAACTGAGCCAAACAAAAAAGGCACTGTATAAACAGCTAAACTTACGCTTTGCCTCCTCCAAATCCCAAAGTTTAATGGTACCACTAGCAGCTCCTGCTGCAACTAAGACCTCCGAAGCATCAAACGTCACTGAATCAATTCCACTCGAGTGCCCATACAAGCTCTGTACACAAAGTGGACAAGAAGTCAATAAACACCTAAACCCTAAAACCAAACACATAATGCACCAAGGCAAGGGAGGATAGAGAACTAACCAGAATGGCGTTGGGCTTACCAATAGCCCAGAGATTGACCTTATGATCTTCCCCACCAGTAACAAGAACCCTAGAAGACTTCCTTCCGATCTTCAGACAGTTAACAGCAGCAGAATGTGCCACAAACTCCTCTACGTAGGACACACACAAAGTCAAGGCTAACCAAAATGCTACAAGGTGAGAAACTCTAGTCAAAAGCTCAACTTGACTTTAAATTCAAAACACATAAGTCTCGAGAGGTCTTTAAATGACTCCACGGGTTTAAAAACAACAAAAGATGAAAAAAAAACAGATCTCGTGAATAAAAGCAGCAGATTAAGCTAATCAAAAGGGACTCTCAGAACGAACAAAACCCTAAAAAAAGGATACGTAGCTTGTAAGCTCGCTTGGTTGAAGTCATGGCGGAAAGGAGACCCTTGCAATGTAGTAGGACATTCAAATCCCAAGAAAGTTCAAAACTTTCTCAAGATCTCACCTTCTCAATCTGAAATCTGCGAAAAAAAAGGGTTAATTTATATTTAAAACGCAGAAATCATATGGGGAAGAGACGAGATAAACGACGCCGTACCAGCAAATGGGGGCTTAACTAACGCAAATCTCAGTCTCCGGTTGCTTCCTATGCTCTCTCTCTCCTCGAAGGAATCAAATTGGGTTTTTGGAAACTGAAAGGAAGAGTCTTTAAACAAAAGGAACTGTTTTTTTTTAATATATCAAAATTGAAAAAAAACCGTCGTTTGTTTGTAGTTGTTGAATGAGAGAAAGAGTACAACTTTATTTTTAAAAAGTGATTTCTCTTTCTCCAATGGCCAAGAGAGAACGACAGAGAGAACAGTACCAAGGGAGGAGGAAGAAGAAGAGAGAAGCGAAAAGGAGGCGCAGAGAGGAGGAGAAAAGAGAGTGAGTCTCTTCTTCTTTTACTTTTTTTTTTTTTTGGTCAAATCTTTTTCTTTTATTTCCTTTCTCCCTCTCTCTATTTCAAATTCCAAAAGAAAACATATTTTCTCATTTAATTCTCTTTTCCGGATATATTCAAATTGTTTCATGCTTCTCTCGTTAGTATCGTTACTCATATTTACATTTACTGTAAAGAATATAAATTTAAGGTAGATTCCATTTACCATTAATCACTACACTAGTAGTGAGTAGTGACACCACTCTTGACTTGTGTTATTATCTTGTAATATAAATCAAATCAACTCTTGTGTTGTTTCCCTTCAACACATTTCGGAAAATTCTATTTCTTCTATATGTTATTTATGCCTACTGAAGACAAATCTTAGATTATAGGAAACAAGTATTATGTTGTTTCATATCAAATCATACATTTTAATCATAGAAGGGTTTTTACATTGCACATTCTGAGTTCCCGGCTTGCGAATTAGATTTTTTCAAGGAATTATTGTTTTTTGAATTTTATGAAACTACTAGCGTCGGTGCTATAATGGTAATGGACATGTAATCATTAATATGTGATTATTGCTTAGATGATAAACATCATCCTATTATCATGGACCCCCTGTCAATAAGTTTTTATGTAGAATTAAAACAGTGTCTCTAAGAAACATTTCGTATTTATTTTGTTCATCTTATAAATAAATAAAAAAGGAAAATTCATCAAAATCAAATATAAAATTACCATTAGTCGGGTAATGTAATCCTTCATCTACTGTTTTGTTTTCTTATAAAGAGTGTTAAAAGAGATATTGATAATGAAGTGTGAGGATGAATAAGCGATACAATAGGGAAATATAAGTAACAGTGACATTAGATAGACCAACGTTGGATCAGACAATAATAATGGTGGAAGGTTTGGCCTGATTACAACGGACGACCTAATTGCATGGGGGCCATGACAGATCCCATCTTCACACACATGACACAACCCAAGTACGCAAACTCTAAATCTAGTTACATCTCTTTTGGATAAACCAAAATAATATCTTGTTTTTCTATAATAACAGTGTTAATTTATATTCTTTCAGTTTGAAAAAAAAAAAGGGAATCCCTTCGTTCTCACCGTACCTGGGCTTTACTCTTGCAATGTCATTTTAAGTAGAAACTGACATTTCACTGGAGAAAATTCACTTACAAAATGAAAGTAAACATATTGTTTTTACAAAAAAAAAGAAGAAGAAAATCACCAGGTACTAACATTCTGTAAAAGAAATGTTTTGATTTGGAAGATGATAGTAACACATTTAAAATTTCAACTTGCAAATGAACATTAACCATGATTTTTTGGTTAAATTATTCTCAAGATAATTGCTAAATAAACACAAGAAGATTGACTGATAAATGAATATATAACTTTTTGAGAAAATGATAAATGAATATTAAAATTATCCCTAAGTGATATAACTTTGTTCTCATCATATCATGTGCAACTAAAACTCAGATGGTAACGTATGTCGATTGTCGAGCACTAGCACAAACTATTAAGCTTTATATATATTCTAGTATTATACAAACTTATTTTCGTTATATATGTTTTTCTCTAACAACTTTACACAATCTCACATAATTATATTATCAGCAGTCCAAACCAATTTATCTTGATTATTACACAACCACTAAAAATATAGAATGATTAGACAAAATTTTGAAACATAAACCTACAATTACGGGTATAAAGCGTTTTGACTTTCAAATTACATGTCCCTTCTAATATAATGAGCTGCCTTGCTTTACAAAGTGCACTCTTGATCATTAAAAAGTTAAAATCAATCATTGCCACCATGGTCTTGCCTGGCATGGCCTAGATGTGCTGTCACTAAATCTGAGTTTTACAATCCAATAATTTTATACATACTTTAACATGTTATAATGTTTTGAAGCTCGAATCTCCTAATTTTAAATAAACGTTGAATGTTTTGAAGACGTTGGAAGACGTGTTACATGGATGTGGTTAGATACTAATAATTAACGAAAAACTTAATTTTAGTACGTTAGAGTCGAGAGCAACAATCAGATTTCTGGCAAATTCAACGTAATGTATTAGATACTAATAATTAACGAAAAAGTTATTAGAGAAAGTTAATGATGAATTTTGTCTACCTAACGACATGTGACGATGCTCTCTCCCTACCTAAAGTATATTGTTGTCGACAAGTCTTTCAAGTTTCTGGAAAGAGCAAACCAGGAGTGGGACTCACGAACCGAAACAATCGGGAAGTTAACATTATTGTAGGTGCAGTACTCTTACATTTCGATCACACATGTTACTGACATTATATGTTTTGTGTTAATAGTATCTCCTACCTTTTGGTGCACGTGTAACATGTTACTGATAGCGATAGGACTGGAATTTGAAATGGTTTGGATACAATTGAAAATTCGAAAGTTGAACCGCCTATTCGATTGCCATTTAGACAGACAGATGGATTTTTGAACGCACGTTTCAACAGTTTATTTGCGAATCCATGAAGGCTATAAAGATCACACAGCTCGTTCACCTCCAAATCAAACTCTAATGATGACTTACTCAAGAGATTCATTCATATGCTATTTGCAAACGTACAAACATTAGAAACAAAAGATCATATGCTAAAGACACCTGAATCCAACAGAGACAACAACGCTTTGCTATCGGAAAGTCACATGGATACTTAAGAGACTGTTTCACCCCTTAAAGTACAATCTACAACATTGTCTAATATCCTAATGAACATTTTGAGAACATGATACTTTCAACGATGTTAATGTCTCAAGTCCTAACTCAATCTACTAGTAAGAATCATTGTGATCCTAAACCCTGTTATCATCCTTGTCATCCTAACCAAGATCCAACCTTTTATTATGCCAACGATGCTAGTATAAATTGCAAACTCCAAATCTAGTTAAACTCCCCAAAGTAGAAAGTTGATCTTGACATGGAGGGTCTGCAACAGCCAACACTCACAGCCAGAATAATTTAGTGAACCAATAATATCCATCAAGATCCAACTTTTCGTTTTCTTCCAAGTTGCAAACTCCAAATCTAGTGAACTCCCCAAGTTGGACACAAACACAGCCTGAGTTCGTCCCCCTTAAGAACCAAGAATTAGTATCAAGATCTAACCTTTTTCGTTTCCTCTAATCTAAAAGAGTCTACACATGTATATATATAAGTAATATTACGAACTCAATAACCAATAGTAACAAACGAGGTTAAAGCAAGAGCTTGTTATGTACTATATGATTGCTAAAAGTATACACATACATCTCAGTATACATACAAATCCTAAAGTAAACACAACAAAAGAAACAAAGAATAATCCTTTTTGTTGTTTCCACATCATCATCACAGATCAATGAACACAAACTCATCTTCCTTAAGATGAGCAACAAACTTGACATTACCACGAAAGAACTCAACTTTATACGGAATATTAGCTGATATTCTTTTCCCTTTCCACACCGCCACGTAATCTTTGAGTTTACCTTCCATCCCTTCCAAATAAACCTCGGGAACACGGTTCACATGATAAACCTTCAACGGCGCCGTTACCTTAACCCTAGACCCTATCTTCGCGTCCGCTTCGATCTCCTCCTCAGACAACGAAGCAGCGGGTTTTACAGCTACGTCGCAACGAATCGTCAGCGTAGAAGCTTTTCTTGAGATTGCAAGATTGGAGTGCCATGGGATTGGTATAAGAAGGAGTGGCGGAAACGGAGAGATGGTTGTGAGAGGACGGAGGGAAGACGGCGGATGTGAACGCCGGTGAAAAAGCGAGGGAGTTACTCATCGGAGTCATAGAGGAGTTGAACAACTGTTTTCTTCTTCTTTCTCGTTTATTATATGTTTTTTTACCGCTCGTAGTAAAATAAAAGTAGAGATGATTTACCGTTTACTACATGTTGAAACCTGAAAAAAGTATTTTGCCGAAAAAAAAGCAAAGAGAAAATGTTAGGAATACCGTAAATTAACTACCAACATTCAAATAAATCACTAATTAAAAATATACGAACATTTAAATTTAGAATTTTGTGATTATTTTTTAAAGTTTAGTATTAATTAATTGTGGTTGAATTTATAATATTTGTGAAAATAATTATTTATTAGTGGTAAATTTGAAAAGTGGTATATAATTTGGGGTAGAATTGAAAATTTTCAAAAAATAAATATATTTAAAAACAAGCAATATGATGTTTGCTGCAAAATTACGCAACACAAATCGTTTTTGTTAACCATTAGATATAAACTTATAATTTCGGATACTAGTTCTAGGTTTTGTTATGTTATAGTGATGCTAATAACTAGTTCAAAAAAAAGTGATGCTTAATACCTACATTTTACTGGATGCTATTGAGTATGATTTGAAGGAAGACGTGTCAATCAAACATGAAGACAAAATAAACGTACGTGTGAATGAAATGGTTAAATAAACGTGCAAGAAGAAGATAGCTGAACTAAGGATAAGAGTGAAAAGGAAAGGAGCAAAGGAGACCAACATGAGGGACACACGGGATGACGAACGTGCGGCTTGCAGTTGATGCTTTTTGAGTTCCGAGTCAGACACACAGAATCTATCTATCTGTACTTCTGCCAGCACCATTAAAAATATCTCCCAATACTTTATTATCATCATCTACGTATGAAAGACCAAGTGTGGCGTACACATGCCCACATATGAGATCACTTCCATGTATATATAATGATTAAACAAGGCATAGGGAGGTTTAAAACAATTAAAACTGTACATATGTTGTGGTGGCCAACATCTACATATAACCCAAAGTAAATATTTAAACCAAACCAGTGGAACTCCATAACAAACCTATACGAGTTGACGAACTCAAGCGTAAGACTTAGGAAACACACACAATTATTGTCGGAAAACACATGTTATAGTACATATATATATATAACTCAAACACACATGAAACAAAAAAAAAAGAGCAAAAGAATATACAAAGGGTTCAGTGTTTAAGGGAACTTATGGAAGGATTGTGATCACAACAGTGTCATTCTCTCATGTCTTTATTTCTCTTACCGCATACGCCGAACCAGAACAAAATCCCCACAAAAATATCTCCAGATATAATATAAACACCCAAACTCTTCCTCTGTCTCTTCTCTCTCTCCATCCACATAATTTGATGAGATTTTAATTTTACTATAAATGTCGTTCAGGAGCGTTACCGATTAATCTGCATTGTTCCGGTAGCATAGTCGATATCACTTCTCCATTCAATGCAAACAGCTCTCCGTCTATACCACAACTGTCATGCGTCTGTTTCCCTGCCTTTACCTTCACCGACCTCACCTGATTCATTTTTGATCAACCACATACTCTTTAGTCAACTTCTGATTAGCATTTTTTCTAATACTATAGGGAAGTAAAAGTAAAACAATTACCTTTACACACTCGACATATGGAAGTGAAAGGTGTCTACCGGTTTGCAGGAGGATAAAAAACCTGAGCAACCTCAGTCTTCCACATCCATGAACCAGGATCATGTCCATCGTACCATCGTCATGTTCTGAGTTTGGAGCCACCACTTGGGAGCTCTGTACAGTCCGACAAGCGTGGTTACATACCATGATGCCGAGGAAATGTCCCTTTCTAGAAACCCATTTATCTTCATATATTGGTGTGAAGCTTTGCCTCCTCAGTCCTGTCTCTATATCCTCAGGAGGACCTGGCAGCTCTATCGGGTTTTCTACATCCCAAGCAGACGGTTCACTGTCCCATTTGGGTCCGGAATCCCAGATCGGACCCGGGTCGGATACAGTAGATGAAATATCTTCTCTGTCATGAGCACCAGTATTCCCCCATGAGCATCGAGTTGAAGGAGGTGGATCCTGCACGGATGTCAACCCCATCCATCCTCTCGTCTTTGACCTTGTCCTTGGCCAATTAGGAGTTGTTGACTGTCCTTGAGGATGAACAACCTCTGTCTCAGCTCCAACATCTCGTCTGCCAGAGGACATGCGTTTCATTTTAGGATCTATTCCACGAACATACTCAGATGGCTCGGCGCTGGCATGTGTGCTGCTACATGTGTCTAGCTCGCCTACGCTTGGAGTCATTATAGAGTCAATACTTGATAGACTGGAGGCTCTAGGCATTCCGTCTCTGCTTGATCTCCTCATCACATCCGTGTAAAGATCTTGAACATCAACAACTTCCTTTTCCTGTCCAATTTTCCCTTCTGTATCTTCCTTTTGCGCCGGAAGATATTCCACTTCATAGCTATACTTTGGCAAACACATGAACTTGAGGAATCCAGCAACTAAGTAACGCATAGGACCGAAACGTTTTTGGTATTTCTCAGAGAGCTCCAAAACTGCAAATAAATAATGACACCACAGTTTATATAGCACATGAATTTTAGATATAGGAAGTGAAGGCGACGAATGTTATATGCATGAAAGTACTGATATGTGGGAATGAATACTTCAGAGCACAAAAATACCAATGGAACCTCTAACAATATAAAGCACAAAGGTCTTCTTACTTACCATCGCTAACAAAACCATAGTAGGAGACAGTCATTCCAAAGTGCATAACACCCGTATGAATCCATTCAACAGCAAAGACATCAGTAGCTGTTAGGCCACCCTAAACCCACAAAATACATCCTTTCCGGTCAGAAAAAAAAATCGAGCGATAATGTTGGTGGCCGGATAAACCACATAAGGGACCAATAGGATGTTATCTCAAAGTACCTTCACAATAGAGAGTGCTGCAGAAATAGGATCTCTAACACCAAGAACAGTCCAAACTAACGAGTTATCCGAGCCAGCAGGTACTATCCCAATTGGGATAGTAACCCTTTCCTTCTGATTGCTTCGAGTAAATAGACCATTAAGAACCTGCAACATTGGAAAAGGGTAAAGCATGAGATGAAAGTTCACTAAGAACCTGCAACATTGGAATTGGGCAAAGCACGGAAAATAGAAAACCAATGCGAAAGTTTAGAAAAGCTAACTATCACACCTCATTGATGATTCCGTCACCTCCAACACAAATTATACCTGGAAAAATTATTGAGATCTCATAAGTCCTAGTAATTATGTAGAAGATAAATGCGCATATAAGAAGCTGAAAATGTGTAAAGCATATCATTAAGTGATGGACCAAGCATTGTACCGTCTGAACATAAGCTTATGTCGACAGTTGAAGCCAACTCTCTCGCGTGACCTGCTTTAGTTGTTTTGACAACCTCCATCTTAATCCCAGCCAGCTGTGAGAGTTTACAAAATCACATACAAGATTCAAAATAAACTACTAATTTAATAAAATTTGCATGAAGAAATTAGAGAAATGGAAATGTTTTCAGGGTAGTGAAGGTGATGACAGCTTCATTTGAAACCTATGTTCTGTTAGTACCTAGTAAATGGTAAAATATTATGATGTAGGCTACGACATCAAAATAAAACAAAAATACGAACAAGGTACCTTAAAAATCGGTTCCACTACATCATGGAAAACTTTAATCGATCGTCCATGCCCTGACCTAGGGTTCAATATAACAAGCATTTTGGGTGCACTCTTACACCTAAAAACCAACTCAGGAGGAGTATCAATAGGAACCGAAAACAACTCAGACGAAGCCTGCTTCTTAGAGACTAAAGGATGTGGCAAACAGTTGATAAAACACTGCTGATCCGCAAAACTCGCCACCCACTGAACAGCTTCCTCCACAGTAGGTGCAATAAAACGGAAATCTTTACGGCTCCTCTTCGGTTTCTTAAAGCAAGAAAGTGCACAAGAGCCCTTCCCAATCGGATAACCATGCACAGTAAAATGCCTAAGACCAACATTATACGTCAACTGTCAAAAAAAACAACAAAAAAACATAGTTAATTTCATTGACTCTGATTCTCAAGAGACGGTAAAACATCTTTTTTTTTACCGAGACGACGTCGTCAAGCTGTAACATATGAGAACCCCAAACCAACGCCTTACTAGTAAGCCTCGCATCAACAGCTTTTTTATTAAACACATCAGCAGAAGCAGAAGATGATTGTTGTATCTCCGTGGCGTCTTTACCACTAACAGACTTTCTTTTATCCAACACAAGTTTTCCAGCATAAACAAGACTACCTAACAAATCAGATTTCTCATCTCCTCCAACTCCACCGATATCAATCCTATGCTCATCACCCTTCGGTTTCACCAGAGTTTCATCATTACCATTACTACTAATCTTCTTCTCACCGCGAGACGCCTTCTTGCTGCTGCTCCGCTTCTCAGGGAACACCACGGGAGAAGACTGCTGAGCTCCGCCGGTGGAGCATAAACCTAACCGCCTAAGCGACTGTTGCTGCGCCGCCGCCTGAGGGATCGATACTTTTAGAGAAGGATTGCGTTTCACGCTCTTCTGCATCTCGTCGAGGAGGCATACACCAGCAAAGGTCAAGATTCACGAGATGATTTGATCAGATCCGTGTCGAAACCTGTGAGAGGATAAGATCGATTTGATTCGTGAAATTCAAAATCGGGATAACGGCAACAGTAGTGAAACAGATCATGAAAATGAATAGAGATGAGAGATTTTGTGAGCTGTTTGTTGTTTTTTTTTTTTTTTGGCTATTTTCGTCTTTTTTTGTTTTTTTACCTTTTAGTCTCTCTCGCTCGGCGAGGAGAAGTGTAGGAGAGAAACGGCGTCGGATCGGAGGATCTGAGATCAAACGGTGAGAATCTGAAGAGAGACGGTAATGGCGGAGATGAGTCGATTCGATTCGGATTGGATTTAGACTTGACAGCAGAAACCTTATGGCCCTTCCTTTCGGATTTATTTCCCACTACAGAACCTTTTTTTGGACTTCTATTTTTTTCAATTTTATTAATTTGTATTTTATTTCTTCCTTTATTTGTTTTTTTTAACAAAACTTACTTTATGTTTTTTTTTTATATTTTATCTTCGCAATTGCTTTATTCGCAAGATAAAATTTTAAATTCGCGGTTATTAATGCGTTTATGTTTGGTTGTTAGATTTGGGTTACTGACTAAAACTATATACTAATTTTGTTTTTTTTTTAAAACAAACTAACATACTAATTTTGTTAAATAATTGTAGATGGGTGGAGACTGTATAACCCTTTAAATACCAATGTTATCTAGATAAGTTGAATAATGATCTTATCAAAACTCAAAAAGTGTACACTATGCAAAGTTAATATAAACTTGATAAAATCTTGCTATATGGAAAGTCACTCATGGTAAAATATATTCATACTGCAAAGGAAAAGAAATCCAGATCATTATCCGGATATTATGAAATCCATATAACATAAATGTGATTTTGAAAATAACTTAAAACATAAACCATAACCTATCTATCTTTCTTATTTTCTACGTTAAACATTACAATCTTCATATGTATGTAACCAATCATCTCTTTTGAAAAAATCAACACCTAAATCACCGACTTTCACTTTATAATTTTGATAAATCATTTATTTGATATATTGTTATACAAACACGAGACACAAAACAACTAATATTTTAAAAAAGAAAAAAAAGCTGTAAATCACTAAGAAAGTCAACCACCGTTATACCAAATTTAGAAATGATATCATAATTCTAAGTGAATGGTGCTGAACTACTACGGTTTGTAGTTTACCGTGTCGTGTTTACTATTAGATGCCATCGAATATGCTGACTACATGATGTAACAAACAAACAAAACTCTTTACATATAGATTAAGCTTAGCTGTCAAAATACTATTACCCTTTCTTGACTTAAAAATAGCTAGCTGTTACTTGTTAGAGAAACGACCATGATGCTATGTTTAGCTTAGTAATAACCTTTAATATAAAATTTAAAAAGCTGATTAGAGAAGGATTAGTGGAAGAAGTTGGTAGATGGGAAGATGGTCCCTTGTCGAAAAGAACCATAAAAATAATTGAAGTGGAAAATTAGTTTGGTTCATTTAATTTAGAAATTCGACCAACAGACAAGTGATGCTTCGGGTATAAGAATTGTTAAAGAGAGCATCTTCTTCTTATTATAAAAGCTGGGACATCAAAAAAGCCATTATTGCTTTATCATTGTTTTGTATTACTTAAATAAACTCTAGAAGTCATTCAAATAAATGATACCAATTTCTGGGTGGAATATTCATTGCAGGTTCCTGATACATTGTAACACGTCTTCTACAAATTATTTGACCCAATAACAAACACACGCCTTTCTTTAAGAAAGTTAGTACGAAGAGTATAATTTTTTGTTTGTAAGCAATCATGAACTATATATCTATATTGGTTAGTTGCGATTTGAGAATGTAGCCATTACATACTTTTGATTAAATACTAAACTGGTGTTTAATATCAGAAGAACATGTTTAGACCGTGTTGTTTTGAAAAAAAATAAAAAAAATCTAAGCTAATATGGACTGTAGTATCATTTGGGCCTTACTCTTGTCCAATTTTTAATTAATGGGCTTCACAAACCTCAATTCGGTTAACTTTTCCCACTGAACCATAAAAACAACCTTAACCACAAAATTACATAACCGGTAACGGTTTAGTAGCAACGCTAAACAAAATGTAGAAAAAAAAAAACATTTCTGTCACCGATTGAAGATTCTCACTGTCACATTCATCGATTTTCCTCGAAAGTTCGTAAATTTATGTAAATTGGGGATTGAAAGTTCTAACCTTTTTAATAGCTTAGATAGTTAGATGGATGATTACAATCGAAATGTGACTGGTTCGAGTAGAAAGAGGTCGTCGTGGGGTTCAAGAAACCTAATTGAGTTTCTTGAATCACTTGGTAGAGATATCACTAACAAGATCTCAGAGAACGATGTTACAACGGTTATAACGAAATATATCCGTGAAAATCATTTAATGTCGAAGAAGAGGAAGATAAAGACAAAGACAGTAGTAGCTTGCGATGAGAGGTTGCGTTTGCTGTTCGAGAGAAGGGAGATAAGCATAGTCAAGCTCCCTGATCTTGTAGCCAAGCTTTTTAATGAGAAACAGAGATTGAGTTCATCAGATGAGATGGGTGAACAGGTTGTGCAAAAGCCTGCAATAGTGAGAGATGACATCAAGATTCTGTATCTGAGGAAGAGTTTGGTTCAGGAACTGGCAAAGAGTTTTGAAACCTTTGAGAGTAAAGTGGTGGGGGGTTTTGTGAGGATCATGAATCCTTACCAGCTTGTTCAAGTTACAGGTAAGCTTAATCTTGATATAAAGCCTATTTGGGCAGATCACATTTGCTTGAGATTTTGAGTCTGATCATTTGTGACCTCGTCTAACTATGTAATCTCTAATCATATGTCTTAGATACTTCATCAAATTTATATAGTATGTTTCAGGAGGTTGTGATTCTCTTTTGTGTGTTTGTTTCTTTGTTGTTTAGGTGTGAAGGAGGGGAATCCAGTTGATGGTCACCTTCTTCAGGTTACAAATTATTCTTATCATTTAGAAGATGTTACTTTCTCTCTTCTGTCAGATGATGATTTCTCTCAGGTAGTATTCTCAAAACTATGCTTTTGTTCCACTTTAGTGCTTTTGATAGATGACAATCAGGGAAATAGCTGAACAGTATTCGAGACCTTTCTTTCTTTCTTTTGAGCATATATTCAAATCACCACTAGTCACATCTTCATTCTAGAAAACATCTTGACATGTACTGTTTTCTGTTTATCAGGAAGAATGTGAAGAACTGCATCAGAGAATAAAGAATGGCTTTGTTAAGAGATTTACAGTTGTAAGTTTCTTTGTACATATTAAGTAGATAATAGTCCCTCAATTTTGCAGACATGTTTTTGGAAATTTTTTTTGCTTTCTAGTGGATGTTTGTATTACTCAACATATACTCCTGTAACCTACTCACACTGGTGTTTATTCTAGTGCTTCTCGTTTATTCTAGCTCTCTAACTAAACCCACTTTATCCATGAACAGGTGGATATGGAAGAAAAGGTCCGAAGTCTGCATGAAGATGTGACAAAACATGTATGTTGTTGCTAGCTTGCTCTCTGTTTGACATGATATCAGATCAGATACATACCTTATTCATTTGCAACTCTTTTTTATCTCACGTTTGAATGTGACTACCATGATAACGTCTAACGTCATAGTACCCTTGATATAATGTTACATGATATTTCTGTTGGTATTGCATGATACCATGATAACAGTCTAGGCTATTGCATGAAGTTCCGGAAGTTGTGGCAGAAGAACTTGAACCTGAGCGTGTAAATGATGACAAGAAAACAGAAAATGACTTCATCGAACCAAATAATGACGCTTCCTTTGAGGCTCATCAATGTGACAAAGAACAAGAACTAAGTGATACAACAGTTTCTAGCAACCAGGAAACTCTCCTCGATGGAGAAAACCAGCCAACATTGACTGCTTCTGCAGGTGCGTCCCATCCTTTATAACTAACAGTTCATTTATAGGAATCCTATCATAGAATCAACGAATCATCTTCTCTGTTTGTGTGAATTGCAGGTGATAAAGATCTCAATGGAGAAGTCCTCCAGCATCCAGCAAATGGCACCACACAGAACAAGTGCTCCACCAGTGAAGCAGAGGTGATTGTTCTCGAAGCTCAACCAAATCCTATAGAGATTATCCAACTGAGCGATGATGACGATGATGCTGTTAAGGACAAGAACAACCGAGATGACAAACATTGTGATCCAACCAAGGTATTGTGGTTCTATGAACTCCCTAAAGGACAAACACACGGACCATTCTCCATCACAGCTCTCAAAAAATGGAACGAAGATGAATACTTCACTGAGATCCCAGATTTCAAAGTATGGATGAGAGGAGAGAGCGCAGAATCTGCAGTCTCACTAACCAAACTTCTATCTTATATCAAAACCTAATTTAAAAGAAAAAAAAAACTTGAAAAGCAGTTGAGAAGTAAACATCAAGTAAAAGCAGCTGTTGTTGATAGTTATCAATGCAAAAGATTCCAACTTTTTGGTTTAATTCAAAATATATAAATATCAATTCTTTTTACAGATAATACGTAATTACAATGATCTCATTAGTGATGCTAATTAGTACAATTAAAAAAAATATTAACGACAAGGTCAGCACACTCACCACCAGTTCTCGAATTAAAAAAAGAAAATTGATAAGAGACAGAGACAGAGTTTGCTTGAAGAAGACGACCACGACAGAGAGGGAGGAAAGTTTCTTTCTTTCTTTCTGTTCAAATCCATTTCTTTGGCCTTTTCATTATTGTGTGATTGCGAGATTCGTCCAAATCTACACGCTTGAGATTAGAGGTTTCTGGGCTTTTTTCTCTCTGTTTTATTCGTGTGAGATTGGTTCAGAATGAGATCATGTGAGTGAAGGAGGAGTATGGGAGAGGAAAGTCAGTTCCTTTGTAACAGTTTTGGAGATTTGATGGAGAACGGTGATGAGGAGAGACTTACCCAAGTGGGTACCCAAGGTTCTTCTGGGTCGTTGGAAAACGAGTTTAAAAATGATAACTTGATGCAGGTTATTAAAGCTGTTGAAGCAGCTGAAACCACCATCAAGCAGCAGGTCTGGTCTCTCTGTTTCTATTTCTATGTGTTTCTGTTTGGGATTTGATTCAAAATTTTGAAACTCATTCACTCCATTTCCAGGAGTTGTGTGTAATTTATTTATTGGCATGTCTGATTTTATTAGCTGTGGGAATGTCTATGAGATGAATAAGTATCTGGATTGTAGAATCTGTCTCTTGTCTCTTACCATTTGTAATGGCAACTTTGATGGTAGTCTGATTGGAAAATTTTATTAAGCAACTATTTACAACTAGGGGAAAGGGGACAGGGCCGGTCTTGAGATTTTGGAGGATGTAGGTGATTTAGTAAAGTTTTTAATTAATTTATTTTTACATCTTTAGAATTTTTGGGGGATTATAGGCCAATGTTTCATTTGGTTATGCCCAGATACTAGCAGATGATACAACATATACGGATGGTTTTTGTTTGCAATCTTAGTGTTTTGGTAATCTAAGATAGTGTTCTTTCTCTAAGCAGGTGGAGGAGAATAGCCGTTTAAAAGCTGAACTTGAGAGAAGTATTCTGGAACTTGCGAAATATGTAAGTATATTGTGTATGCATTTATCTGGTTGAAGAACCAGTATTTCACAGAATCTTTGTGGATCTTTTTCTTTAGTTATTTGTGATTTACATGCTAGTTTTTTTGCTTTTGTTCTGTTTCTTGCCTAGAAATCAGATGGATCATTTCCACAAACATCTAATCTCGGAGATCACTCAAATGCTACTACTGCGTCTCACCTGGTTCACCAGCCAGTTGCTGAATCACCGGGAATGCTGGTTGTTCACTCCTATGGGAATACAAATGGCGAAGAAGCTACTGTGAGCAATCGTTTCGAAAGGCCCTCTGAGGACTATCTGGCTAATGGCATTGACAGAGGAGCTACAAGTGGTGCTGGTCCGTCTCAGTTTTATTATCCATCACCTACATCATCTCCTGTGAGGTACTGAAATTCAAAACCACCACTCTGCCATGTCTTTTGCTCAGCCGAATTTCTGTGAACACGATGTTTAATTCTCAAGATCCGATTCCTCATAGAACGCAGTTGGAAGGAGTACATGGCACACAAATAAATGCATCTTCTCATCGATTTATGGCAGTTGGTGAAGTAAATGATTCGGGCAATGCTGGGAAGCAGGTCTCCATCACACTTACTACATCTTGGTTTTCTTCGTGAATGAAAAATTATTTTGCTGACTATGTATGTACTACCTATTCAGGACCTCATTCACAAGGTCCAGGAACAAGAGCAAGAAATTTCGCAATTGAGGAGATATCTTGGTGACTGTTCTGTTAAGGTGAGTCTTGATAGACACGAGAGATCTTATCTCACTATTGGCTCTTTATGCTTCGTACTTTTCTAGTCCCTTGAGATTTATTTGTGGTTGAGTTGGGAACATATCGATGCTTATGGTTCCTGTCTAGTTACTGCCCTCTTTAAGTGAACAGAACAGTAAATGAAAATACTTATGCTTTGGATCAATATGAGTTTGCTATAAACAGAGTAGGTATTCTCAAGGATAGTCTTCCTGCTACTTAGAGAGACATGCAAATATCTTACTCTACTTCGCTGGAGAAATGGCAAACTCCTACTCATCTAAACCAAAGATAATTTTCATGCCTGCTTCTATAGAATGCAAAAAATATGAAATCAAAGAGTAATTGACATAATTAAATCAATAGCCTTTGGTTCATCCCTTACATTTTCTTTGTTGATTTTATGCTAAATCATCTGACGAACATTTTAAATATTTTGTTAGGAAGCTCAAATCCGCAATGAAAAATATGTTCTGGAGAAGCGGATTGCCTACATGCGTCTGGTTGGCCTTTCATTACTTTTATATTCTTACCTGTTTATTTCATCTCATACTAAATCTTTTTAATTTTGGAAGTTGTTTGAGCGCTCAAATATATATTTTCTCCTGTTGTAAACCAGGCATTTGATCAACAGCAAGAAGATCTTGTTGACGCTGCAGCAAAAGCTCTCTCTTACAGACAAGAGATAATTGAGGAAAATATACGCCTAACATATGCCTTACAGGTACTGTTGGTAACTACTACATAGTGCTACTGGTTTTTATAACTATGCTAAAACTGGTTAGTTTTAAATTGAAGTGAAATATGCCTTTCTGTTTCTCCAGGCTACACAGCAAGAGAGATCTACATTTGTATCATACTTGTTACCTCTTCTCTCGGAATATTCTCTACAGCCACAGGTTTCTGATGCACAGTCTATTGTTAGCAATGTGAAGGTCAGTTCCAATCTCTAAAGTGATGTTTCTTGTTATCTCTTATGTTTTTTATCAGAACTTCCGTCGGAATCTAAAACCAATTCACATCCCTTGATGTTCATAGAACCAAAATAAAATGCAGAAAATATTTAGCATAAAACAGCCTCATGAGTAACTATTGATGGCCTTTTGTTTCTTCTCAGCGGCTTATTTAGAAACAATGCATAGTTTTAGATTTACATGCAAATGGTCATTTGAGTGCATTTATGGGGGTATCCTCACTGATTAACGGAGCAGTTGACATGGTTTTGAGATTAGTGGATAAAGAAGCATAAGAACTTGCTAGTCTCGTAGAAATATGAAGAGTCTTGGAGAAATATATTTGATAGTAAAGTTTTTCTTGCATTTTGTATCCTGTTAACAGTAGTAATTTGTGTATGACGCTTATAGTTATGGGCATTTATCTTCAGGTTCTATTTAAGCATCTACAAGAGAAGCTTCTTCTTACTGAGGTATGTTATGCGGGCATGGGCGTGTATATGATGTATTTCCTACTGACATTTGATTGATGATTCTTTCTGATTTGTTATTATGCTCTAGGCAAAGTTAAAAGAGTCAGAATATCAATTAGCACATTGGCAGTCAGATGTGAACCACTCAAATGATTCCCATTTGGCCCCATTTCCAGCAGCTGGTGTAGCGTTAACCCACTCAGTATGTTCATATTTCTCAGTTTTATATCATAAACTTGATGAATGAACTGAGTCTTAAATGACTTCTTGTGTTTCAATAAGCCGAAGGATTCCCTATATTCCCCTGATCAAGCAGCCACAGACTGGGGTTCGAAGCGCTGGACTCAAGATGAGCCAAGTAGCTCAACTATGGGGAGTTACCGTATTGATGGTCCTAATAAATTTTCATCTCCTGTGAACGGGTGAGTTTGTCACTGCAGAGCTTCTTGTTTCAAACTTTATGTTCATGAAACCTTACATGTAGTTGGTAGAGCATTGAATATATCGATCACCTAATTGCTGTAATAGGTTGGGTTCCTTCACTTGTAAACCATCCAAATAACTACAAGCAAAATATTTAGCTTATTTCTCTTTCTTAGGGCCTAATCCGGAGGGCTGACTTAGCTACCCGGGAGGGGAGAAAAGGAGTTTACTGCCACATGTATCGTTAGGAAGGAACAAGCTGTGACATTTTGCTTCATTGTTTGTTAATGATCCTTGACTCTTAAAATTGTCTTACAAGTCATTTGACAGCGATGACTCTTGACTTTAATTGTTGGGTCTTGACGCATGAAACACGCTGATAAGTTATTTGATTTAACTTGACTATTGACGCTTGAGTCTTTCCTGTTGACCCTGAAAATTCCTTGTTATAAGCTCATTCTTTCTATCCCTCTTCCTACACGTTGAGTGTTAAAAGAAATTTCTTGTAGGGTTAGTTTTTCTAGTTTCCTGTTCCCTCTGGGTGATATGATGATCTCAAAAGAATCAGATTAGTCATTAGCCATATAAGGTGTTGTCAAAAGAATCAGATTAGTCATTAGCCATATAAGGTGTTGTTCTTTTCTCTGTATCGTTTTACGACTTGATCTATCACGAGGTGCCATTTTATAGATCAATTAACGGTTATGAGTAAGATCAACCTGTAGCTTCATGACGTTTCTTAGTGCTATCCTGGTTGTATGCACAGTATTCCTTGGGGATGATGTTGAATAGTTAGATGATAAACTGTGTTTCATGTGTACCAGTCAGTTGGCTGCCTTTGAGAGGACTCAGCAAGCAGGTACTAGTGAAGAAGAATCTAATGGTTGGAAGCAAGTAGACGAAGCTCAAACTAAGCATGTTAAATTTCGTGAGCCTCTCAGCAAGATAGTTCTGGACGATGCAGAAGGACAGTCAGATACCAAAAATCCACCATATGTCCCTGTGTTTGATGTTCCTAGCTCCTCAAATTCTCCTCCTTTGCCCTCCGTTCGTGAAGAGCCATCATCGTCCTCTTCGGAGGGTAATGATTAATCATAATGGCATATTATTTACGCCATTACGGCCTTTGACTTGTCTCTTTATTTTGAACCACTGTCGACAGATACGGAAGTTGAGCCGTTACCAGCTATAGAGGATCTTCAAATTTCAGGAGAACCTTATCCTGGTCATGAGCTTCAGGCTTGTGGTTACTCTGTAAATGGAACAACAAGTTGTAATTTTGAGGTAAGTAATGAAGCGAAGACAGAAGTGCTTTCTTATTTTTGTTGAGATGCATCTAAGTATACCTTTCTCTTCATTGAGCAGTGGGTATGTCATCTAGAAGATGGATCTGTGAATTACATTGATGGTATACATCCACCTCCTGCTGACCATATCTTTTATTCTTGAGTTTCCCTTTCCTATTTTTTTTTCTTTTAACTTGATATGGAAATACAAACTTTTCAAATGCAGGAGCAAAGCAGCCAAATTATCTTGTCACTGCTGATGATGTTGATCTATATCTTGCTATTGAAGTTCAGCCTTTGGATGACAGGAACCGCAAGGTTAATATCTTTGCTTATGAATAGGATTATTTTTGGGGTAACTGTTTTCTCTGAAAGCATTGTGATACTTCTAGAATCTTGATCCAAACTGTTGTTTCCATTATTTCATTTGTTCGTGTGTGGAGTAGCCTTCACGCGAAAACTTGTGAGGGGAATATATTAGCCACTTCCTTAAATACAATCTACAGTGAGAGAGCTGGGTTTGGTGTGCTTACAGTATTGTAGCTTGCTGAGTAAGTTATAGTTTTTTCATGTGGTTTCCAGTAGTTATCTGCTTTACTTTTTGATTTCAGGGGGAGCTTGTCAAGGTCTTTGCCAATGAAAATCGGAAGATAACTTGCCGTAAGTCTATCTATCTGTGGTTCCCTTGAATCTGAAGCATTCTTGGAGAACTGAATGATATTTTTTTTGGCATAAATATAGGTAGCAGTAATCTTCTTTTATTTTCACAGATCCAGAGATGCAGAGCCATATAGAGAAGAATCTTCATAGTGGTCATGCTTCATACAAAATTTCTGTTTCGGTATAACATTTTTCCTTTTCAACTATGTTTGGGCTTAAGTGTTATGTGGCTTCTCTTGAATTAACACATCATATGCATGTGGATTTGTACAGACTGGTTTCCTAGATATATGGGAAGACGCTACGCTGTCTATAAAGAAAGAAGGTTATAGTATCAAGTGTAATAACGATATCATAGTCGCAGAAAAGTTCTCATCTTCTACTGCTGTAAGACTTTTGCCTTCTCTGTTTCTGTCCTTTCTTCTCATAAAATACTGTCTCCTGTCTGTGAAACGTGTGGCTATGCTGGTAGAGAGGATTGTGTGTTGCTATGCTGGTAGAGAGGATTGTGTGTTGCTATGCTGGTAGAGAGGATTGTGTGTTGCTATGCTGGTAGAGAGGATTGTGCAGCTTTGCATGTTAAAATAGTTGCTATAAGCTTGTCCCATTTTTATAAGTTAAAGTATTAGAGCCTCTGAATCAATATCTTGTGCACAGTTTTTCTTTTTGCATGCATGTTCATCAAGCAAATTGTAGTTTACTGATTTGTATACTGTTGTTACTATATGATCAATGTAATTGTGTTAATGAATTTTTATTTGATTGGTTTTATGGAAATAGGGAAGGCAACGAGGTTTGAACTAATATCAAAATCTTTCTTCTGGTATTTCTATAGGTAACAATTCCGTTTGGGCAGCCTGCAGAATTTGTTATAGTTGCTTCTGATGGTACCGAGCATTTCTTACGAGCAGATAATGGATCAGCAGACCTTAGCTGGTAAGCAGAACTTAACTTTCTTACAAAGAGGAAAGTAGACCACAAGAATGCTTCGAGTTTGTTGAGCCTGAAAATGGATAATTAGGTTGAAAATAGTAAGTGAGTTCAAAAGAGGATTGATCTAAGCTTGGTCCATTGGGATGTGAGATTATATAAACTTGATCTGGATCAATCACTATATATGTTTGGTCCTATGATCTTATGGGATAAATGAATCTATGAATCTCAGTATGATTTGAGAAACAAGTAACAGGGAAGAGAATCACACTGTCATCCTGTCTTGTGTGTTCTTATTGTTCATTGGATGTCTGTTACAAGCTATTGATATTCTGTCTTCTTTGGCAGCTCAAGAGATACAATAGTACTTACCCTGAGATTATTCATCATGAGGGTAAGTTCATTCTCTAATTCACTACATTCTCAAATAGACAAAAATGCAGCCAATCAAAGGTTACTTATTTTCTGACTTGCTAATTTTGCAGGCTCTACAGAGAAAGAAGGGAAAGAAGAGAGGATTTTTGTTTCACAAATGAGAATTTTTGTATATAATTACTATTTTGAGCTTGGCTTATATAACAGCTTACATTTATAAGGCCTTGTTAAACAATTCATTCATGAGAGAAAAACAACAATCTTTGTCCCTTGTTTATATATAATAACCCACTAAAGTTACATCTGATCACTCCAAATATCACTGCTCTGCAGTTACAGTACAATGTATTTTGTTGATCTGTTTGATAACACTAACCAATTAGCCACAGCGGCTTTGTTACAAAGATGAGTAAATAAGTTTTAAGGGGATATGATCATATGATACAACAACAATGAAGTAACAGGTAAGTACTGCTGATTTAGAAATCAAGCATATGTTCAGCTGTGTCGGAATTTAGGCCGCACTGTGATAACACCTGGTCTGGTCTCATCAAACCAGTACCTGATAAAGGCAACATTCCATTACTCAGCTAGTTGTTCATGCTACTGATAAATAAAGAAGTCAAAAGAGATAATGTTGTTCACCTGTTATCTTCAAGGAATGTCTTCACAGCTTGAGGAAGTGAAGCATGTTCACGACTATGTTTACCAATACCTACAAAGGATGTAGAAATTCACTGTCACAGAAAAATTGGAAATATCACTTCACTTGATACTTCATAAACACAAAATGGGCATACCTGTTACAACCTGCAATGAGTTTCGTAGTTCTCTAGAAGTTCTTTGACGGTCCACGTCTAATCTACCACAAGGCTCTTGTGATGGAGATCGCAGAGCCGCGTTCTTTGACCTACCTCTATTTGGTGATACTGAACGGTTCACTGTGAACTGACTTTCGATCTTTTGCAAACGTTCTTGTAACACTTGAACAGCTTCTGCTGCATGGAGACCATGTAGGTCCAACTTCGATATGTCGTTATTCCTGTTTGTTATACCTAAGATCTTATTGGCTGCCACCGCATTTAGCTTCTCAGCTGTTGACCAATCCTCTCTTGCTTTCACCGAATGCTGCTTAGCAGAAGCATGATCACCTCTCATAAAAGCATTTTGAGCAGCTCTTGAATGGTTTGAGGCTGATCTGTTTAAAAGAAAAGGAGAGCTTCTCAAGACATTGACTATCCCGTAGTTTTGAAATTAAATTCAAGACATGAACTCTGGATTAGGTTATAGACAAAAGCAATCAAGGGATAGATTAACTATCAAACGTTAATTATAAACAACTCAGCACAAAGATGATATAAGCCTTTGTTGTACCTCATCATTTTCAGTGCATCCTTTCTATGAGTCAAGTAGAGATCATCTTGTTCCCAATCAGGTTCTATGGGAATGGACTGAATCTGCTGAATGATACTATCTAGTTCAGAAACATCATCTTGTAGCTTTTCACGGTCATTTGCATTCACAAGAAACGAACTTCCACCATTCTCTTGCAGATCATACTTGCCAACATTCTCATACGTAGACCTTGGAGCCATATTCACCGAACTTGTAACAGTTCTCCCAGATACTAAATAACCATCGATCTTGGAAGTTGGACCCTCTACTTCCTTAATGTCACTCTTGTCTACTGAACTACCAGTAGGAGCCATTCCTTTCAAAAAATCTAAAGCCATCTCAAAATTATCATCTGTGGATAACAATACATCCCTTATTAAGTTATCATCTGCCCAGCTGTTCATCTCCTTCAGCTTCCTAAAGGCTGAATCATGACTATTTACCGTTGGAGTCAAAGTGTTCGGTTTGCTTCTGCAATCTTTGTTATTCTCTGTCAATGCTGGAAATTTCAAAGGAGATAAGAGCACAGAAGAGAAAGACTTTTCAGAAGATTCATGATTTCTTCTGACCAGCTTTCCTCTCACATCTAAGGGCGGATTAACACTAGTTGAAACAGGAGGGAAGGGATCATCATCATCCTCAATCTGGATTTGGAGACCTTGTTTCTGTTTCTCCTTGAGATCAAACGCAGTCCAACCAGATGATTTACCTTTCATCCATGACATGTTTTTGTATTTGTATTATCTCTCACAGTAACTGATCATCTCTCATTTCTCATCACATTGATACTTCCTTCAGAGGTCAAATGAACTGCAACAAAACTCAAAAACCATATCATTATGAACATCTAACACACCAAACAGTTTTCAAAAAGGGTTTGAATCTACAGTCAGTTTAAAGCCCACCCCTTTCTCATGAAAAAGGAAAAAAAAAACAAAAAGTTTATGTGTGTTGCATAAAGTTAAGTCCTTTAGTTAGTTAAACATTTTCAAACAAAGTAACATTCATTGTAAAAAAAGTTTTTTTTATTTGAATCCAATTTAACATTCATTTAAGAAAAAAAAAAGTCAAAGCCTTTATAGTTCCATTAAAAAGACAGAACAAAAAACACATGTGATTAGGGTAAAAGTAAATATTATTGACTGCAGCGCAAGTAACAAACATAAAGCTAAGATTTTATATACTACAACGGAGAAAAAACAAACGAAACCCTAAATATTGACGGCGCAGCTAAAGCGGGGCGAAGAAGGTGGGACTAACCTATGGCCAATGAAATCGAGAAGTCACGGTTTGAATTTTGTCGGAGGGATAAAGACGGCCGGTAATAAGATTGACGGCGAAGGAAACCAATAGAGAAATTTGTCGGCGAGGAGAGAGAGAGAAAAGCTGCAAATTTTGCATTTAATTACGAAACTGACCTTGCTGTCGGGGATCAAATTTATTAAAACAGAATCATTGCTATTATTTACCCTTGGTATATCCTGGAATATTACTTTTGTGCCATTGAACTACCTTTAAATAAACTAATTATTTCTACATATTCTTACCATTATGAATATTGATATATGTTACAACCTCTCCTTATTCCTACATTATAGGAACCCATCACTCTCATATTTTTATCTTACAACTGCTCTCAATTTTATGTAAACTAAAATAGATAGTTGCATAATATATTTGAACGTGTGATCAATAATTATGTTTTCCGGTGTTAAAGGCAATACAATGTTATTTAAAGAGGAGAAACTATTTTGATTTTGACTTTAACTTTTTATTGGAAATAACTTTTTTTTGTTGGAAAAAAAATTATAACTGTCATAAACTATACTAATAAATAGTATCTTTAGAATTTTATTAGTCTACATATTAACTATATCTATAAAAACATGATCATGACTAATTGATAAATATTTGGTCCAACTATTTATTATTTAATTATTGTTATATCAATAACATTATCTTTTTAAATATTATTCATTAAATATAAATACAATTCTAGAAATAAAGAAAACAAAAATTAAAACATTAAACTTCTCAAAAATATTAAAACAAAAGTATACCCGCCCTTTGAAGGGCGGGTCAAAATCTAGTTTTGATTATTTTGAACTCAATAATTGGTCACCCCCTGATTATTAAATTTGTAACCATTGGCCATGGATTCAATCACCATTCTTTTCTTTTCCATTTTCTCTGTTTACATGAACGGGCTCTTATTGGGCCGTAAAGGCCCATATTTGTCTAAATTCAAACCTATGGCAATTCTACTGATATGCATGCATGCACGCCATCAGAAAGGGTTTGAATCTAAATTCATTTAGTAGTTCTTTAGCTTGATTTTCATATGGACGATTGAATGTTTTATGTAGGATTAATTCCATTTTCAGATGATATCATAATATCCTAACAAGTAACAACCACCATCAGCATTTTCATACAATTTATGTCCTCACAAAGCCTAGATAAGAAAGAGACTACTAACTTACACTGATATCTAAAAGAGGCCAGACACAAACCCATACCTTGTTATAACCTTTGTCTGTTTGTCATAATGGATAAATGAGTTGTGATATAAAATTGCGTCTATAAATATTTTATTTGTGTCTCTATTTATTTTCGACTTTTGGAAGTAATTGACAGAATCTCTATAAGCTGATAGACAGTTCACCTAATTCATTCAAATGGTATGGGTTCAGCCTAAAAGTCGTCTCAGTTAACCATTTCTTCTGAACTAAGAATTCATTTTAGCAGTATCGTGTAAACAATAAATTAACAAAGAGTGTGCATGATAGAAAAACACATGAGCTATAGTTTGTTTTCAGCGGTCAATAATGTTGATAAAAAATTTGTAGTCATGATTATTTTAATACAATATTATAAGATATCATGTTCAATCATTGTCTTAAATATGAACTAAAGAATAGTATTAAGGTCTCGATGGAATCAACACACTGTTTTCTTGTATATACGTTTACATCTATGGTGGTCCAAACTGTGATGTAATTTTCACTTTACATTTACAAGAATAAAAGAAAGAAAATGGAGAGAAATTCACACTTGGCATATTAGACATGTCGCTATGAGTATGTAAATGCATCTTTACTCAAAATGTAAATAACATACGTAGATTACAAAGCTGAACAAGCGTGGTAGTTGGATAGAGTAAATAGGCATTCGTATCGGCATTGATGTCTTCTGTATAAATGAATTATTGCCTGCTTCACTTTAAACCGAACTACTCAACCACTTACCTTTCCTAGGAATGGCCTCACCTGCTCGTCCTCGACTCATATAATAAGCATAAAACATAAATAAATGAAAGAAACATTTTATATTTTTAAAAAGCTTCCTATTTGTTAAAATGAAAAAAAAAACGAATGAAGCTCTGATAGACCACCTCCATCCATTAGAGACCCTAATGGATTCTTCAGATTAAATTAGAGGTTATTTTTGTGATTTGATAACTTTAGAACTTTTGTTAATTTATTTATCTTTTTTCATCCTCTATTAGGAGAACTTCATCGAAGTTCTTAAAAGAAAAATTTTAATTTTTTTTTTAAGTTGAATGATTTGAAAGAAAAGAATACATAATTTTTTATTAAAATGACATAAAAACATATTAAAAATATAAATACAAATCGTAAACAGAAAAAACTGATTAATTGAAATCTCGATTTACTCCAATTTTTTGCCATATTCTCAACTAAATCCACTTTCAATTATTGATGTATTGTTTTGTCATGTCTAATGATACAAAATCCCTCATGAATTCTTAAGAGAGAGAGAAAAAAGCAAAGGGGAGAGAAAGACACACAAAATGAACCAATAAAAAAAAGATACGTTAGAGTTTTTATCAATTCTAAAAACTCTATTTTAAAAACTGATTCTTAAATTTATTTTCTTTTTGATTTATTTTTTGACTTTTAAAAAAAAAAAAATTCTTCCTTAAGAACTTCCAATGGAGGTGCTCAGTTTAAATTCCATGTTTTAAGCTCAAGTCTAAACACAAATATGAAATGCAAAACAAACATTTCCCTCATAGTTGTGAACTCTGGATTGTAATGAAAATAGACTAATCTCATACATCTCTTTATAACATTAACGCAGATTAAAAAAAACATATCTTAATAACACATTATTAATCGAGTTAACAAATGATAATAATTCATTAGGGATTTCATTAAGCAGAGAGTGAAGCCACGCGCTCCTCAACAAAATCCTTAATCCGCAGGATCAACTGACCCGCCTCCGGTAACTCAGGAAAGATATAAAACGCATGAAACATGTTTGGATACTCCACTAACGTCGCCCTCTTCCCGGATACCTTCAACCACTCACAGTAACCCCTCTGCCAATCCTTCAACGGGTCAAACCCGGCCACAACCACCAACGTATCCGGATAATCCAGACCCGTTATATCAACCCCACTCGGTTTCGCCGCCTCGTGATCCCTACTCGCTCCCTCCGGCAACATCGCCCTCCAGCACCAGTCCGTCCTCTCCGGCGACACCAGAGGCATCCCGACGAGACTCCCCTCCGCCTCCGTCCTCTCCTCTCCGCCGAAGAACGGCTGTATCGCCACAACTCCGACGAGCCTCACGGCGGCGAAACGGCGACTCTCGCGGCAGACGCGGATCGCGACGTTGTGCGCGATGTTCCCGCCGGCGCTGTCTCCGGCGAAGAAGCACCTCGAGAGGTCGGCGTTCGCCGGGAGAATCTCGCCGTCGTCGAGGAACTTCACGACGTCGTAACCGTCGTCGTATTGCGCCGGGTGACGGTGCTCCGGGGCGAGGCGGTAGTTGACGGAGACGACGTAAGCGTTTAGCTTCCTGGCGAAACGCCGGCAGACGCTGTCGTAAGGGTGGGCGTTGGGGCTGAGGTAGACGAAGCCGCCGCCGTGGAAGAAGATCACGACGGGGAGACGGTGGTGGCGGTCGCCGGGGAGGTGTGGGGTGAAGAGACGGAACCAGAGGTCGCGGGAAGGGTCGACGGTGAAGTCGGAGGTTGAGACGGAGTTGATGGGGTTGGGGTTGGGAGGTGCGCGGAAGTCGAGGAGGCGGAGGAGACGGCGGTTGATGGTGCCGTTGGAGCGTTGGGCGGTGTCGGTGAAGGTGGAGAGGAGGGTAAGAGTGATTCTTGTTTTGAATGGGATCGTTAGCTTCTTTTGATTATTATCTGTCGCCATTTTTTTTTAATGCAGAGTAGGTTTAGTGATTCGACCTTGTATATATATATGCTTACCAAGTAGATATTGCCAGCTGTGAGTTTAAGTTTTTTATCGAGAAAAAAAGGAAATGGTTACAATTTACAACCAATGGAATTTATGGTTACGTGTGAAAGATATCATCTCAAAAAGATAGAAAATATTTTGAATTTTTGATATATGCATTGTGGAAAGGGCTTTTAAGTAAACAGTGTGTTTCTTGTGGAGTGTTGTTGCAGTCATCCCCACCCCATATCAAGATCGATGGCCAAAGTAATGGAGTCTCAGAGAGCATTGAATTGTGATATTATAGTCAATGTACATGTTGCAGGAGACAGGCTATTTTATGTCAGAAGATGCATCTACTAAGTCAATTTCATTCAATTCTATGTTAAAATCAGTAGTGGTCATGGTGAAAGCCGTAGCAGCAAAGGATACAACGACGAAATTATACTTTAGACCATAATAATGGCAGTATGGCACAACTAATCGAAGTTTAAATTCAGTGAGATACCTCATACCTGTGAGCTACCATGTACCTACCGTATATACATAGAATATAGAAGGATCGAAACAAAACCAACTCTTTAAATACAGAATAAGTCATGAAACAAAACAATGCAATCCTGCACTTACGCTCGTTGATCAACAAGCAATGCCTTAAAGTTAAAGTGATGAATAAGTCTCTGGAAACTAAGAATCTCAAACAAAGGCAGAGCATGAAAACAAATTTCTTGATCAACATAGTTAGTCTGCTATACATTTAATAACCTAACCTATGTGTTGTAACATGTAATAACTGAGATTCTTGATAAACCATACATGACTCATTAGACCATCTCCAATGGGGGTTATATCCCATTGGAGTTCTAAAACCATATATGTGTATATGTATGTATTATATATATGTATGTAATTGTAGGGTGCACTAAATAGTGTAGAACCTTATTCAAAAGTTCTAAAAAGGATTGGGTAGTAGCTTGCTAGGATCATTATTGGGTCAAGTCTTTCATCTCTTTCTGCAGCTCACCCAAAGATTATTATTGGATCAAGCCTAAGAGCACCTCCAACGGAAATCCTTAGGAGGAAATCATTAGAAAAATAATAATTAAATAATCAGTAGATCATACAAAAAATTAAAGATTTAATTTTTAAAATCTCTAAATAAAGATTGTTTTTAAGGACTCCAACGGATAACACCGTTGAAAATACTCTAAGAACACACTAATAGATCTTGTTTAGTAAGGTGTCTTTCAACAACACATCACCATTCACCACCACTAGTATTAGTCTTGCAGCGCCATTCTTTCTCGCCTCCGACAAAACCAAATTGATCATGGAGTTGCACACGAAGATTATCAATATTGTTTCGTGTACCAGCATTGTCTAGACATGAAAAACTTCGGTCTGTTCATTTGTAAACAAACCACATTATGAATACTGTTGTAGTTACGGCATATCAAACATAGAAATCTAACAGCGGTCTTCCATTTGAAATTTGAAACTCTACAATTTTGCTCTTAAATTTTGGAATATACAAATACAAAACATACTCACTATATTCACTAAACCAATTGATAATACAAGCATGTTTTTTCATATGCATTTTAACATTAAATTTATAGTGTTAAACTTAATATAATTAACTTTGTATATAGTTTCTTATAGTTTATGGGGCAAAATTTTCAAATAGACAATTTTAAATTTTTTTCACAAAATAGACCTCAAAACTAAAATGACTAAAATAACATTTTTTTATTTTTTATTTTGAAAATTTTAAGATTTTTGTATTTTTAAAAATTGGAAATCTTACCCTCAAAACTCCACTCATCAACTCTAAACAAAAAATATATGATTAGTTAATCCAAATGATATAAATATATATTTACTTGTTTTTTGATAAAATATTTAAATATGTTTTGGTCATTTTTATTTTCAAACTCTATATTTATGACAAAATTCCTTTTAAGTATATTTTAGAAAATTTCTCTTTCGAAAATTCCAACAAAAAAAAAAAAAAAAACATTTTGTAACCATATATTTATCAAAACGCGGGGTCATCTTCACATTTCATGACGTCACTCATCAGTGGGATTTAGGGTTTTAGCTTTATACACTCATCACAATCAAAATACTCCCGACTTATTCAAGCACCGTCGTCAACGCCGCCGCCTGTACCGTCGGCATCACATAAAGCCCTCAACGCCGTTGGTTGCTCTTCCTCACAGGTCAGCTCAACTTGCTTTCGCATCTCCCCAGCAGCGATTTCGTTAACAAGCATCAGTTTTTCTCCCTTTTGTCGGAATTTTCGATCGATCCCTAAAGTAGATATTAAATCAAGTATATTGCATCTTTGTGATTTTTTTGAAAACCCTAATCTTGGTGGCTGTGTGCAATCCATCCTCTAATTTGGCCCTGCCTTTTGCAATATCTTTGATCTGGGTTCGTCATGATATCCATCTCGTGATGAGCTCTGTGATAGAAATGTGAAAGCAACTCTCTTTTTTGTTGTTGTGATGTTAGGATTTCTCATCTTAGAGATCAGGAGTTATGGGTTGGAAAGCTGCTGAGAAACTCATCAGACACTGGAAGATACTTCGTGGAGATAATGTAAGGATATTCTGTTTACTTCTGTTCTGTTGGTTGTCTAGTTTGGTTTGTTTGTGATGTTGTCTTTGATTTTTTTTTTTAAGGTAATGATAATTCGAGGGAAAGATAAAGGTGAGACTGGAACCATTAAGCGCGTCATCAGATCCCAGAACCGTGTCATTGTTGAAGGAAAGAATCTGGTTAGTCAAGTCTCGAATCATCTTGTGTTCTGTATAAATGTTTTGTTTGCTCAGTTTCATTCGTTTGAGAGAGTGAGTGTATAAAGTCCATTTTTTTTTCTCTGAATGAGGCTCATACCCTTAGCTTAACACAAATCATGTAGTTATCAGTCTTCATTTGATTCTTATATTTAACTTGAAGCATCAATTAGTTGGATACAGAAACTCACAAAGCGGGTCTTATCCTCTGGATTTAGCTTCGTTGTGTTATGAATTGTTTAAAGTTCTCAGTTTGGTTTTGGATCATATAGCTTATGTATTCTTTTTTTTCTCTGATGTTTTTTCTTCTGGAATGGCAGATCAAGAAGCATATAAAGGGAGGTCCTGATCATGAAGGTGGGATTTTCACGGTAGAGGCTCCTCTTCACGCCTCAAATGTCCAAGTTGTTGATCCTGTCACCGGGTATGTATTGATCTCACTTCTTACTACTCTCACCATTTACTCTTTTGATCAAAGCGGGAGATTTCTTATTTGTCTATTATTATTACCTTTTTCTACCTCAGGAGGCCTTGTAAGGTTGGTGTAAAGTACCTAGAGGATGGAACAAAAGTAAGAGTTGCCAGAGGCACAGGCACATCTGGTTCTATAATTCCTCGCCCAGAGATTCTAAAGATAAGGACAACACCAAGACCCACTACCGGTACGTAGAAGCTCAGCTTCACTAACCTATGTGTTCACGTAGTTCGTTTACATCTCACTATGCCCACAGCTCTCTATAGGATTTGGTAATAGCTTGCTTTTTTTTTACAGAGGATTGATACTTTGGTCAATTTCTTTTTGCAGCTGGCCCTAAGGACACACCAATGGAGTTTGTTTGGGAGCAGACATATGATGCTAAAACAGGAAAGGGCATGCCTGATCTTTGAGTAACCTTCTTCCTATAATGTTGCTGCTGCTCCCAGAAGATCGATCCATTACAGTTTGATTTGGTTCAAAGATCTGTGAAATGAGATGCTGTTGAACAAGCTTTGATTCTCTTTTGTTTACACTCGATGAACGTTTCAAGCTGCCAAATAAAACCATATGGGCTAAAGATTCGCAGTAAACAAATTTTCTGCACTTGCCTGTATTAATATCTACACAAAAGTCTTAAAACATACTTTGACCCAAAAAAAAAGTCTTAAAACATACAGAAACAAAAGCTATTAGTCTGCAAATCATGTATCCAACAAAAATTAACGAATTACTAAAACTCTAAAAGTAGTTCAATACTAACCATAGTACTATAAGACTCTAAAAATAGTTTATACTAACCACACTCACAAGTCACAACTCACAACTCTATGAAGGCGATGAAATTAAAACATTGCATCCTGTCTTATATTTTTAGCCCAATTCGAAAAGAAAATGCAAATTTGTTTTTCTTTGGGTCTAAAATAAATAAAATCGAAATAATAGAGGACTGATATGTAAAACATCTCCGTCTTGTCTTGTTAATAAATAAAACTCTCAGAGAAGGTTTAATAAGATCCCAAAGCAGCTCAGAAGAAGAAGACGCCTGATTCGATTCGATTATGGAGAGATTACAGCGAATCTTCGGCGCCGGTGGCGGATTAGGTCACGCATCTCCTGATTCCCCCACTCTCGACACATCGGAGCAAGTCTACATCTCTTCTCTCGCCCTCCTCAAGATGCTCAAGCACGGTATAATAATCATCATCCAACATCCTAATCCCCGATTTCACTTTCCTCGTTCTTAGGGTTTCATAAGATTAATCGATCTGTTTGTTATCTTTAATGGCCACGTGGATTGAGTTTAGAGAGATTTGAAAGAAGATTATTGGTTTTTGATTTTCGTGGTTTATTGAATTAATGCCACGTGGATTGAGTTGGAGAGATTTTAAGAAAGATTATTGGTTGTTTGATACAGGAAGAGCTGGAGTTCCTATGGAAGTGATGGGGTTGATGCTTGGAGAGTTTGTGGATGAGTACACTGTTAGGGTTGTGGATGTTTTCGCTATGCCTCAGAGTGGGACTGGTGTTAGTGTTGAAGCTGTTGATCATGTTTTCCAGACTAATATGCTTGATATGCTCAAACAGACTGGAAGGTAAAAATTCTTAAAGTGTTTTTTTATTTTGAAATTTGTTTTTGGAGTTTAATTGTTTTATGTATTGTGTTTCAGACCTGAAATGGTGGTGGGTTGGTATCATTCTCATCCTGGGTTTGGATGCTGGCTTTCTGGTGTTGATATTAATACTCAACAGGTATGCTTTGTTCATACTTGGTCAATGCAATCTCTTTGTTTAAAATGCTCTAGAATGTTTCCCCTTGTGTCGTGTACCTTGTTGGGTTTTGATTGTAGAGTTTGTGTATTGGAATTATGTATCTATATAGTTTGAATTGGACTATGTATGCTCATTGTTGAACATCTTGTTTGCTTAGTTGATACTTGGTCAATGCAATCTCTTTGTGTGTAATGCATTGCTCTTACGCTCTCGAATGTTTCCCCTTGTGTCCTGTACCCTGCTGTGGTTGGGTTTCCATTGTTAAGTTTGTTTGTTGGACTTACATATATCTATATAGTTTGGATTGGAATATGTATGCTCATTGTTGAACATCTTGTGTGTTTTTGTAGAGTTTTGAAGCTTTGAACCAACGAGCTGTTGCTGTGGTGGTTGATCCCATTCAAAGTGTGAAGGGGAAAGTGGTGATTGATGCTTTCCGCTCAATAAACCCGCAGACCATCATGCTTGGGCAGGAACCTCGTCAAACAACATCGAACCTTGGGCATCTGAACAAACCATCGATTCAGGTGATGTTTCACATAGTGAAGCTTGTTTTTTTTTTTTTTAATTGGAACAAAATTTAAGGATGTCGCTGATACCTACTTGTGGATACTACTATGCAGGCCTTGATTCATGGGTTGAACAGACACTACTACTCGATAGCCATCAACTACAGGAAGAACGAGCTCGAGGAGAAGATGCTACTTAACCTCCACAAGAAGAAATGGACAGATGGTCTGACTCTAAGACGCTTTGACACCCACTCCAAGACAAACGAACAGACAGTGCAGGTAATAGAAAATTTGGGTATTTTGCAATCTTTTTATTGCTTAAACATTCATGTTCATTGACATTGTCTCTTTCTCGTGTTTAACAGGAAATGTTGAGCTTGGCTGCCAAATATAACAAGGCGGTACAAGAGGAGGACGAGCTGTCACCTGAGAAACTGGCGATAGTGAATGTGGGAAGACAAGACGCAAAGAAGCATCTGGAAGAACATGTATCCAACTTGATGTCATCCAACATTGTTCAGACACTAGGCACCATGCTTGACACTGTTGTCTTCTAGAGAGCTTCTTCACTTAACCAGCCAGGAGCAACTTTGCTTCAGTCAGCTCGCTAGAGAGTTGAGATTTGTCCTTGTTTCTGCATCTCTTTTATTTCTGTTGAATCAACTCTTTATGTTCCTAGCAAGCATCTGATAAGATTGTATCGTACTATGTGATTTCGTTCTTTTCATTAAGGCCATGGATTTGTTTCTATTCTTGCATTTATTCACAAAATTTCTCTCATTTTTAGAATTTAAGCCGCAACTTTCGAGTGTTTGCACTTGGATTATGTCGTAATTAAGTTAACAATGGTTGGTTAGAGAACTAAACAGTGGTGCTCAAAATATCTTCTGATAGGTTTCCTAGCTCTAAATCGGAAGAACTCAAACAAGTAGGTAAAAAGGAAGACAGGAACCGCAACCAAATCTACATTATATTCCACAACAAAATATACAGGAAACTGTGATACGAATTGTGAAGACATCATGTTAACACTCAAGTAGAAAACCAAAAAGAGAACCAAAGACCATTAGAGTATTTAGCGTTCTTCGTGCATCAAACAAGTTAAGCCCAGCTTTGAACATGGACCAATCATTAAAACAGCGCACAGTTGGTTTTGGGACGAAAACTCTTTTAGTCGATGTGTATATAGGGCTGCTTAAAACTCGGTGTCGAAACAAGTCATGAAGACCTTTGAGACCATGGTCCTTGCAAAAGGGATGTAGCTCAAGCTATACCTGCAGAACAAGATGAATGGCAGCTTTTGTGACACACTCAGAAACCATATAAGTAGCATTCGGTTCACCAATGTATTCCTAGCTCAAGCTAATATATGTTTCGATGAGTAAATTATATAATTGCATCATGACTGCATGTATAAATAAAAACAATGTTACAGAAGTTGGCATACCATATTAGACCAGAGAACTCAAGAATGATAGCAAGCAGCGTCAGCAGCTTGTTACGAACCTGTAAGCAAAGTTATTCTCATTACATAGTCTTTAACTTCAAACCAGACTTTAACTATGCTTAATATAATTTCTATCCCGTAGATTAAACTGAGAAACACAACTTACATAGAGAGCGCAAAACAAGGCAATGATAATGCTGGCTAGATACAAAGCAGTAGCGTAGATGCGAGCTGGATCAAGCATCATCGTCACCTGCCGTTGTGGACCTATAAGGAATGCTGTGCTGTCATACAAAAAGGACATGCAACTTAAAACCTATGCGCAGACAGATAAAAGAAAAGAAAATAGAAACCTATGAGCAAACACAAGCTAAGCTAAAAAAATAATAATCCAAAAACGGACCTCCCAAGTGCCATCAAATTTCCCAGAGTGAATGTGAAGCCAAACTTGATCGGGTTGAAGAAAACAAGCATCGACTGCATTCTCAAACATGTATAAAGATAAAGAGTTATAACATTTTTAAAAGAGACACAAGACTTTATAGTAACTGCCACATATGAATAAAGAAAATGATCCCTTTCAATGCATGCTATAAGAGTTTATACTTACCAAAAGAGTACACGCCAGGCCAGCTGACAAGCAAATCGCAAATCCATAGAATCTCTGTTCTCATGGAAACACAGAGAGAGAGACAACATCATATTAGCACAAGATAAAACCCAATTCAAGACACTTAACAGAGATATAACATTAATGAAACCTAAACTACATAGCTGTCCTATAACTAATCAAACTTCTATCAAACCACTCTAGACAGATTCCAGAAAATGTGATCATCCTTTTATTCTCTATGAATGTTACATTGTAAGATTTTAATCGAAATGATCAAATCTTTCGCCATAAACCATTAAGTTAAATGCAGATGACTTGGTCCAAAGTAAACAACAGTTAGTTAAGTAAACCTGTTTGGTAGTCAAAGCGCAATTGCGATTAAGATCTTCCATAAAAGAGAGAGAACTCTCTTCTTCTGCAGCTCGTTCCTCGTCTTCAACTTCCATTCCCACCAACATCTTCATCTTCTCCAAAGCCTGATTCATCTTATCCATCCTCTCTCTCTCTCTCTCTCTGAACTCTAAGCTCTTATTTATTACTTGTTGTGTTAGATCTCTTGCTTCTTCGTCTCGAATTGTGACAGCGGAGCTGTAAGTATGGTTGTTGGATCTCTCTGCTCAATTACGCCATGTTTGATAGTGGGAGAATGAAAAGGGAAGCTTTTTTTCTTTGCTTCGTCCGTGTTTCGTTGGAGGATAAAGAGGAAAGGCCCATTGGGCTTTTTGAACCTCAAAAATATAAGTTGGTTAACGTTTTGGATCCATTAAATGATGTATTTATTAGTCTTTCTCCATTATACTGTACCTATTTTTTTTTTCAGTTACTCTATGATTATTTTCCAAATAACTCTTTGATTTTTTTCCTATGAAATGGATTCTCATATTATTTAAAATTATAAAAGTTCAAAATATTTTTTTAAAATTTTTTTTTTGTTCTTGTTTTCTTTATTATAATGGTGAATATATCATTATAAAATTGAATAGCATTGAATGATTTGAAATTATGTTAAGAAATAATATGTTTAAATGTACAACAATATAATTATGACAATTCTCTAAAATAGCCCTCTTTTAAGTTCTTATCACAAAATAGACTTTAAAAATTAAAATGACCAAAATAGCAATTTTTATTTTGAGAATTTTTAAGTTTCTTTATTTTTTTTAAAATTCGAAACCCTATTCAAAAACCCACTCCTCAACTCTAAACAAAAAATCTAGAATTAGTTAACCCAAGTGATATAAATATATATTTAATAAAATATTTAAATGATATTTTGGTCATTTTAATTGTTATGATCTATATTTGTGATAAAAACTTTTTAAGGTCTATTTTAGTCATTTTCTCATATAATTAAGCTAGTGTAATTTTTGTTTTTAATAACGTTTTGTTGTGTAATGTATTTCCACCATTTGCAATTTTGCAGTGTTAATTAGGCCTGGGCATATTATCCATAATCCGAAACCGAACCCGAACCGAAAAACCCGAACCCGATCGGTTATGGATCTTTCAAAATACCCGATCGGGTTTGATATGCTGATACTTTGGATATCGGGTTCGGGTTCGGTTTAATCCGATATTCGAACTAAAACCCGAAATAACCGATTATATGTATAATGTACAGTAAATATACACACGTATTAATCATTATTGATTTTGACAATTTCCAAAAAGGCACAAGCACACTTTGTTATTTTCAATTCTAAGACACAACTAAGTCTAGACACAACCACACCTTTCATAATAACCTTAGGGCGATTCCTCTTCTTAGTTTCAAAAACCTAATCTCCTATTAAAATAAGGTGTTTTATCGAAGAGTATGTTCAGAAACACAAACATGCAATTCTCTCTATCTCCTCCACCATCTTTGATTTCAAGAACTCAATCCGAAAAGGACTTGATTTTCAGAAATCAATCTGAGTCTTCTGTGTCATATGAATCATAGTAATCTCTTTGCGGTTTTGTCTCAATTTGTTTTCCATTTTAAAACTTTATGTTTCTATTATCGGTATTAGTGTGTTGTTGCAAACATTTTTACTAAGTTTGAGTTTATTAATTTTGAGAGACATGTTTCTTAGTTCTTATCTAGTCAACTTATGAGTGTTTGTTTATTTGTTTTCTTTGAATTTTACTTTAGTTAATCCGAAACCGATACAGTAAAACCCGAACCCAAATGATATATGGTAACTTCAGTATAATCCGAACCTGAACCGAAACCGATGTGTTATATCCGATCCCGATCCGAATTTAAGAATTTCTTAAAATGGGACCTAGGAGGTGTTACAAAAAAGAACCGATATCCGAAATACCCGATCCGAACCCGAACGCCCAGGCCTAGTGTTAATATAGAGTCCAAACGACTCAACGAGTAGCAGAAACAAAACATGTTCGTACGTAATAAATGGGCCAAATTAAAGCCTGACGAAGAAAACAAAAAAGGTAAAGAAAAAACAACAAAATCAAATTGAATAAAAATTTGGAGTCCGGACTCGGACTCGGCCGTTTTAAAGAGCAAACCACTCACCTTTCTCCCATTTGTCAGTTTCTCTCTTCACAGTCTTCTCTCCTTTGCTCTCACAAGTACTACTCATCAGTCTCCGGCGTCGTCTCATCTCCCGTAATCCTCGTCGTTTACTCTGTAAGTCTCTCATCAAGATACCTTGATCTCTCCTTCCCTACACATTACATCCTCGATTTCGTTTCCTCTTCGTCATTAACATTAACCTAAAGTTCCTATTTTTTAGGTTTTTTTTTTCTTGTTTCATGTACGACTTCATATTTTTTCTACTATTTAGAGTTTCTGTGCTTTACTCGTTTTCGCTAAGTGTTTTTTACTCGTTGATCGGAAAAAAAATCAAAACTTTTTGAGTTTGGCCTCATTTTTTTGGCTTGATCTAACTCTTTGGCTTTTGTTTGAGTCCACAGGTTGGTTTCGGTATGGGTTCCAGAGGTGATTCAAAGTCTAAGGGGAAGAGCGTCTCTTCAGATGTTGAACAGTTGGTGAAAGGTTTCTCAGAGACAAAGCTGGCTCCTTCACAAGACGATGGAGGAGAGTGGGAGGTTATCTCAAAAAGGAACAAGAACAAGCCTGGAAACGCTGCTGGAACGGGGAAGTCATGGGGTTCATCTCCTAACCAGAACCCTCCTAGAGCATGGGGTGGTGGGACTCAGCAGCAAGGGAGGGGTAACAATGGCTACGGGAGAGGAAATGGCAAAGCTTGGGGAGGGCAAGTCTCTACTGGTCGTGGACAAGGGATGAACAGAGGGTATGGTAACCCAGCGGCGGCTGTGACTAAACCTCCTTTGGAAGGAGGATGGAATTGGCAGTCTAGGCCAGGTGCTGCTCAGCACGCTGTTCCCGAGGAGGTTGTGGATGGTGATGATGATGATGTTTCTGAGGGAGATGATGATGATGATGGTTTGGATGATTCTGATGAAGACCTTGCGAGTGATGATTATGACTCTGATGTGAGTCAACAGAGTCACGGGACGAGGAAGCAGAATAAGTGGTTTAAGAAGTTTTTCGAGAGCTTGGATAGTTTGTCTATTGAGCAGATAAATGAACCGCAGAGGCAGTGGCATTGTCCTGCTTGTCAGAACGGGCCTGGTGCTATTGACTGGTACAACCTTCAGCCACTTCTGGCTCATGCGAGGACAAAGGGAGCTAGACGTGTTAAGCTACACAGGGAGCTTGCTGAGGTTCTTGACAAGGATCTGCAGATGAGGGGAGCGTCTGTGATTCCCTGTGGTGAGATTTACGGGCAGTGGAAGGGTTTGGGTGAGGAGGAAAAGGATCATGAGATTGTCTGGCCGCCTATGGTCATCATTATGAATACTAGACTTGACAAGGACGACAATGATAAGGTGAACTTCTTATGTCTTTTGACCCTTTATAACTCACTCTCTCTTTACTAAAACTAACTATGTTGTACATATCAGTGGCTAGGCATGGGCAACCCGGAGCTGCTTGAATACTTTAACGAGTATCCTGCTATTAGGGCACGTCATTCATATGGTCCACAGGGACATCGTGGGATGAGTGTTCTGATCTTTGAGAGTAGCGCCACTGGCTATTTTGAAGCTGACCGCTTACACAGGGACTTGGCTCAGAAAGGGATGGATAGAAGCGCCTGGGACCGTCGCCGCGGTATGTTTTCTGGAGGTGTTCGCCAACTATATGGCTTCCTTGCTACCAAGCAAGATCTGGATGTATTCAATCAACACTGTCAAGGTTATCTCCCTTACAAATATATGTTTTGAAGTCTTGAATTAAGAGTTTTGTCGGTCCTTGTTAATATGTTCCATGTGTATATTTGTAGGGAAGACAAGGCTGAAGTACGAAATGAAATCGTACCAGGAGTATGTTGTGAAGGAGCTGAGGCAGATCGCTGAAGACAACCAGCAGCTAAACTGGTTCAAGAACAAGCTGACAAAACAGAACAAGCACGCCAAGGTGCTGGAGGAGTCTCTTGGAATCTTGAGCGAGAAGCTGCGTAAGACTGCAGAAGAGAACCGTATCGTGAAACAGAGAACAAAGATGCAGCATGAGCAGAGCAGAGTAGAGGTATGTTATTTTTTGCTGTCGGAAAACACACACGCACATGATTTTAGAATTTACCTACTGATACACTTTTTCTGATTAACTTGATTTGAAAAAAAAACTTTGGTGGGTTGAAGATGGATTCACAAGACAGATTTTGCCAAGAGATAATCAAGCAGATACATGAGAAAAGAGACGCAAAGGAAGAGAAATTTGAGATGCAGCAGCAGCAGGAGCGTGCTAAAGTTGTTGATTTGCGAAAGAGGTAATGTATAACAAATCCTGCTGTTGTTGGTCAAAAGAAAAAAAAAAAAGAGTAAACTAAAATATCTTGTGTTATGCAGAGCTGAAGAAGTGTCCATCTTCATAGAGTGTCAAGAGAAAGAGATGAAAATGTTTGTGGAGGAGAGGGAGAAGCTGATAGAAGAGCAAGAGAAAAAGGTGGCAGAGATGAAGACGAGGCATTTCGAGGAGATGCTTAATCTTGAGAGGGAGTTTGATAAGTCGTTGGCGCAGCTCATGAACAAGCACGGCCATTGCGATGCTGATGACGCTGAAGACTACTAAGCTTTCAACGTTGGCGAATCTAAGGAGATTGGAGGAAAAGACCATTCTCAATCTCAGTAGGGATAAATAATCTTAAGGAGATTTAAGACACTATTATTATTCTCCATTTTCAGTAAAGACGGTTAAGGAAGTGTTTTGTGACCAAAACCAAAGTTTGAATGTTTGATAAGTATCAAAGTTTAGGGGTTCTACTTAAAAGTTTCGAAATATTGGGTTAAATTAAAAGATAATTAACATAGGTACCTAAAGTATAGGGGTCTTGTGTGCAATAATACTAGCAAAGTCAAGATATTGGGGAAATTAAAAGATAATTAACATATTGGGGGCAATATTCGTAGAGGTACTAAAGTACAGGGGCCTTGTGTGCAATTATACTAGCAAAGTCAAAATATTGGGGGAAATTGAAAGGTAATTAACATATTGGGGGCAATAATCGTGAAATTACCTAAAAAATAGGGGCCTTATGTGCAATTATACTAGCAAAGTCGAAATATTCGGGGAAATTAAAAGATATTTAACATGTTGGGGGGATAATAGCAAAGTTACCTAAAATATAGTGCCCTTGCTTGCAAGTTGCAATCTAGTCTATTAAAATAGAATAATTCTTTTTATCTACTAATACAAGTTGTCATTTAAGTTTGGACTCTTTCTAGAGTGTTACAAATAATACAAAACATATAGTTAACTGAACAGTATCTTATATATTAAAACAGAAGTCATGACTTGACTTCATGTGTGATTTTTTTAAAAATGGACTATTACTAGAAAGTTATGTTACATTAACTCTCTAATAATCTTATCATTATTATATCTTATGAAAAATCATATCTATAATAAAAAAGATACACTTAATAAGTTAGTTTTGGTAAATTACCCCACACCTTCCAACTTAGTCACGCAAAATATGTCAATAGATATAAGTTTAGGAATCTTCTATTATTTATAAGGAAATATGTCAATAATAGTTAAATGCATCCACAATATATTAACAAAAATCACATATTAGTAATATGAAATATTTATATACCCTATCAAATTTACACGCTATATAAATTAGATAAATTTATTTCGATGTAAATTTGAAAAATTATATTGTTTTAAAAAAGAAATTGTTTAAAAAAATTCCTTTTTAATAAATTTATAATATTAATTTATGAAGCTATAAGTTTAGATTTTAGCAAAAAAAATCTTCGAAGTTTATATTATCTTTGCAAATTAAAGTATACTAATATTTAATCAAACTCTATTTATATTACTTTATCTAAAAATGAAATACTAATCTAACAAACAATAAAATATAGAAGAAGAAACAAACACATGTTTGAAAAACATGTATAATATAAAATTTTGAAACAATCTATTTGATTAAAGCACTTATTATATAATATTATTATGTTTGACAAAAATTTACTATACATATCGTAAATATGTGAATTACTATAATATATACCAATTTACAAGTGAAAACAAAATGTTTATATAACTAAATATAAACGAAAATGAACACCCGCGCGGTTGCGCGGGTCGAAATCTAGTTACTTAAATTAAATCGGTGGTTATTTATGGGATATAGTCTTGGGCTTTCTTTTGTTTTTAAAACAAATTATATGGTTTGGTTTTTGGGCTTAGTATTAAGGAAAATTCCAAAAAAAAATTGAAAAAACTTTCCACCTTACTAGATCAAAAAATCAATTACTATTTTCAGGCCCAAAATTTAATATTTTTAACAATATAAAATTATCTATTATTAATCATTTATTTAAATTATGTACTTTAAAACATGTTAATGTATTTTTATTTTAAATAACAATCACTTTTTTTTGATAAATTTCAATGGTAAATTTTAAATAATGTATTGTTTTATTTTTCTTAAATAATTTATAGATTTAAAAAAAAATATGTAAAGCAAAATCAAAAACTAACTCTAAAAGCTAAAATCCAAACCAAAAGCTGAAAACGCAGGTTATATTTTTTGCTTTTGTTTATTTACAAAATAAACTATTGCAAATTTTTTTTTTTTAAATTGTCATATTTTCAGCTTTAAATTAGATGTTTGATTATTTGAGATTTGTTTGTTGGTAATATCAGTTCAAACTAACTCAGCGGATATAAAAATTAAAAAACTCAAACCAAAACCTGAAAATCAAAAATATAAACTTAAAACTAAAAACCAAAATTTTAAAACAAAATCTATAATTACAAAATGAAACTAAAAATTAATGAAAAACAATCATCACCACAAACTTTGATGAATTGATTTTATACCAAAAAGTTATTTAAATTAAGAAAAAACCCAATTATATAAATTTTTAATTCCGCGCTTTCAAGCGCGGGTCAAAATCTAGTTATACTATTGAAGTTACGAATCATGGGGGGATTAAAAGATATTAAATGTTGGGGGGAGATCATAGCAAAGTTATCTAAAATACAAGGACCTGAGTGAAATCATACTATAAATGTTGACAAAGACAATGGTGTGTCATACTCTTACTTAGGCCTGGGACTTCGGTGTACCGTTCGGTTTCGGTTCGGTTGAATCGGTTGTTCGGACTATCGGTTCACAGAGCACAAGTACCAATCGGTATTTTCTATAATGAATAATGGTTTCGGTTCGGGATCAATCGGTTTCGGATCGGTGCGGTTGAAGGAAACAAAATCCACTACCAACCGATAACACTACGGTTCCGGTGTGGTTTCGGTTTTTCACAACCATAGTCAATTAAAAATAACCAAACAAACCGAAATATACCAAACTTAACCAAACATCCGAAATTTCCATTGAAACAAACTGAGTTCAAACACATCAAAACACAACTGAAACACAAGTTTTAAACACAACAGCAAAAGAAAATTTGTGTCTAAACTTAAAACCAACATTCAAACCAAGAACAAGTCTTCAAATTGCAAAAAAAATAAAGATAACTTGAAACCGAGATTAAAAAGATAGCCATGAATGTATGTATATGTAAGAGAAATATATAAATGATCGGTATGTTTCGGTTACCTTGTCTTGATCTCGGTTTGAAACCGGACCGGACCATAACCGAAATATATGGGCTTTAAAGTCCAATCGGTATTTTCTTTGGGTCCGCTACCGGTCCAAAACCAATACTTCGGTGCGGGTTACACTATGGACTTCGGCTTCAGTATATTAAGCCCAGGCCTACTCTTACTTGCATCACATTGGAAGAGCATCGTCACACGACTTCAATCTCTTGTATTTATTTATTTATTTATTTCTGATTTACACAAAAAAAGAAAAAGAAAAAGAAAAATATAAAATATTAAAAAATCTCCGTTAAAATATCTCACTACTGAATCCAACAATCTCCGTTTTACATCTCAGCTCGAATCCGCCGTATACGTAACGCAAACCATCCATCCCTCCTCTTCGATCCACTAACATGGCCCCGCCGGTAACACAAACGGCGGCGGTAGCTGCTAACGGCGGCGATGCTCAACCACCGCAGCAGCAGCAGCAGAGAGGGTTTGGTTCAACGGTATCGGGAATCATAAGGATCGCAGTGTTCTGGTACTTTGCTTCAAAGTTCTTTTCACCAAAGCAGAAACCGATTGATCCTTCTCAGTCTCATCATCTCATGACCAATCTCTTCCACAAGGGTGAATCTTTGGTAAAATAATTAATTAATTAATTAAACCTCTAATCTTAGAGAATTAGGGTTTCTTTTTAAAGATTTGAACTTTTGCTTATGAATGCTAATTAGACTCTATTTGATAAGTTTCAGATCGTATTTGAAACTATTTTGTAGTGTTTGTTTTTAGGGTTTTGGAGATTTGATTTGAATTGCTACTAATGGATGTTTTTATTTGTTAAATGCAGGATATGTGGTTTTATCTTTCGGAGCAAGAGAAGTTTAATGACTTTAGTAATGAAGGTGCTCTTTATTGGCATGAGACGAACATACCTTATGCTGTTTGGACTCCGGAGAGTATCAGAACCAGATCACTCAAGTATTATCCATCTGAGGTAAGCTGAAAGTTCACTGTTTTAGTATCTAATCCTATATTAAGAAGCTGCGTTGAGTTTACTATGTTTTTTTTTTGGTTCAGACACTACAGAATAATGGAAGTCTGTATGCTCATGTCTTCTTTGCTCGATCTGGGTTCCCTATTGATCCTAGTGATCCTGAGTATCAGCCTCTTAATAGCTTTGGCAGGACTCACCGTAAGACCTGTTTTAGAAAGATCTTTCTTTTAAAAAAAGTTAGGTTTATGTATTGGCTGAATGGGACTTGTGTTTTTTTTTTTTTTTTTTGCTATTTTAGCTGTTGCGACTTACTTTCCGAAGCGGAAAGCAAATAAGAAGAAGAGCCTCTTGGGAAATAATGCTAAAGACTCTGATGAATCTGAACCAGAGGTTGAGGTATGCTTGTGTGGAAGTTTTCTTTCTGGAAATATTTTATGCTCTTGTCTTGTGCTCTGATGAATTCAGTAGATGTGTAATAATGAACTGACGTGAAGCTTACTTCGCAGAAAGTTGTTGATAAAAACTCGGAAGTGAAGGAAGAAGTCCCTGTGGAATGGGTATCCCTCTGGAAACCCAACGTCACGATTAACCTGGTCGATGATTTTACTCAGTAAGTATTTTGTGTATTATTAGAAAAAACTGGGACTCTAGAAACAAACATTGCATACTAAATTGTAATAATAAAGATGGATTCACTTTCTATCTTGTTGTACATATGGTTCTGGTTATTTTCAAAAGTATTTAATGGAGTAAGTGAACTTATCAACTATGGCCATTACCTTGAGCAATCACAGGAGAGACAGTACTACATATTGCATTTACTATGGTTCCATACTGGTTGACTAATATCTTCTTTCACTTTTGTCACAGCTATTCACAGAATGGTGTCCCACCAAACATTGCTCCTCGTATCCTTCAATTACTTTTGGAAAAAGATTAAATAGTTAAATCTAGTTATTTGGGTTTTACACAACTCTCTTGGCGTAGTCTACTTGTCCAATATGTTATATGTTGTACTTAACTTTAGATATACAGACTTGCTGGTAGAACCTAGCACGGGAAATTACTATCCGACAATTTACTTCAATGAGTTTTGGCTGCTAAGGGACAAGATGATTCCAATGAATGAGACAGTCACAGAAGTACCACTTGAACTGGAAATAAGCCCCATAAGCATGATGAAGTGGCAACTGTTTCAGCAAGTTGATCAGTCTTTCCAGATGCAGCGTAGCTATGGAAGCATGCTTGACGGTGAATCTGACGAACTAAAGGTAATTTTGGTCCTTTTATGTTTCACATGAAACCTATGATGTGTTGGATTTTTTATAGATGTTGTTTATTGTTTACTATAGACAAACTTGATCTTGATTTCTTCCTTGAGCTGATTGTAAATACGTTTTGTGTGTGTTCCAGAGGGTGTTTTTGGAAGGAAATCCCTATCTGTTGGGAATCACGATGTTTGTTTCGATGCTTCATTCTGTATTCGACTTCTTGGCATTCAAAAATGGTAACTTAAAACCCGAAAAGTAACAGCCTCTTTCTTAAAGTTTATTGAGATTGACTTATCTTGCCCTGTAGATATCCAGTTCTGGAACAAAAACAAATCTATGGAAGGACTGTCTGCAAAGTCTGTTGTACTGAACTTTATCTGTCAGTTCGTCATTTTCCTCTACTTGCTTGACAACGACACTTCATGGATGATACTGGCTAGTTCAGGAGTTGGTGTCTGCATTGAATTCTGGAAGATAGGGAAAGCCATGCGCATAGAGGTACTTGTCAATTGTCATATATACACATTTCATATCGATGTTGTTACTTTACATATGAACCTTGTCAACCATTTAAACCTTAACAGGTTGATCGAAGTGGAATGATTCCAAGGTTGAGGTTCCACGATCGTGAATCATATGCAAGCAATAAAACCAAGGAGTATGATGACATTGCCATCAAATTCTTATCATATGTGCTCCTCCTCCTTGTCGTGGGACTATCAATATATTCTCTCGCTTACGAACGCCACAAGAGCTGGTATTCGTGGATCTTGTCTTCACTAACAAGCTGTGTCTACATGTTCGGTAAGCCTTCACCAAAAAAACTGTTGAGAATCTTGAGATTCTCTCATTGTGAAATTGTTCTGATTTTGGGATTTGTGTGTTTGCAGGTTTCATCATGATGTGTCCTCAGCTATTCATCAACTATAAGCTAAAATCCGTGGCACATTTACCATGGAGACAGATGACTTACAAGTTCCTCAACACCATTATCGATGATCTCTTTGCCTTTGTCATCAAAATGCCGCTTTTGCATCGGCTTTCCGTGTTCCGAGATGGTGAGTAAAATCTAGCAAAATACCTTTCTCTACTACTACTTCGGAATCAGGTCTCAGAAACCTCTATTTGTTTTTCTTTGTGTTGCAGATATTATATTCTTGATATACTTATACCAAAGGTGGGTCTACCCGGTGGACAAGACACGTGTTAACGAGTTTGGTTTTGGAGGTGAGGATGAAACTGCAGAGAAGAAGTTGATCACTGAGAAAGAAGAAGAAGACAACAAGAAAACAAACTAATCTTTTCTCTTCTTCCTTTTATCTATGTGATACTTACAGTGTCTTCAATTTTTGTTTTGTTTTGTTTTTGCTTTCACTTTGTTTATGCTAATGTTAATTTTCAAAAAACATTATAAGAAAACTATCTTTTGATTGTTTTGAAAGTTAATGTCAAACTAAGAAATTTCAGTAAAATAAACAAATTCAGCCATTGATTGACTCATCAGGAAGAGGATTCTCAAAGTTGAAAGTGTTCCTCATAGTTCTCCTGCCAATGCCTCCATTACCATTTCCTTTCCTCATCATTGCCACAAACTCTCCATAGTCTATTTGCCCATCCTACAAAAACCAAACAACCATAAAACTCTTCTTTCATCAAGAAGAAACAGTGAGAAGATTTTTGTGAAAATTGCTACTCACATTGTCTTGATCAATGTCTCTGATCATTTCATCAAGATGTGAATCGTTTATACCAAACTCTTTCCAAGCCTGTTGAAGCTCGTCTATAGTGATGTAACCACTTGCATCTTTGTCAAAGAAAGAGAATGCAGCCACAAGATTCTCTTCTCTCTCCAGCTTGTTCAAGTGGATTGTTGCAGCTAAGAACTCTCCATAGTCAATTGTTCCACTTTCATCAACATCAGCCTGACACATACACACAATGAGAGAGATGATAAGAATAGTGGAAAACTAAATAGTAAGAAGAAGAGAGTTGTTTAGTTACTGCTTGCAAGAGTTCTTGGATCTCTGATTCCATTAGCTCTGACCCAACACTTTTCAAACTGTCTTTCAACTCTTCAAATGTGATGGTCCCACTGTTGTCAGTGTCTATCATCTTGAACAGTTCTTTAAGCCCACCGATCTCTTCCTCAGATAGTCTCTCTGCAATGACCCGTAACGCCATCTTCTTCAGTTTGTTCATTGCAGAGAACTTTTTCAAGCGGGACACAACCGCACAGTCCAATGGTTTATCTGGAGCAACCGTGTCATCCACAATCCAAGGGTGACCTGACAAAACAAGAAAACTTGAATCACCACTTGCAAGAAAATCCATCAACTTAAAAAGGCAAGAGCTTACACAGCACTTGATGAGCAGTAAGCCTTTCCTTTGGATTGCTCTCAAGCATTTTCTTGATAAGATCCTTGGCACTCTCAGAAATGCTAGGCCAAGGATTGATCTCAAAGTTCACTTTTCCCTGTAAAATCTTTCTGAAGATACCAATCTCACTTTCTGGATACAAAGTAGAACACATGAGAGAGTGAGACACTGTGATTGTATCATCTTTAAAGAGAAAGAAAGACAGTGGAAGATCTAACCAGCCCAGAAAGGAGGGAAACCACATAAGAGAATGTAGAGGATAACTCCACAGCTCCATACATCACATTCAAGACTGTAATGCTTATGTAAAACCTCAGGTGCTACATAGTAAGCACTCCCAACTAGTTCTGAAAACGTTTCACCTAACAAACACACACACAAACTCAGTCACAACATTTGAGAGATAAAGATCTTAATCAAGAGTTCAATGTACTTCCCCAAAACAACACCAAGTAGATTTTTGCATTTTACCATATTCAAGAACACAGTCTAACTGTTTGGTCCCTAAACTAGCACAACAAAGAGAGTCAACATAGCTTTAATAACCACTGAAAAGTCCAGACCTGGTTTGGAGAAAACAGAGAGGCCAAAGTCTGTAGATTTAAGAGAAGCATCTTCATCAACAGAAGTGAACAAGAAATTCTCAGGCTTAAGATCTCTATGCAACACCCCAAGAGAGTGACAAGTCTCCACAACACCAACAATAGTCTTCATGAGCTTAGCAGCTTCTCTCTCACTGTAATGACCTTTCTTAATGATTCTGTCAAACAACTCACCTCCTTCACAAAGCTCCATCACAAGGTGCACGCTGTTGGAATCCTCGTACGTGTCTTGTATCCGGACAACGTTTGGGTATTCAGACAAGTGATGCATTATCTGTATCTCCCTCAAAACGTCGTCGTCGTCTTCTTGACAAAGGAGCTTTCTTTTGGGTATGGATTTGCAGGCGAGCTTTTGAGATGTTTGGTTGTGTGTGCAGAGGTAAGTGGTTCCGAACTGTCCTTGTCCGAGGACTTTGCCGAGAGTGTAATCTTCTTCCACGTTCTTGGTCTTGTAAGGGAGAACCCATCTGGTTCTTGATTTGTCAGACATAGTTTAGTTTAAGCAGAGGAAGAAAGAAAGAAACTGAGTTTGGAGGTATTGAAGAGAGGGAACTGAAGAGATGAACATAAACCATGTCTTGACCACTTTGGATTAATTTATTACCATTAGTTAGCTTTCCTTTTGAGTTTTGTCTTTTTAGTTTAAATTAAAATAAAAATTAGGAAAGTAGATGGAAATTTTGAATGACTTGATTTAGTTGAAAATGTTGTCAATCAATGATTAGCTGTAGCAGATATTTATGGATTTATGTAATCTTTTATTAACAAAATAATTAAGCTATTAAGATTTTATATGTAAAGTTTTTCTCTTTGTCGGATATGTATCTATCTATGTGCTTACTGCTTATCAGTTCACTGAATAATGGCAAAAATGTTCAAGGTTTAATTAATTAACCCAGATACCATCCATGTTCTTACCCAAACCTCATCTTTAGCTTATAAAATGTACTCCCTCTGTTTCAGTTTAATTGTCATTCTATGATTTTGCACACAGATTAAGAAAACAATTAATTTTACATATTTTCAAAATAAAAACACAATTACCTATACACCTAATCATTTTTCAACCAATGAAAAAATAGAATGACATTTAAAAACAATAAATTTTGCATTGAAATTATAAAACGACACTTATTTTGAAACAAAATTTTTACTCTAGAATGACATATAATTTGAAACGGAGGGAGTATAATATAATTTCAACACGTTTTGTATTTTTCTGCAAAATATCAAGAGTGCCAATCATCTCCTTTTTTTTTTTGATCAAAAGTGCCAATCATCTTTTGTTTTGAGAAAAAAAAAGAGCAAATAAAAAGACAAGACAATTTTATGGAAGACAAACACAGGAACTCTACATCATAAGATTCCATATAGGAAACATTGGTAGGACTTCTATTCAGGAAACAGTTTGTAGAATTCTAGAAATAACTGATATGACGAGTCTGTGATATGAATAGGACCGTCCACTTTGGTCTTGAAGAAGCGCTTTGATTCTTGACATCATCTGGCTTTTTACTCCTTTATCATTTCTGGTTCATAGCAGCCTATTAAAGATGAAAAAAGTGAAAAAAATGAGAAAGCTGTGGCATTATTTCAATAGATGCAAACATGAATGTTTGAAGTAGAAAATAACCTTTTTCAATCTTTCCATGACCTGGTCTTCATAAGCTTGGTAACCAGCACCAACTATGTTACTCTGCGGTTCTACTTCTGCAGATCTCTTAGCAGTCTGAAAATCGGTTTGTGCTGCTCTCTGAAGAGGTACAACTAGTAATGGATTAGAGAGATCACCACACAATGTTCTCGTCGCTGCTACCTATAAGAAAAGAAACAATCCATGATTAGCTTCATTGTTGTTACTATATAAAGGAAATGAGAGAGACTATAGTTAACCAAAACACTCACAGCTCCATCTTTTGTAGCCATTACTATAAGAGCAGAGCATTTCTTCTTGGTACTTCTAATTACAATATCTTCAACCTCACCAAACTCTGAAAACACTTCTCTGAGCCTTCCTGCGCTATACCCTTCACCAATTGTTTCCCAAGAAACCTTCAACATTCTCTCTTTATCGAGCTGAACATTAGTTCCACTTCTATCTTCTTTCCTCTTCTCATCTCCACCACTACCACTCTCTGGCGTCTCAAACCCGCCTCTCTTTTTCGCATGTTTAGCACGTATCCTATCCACCTCTTCCTTAAGCTTCCTCGCGATTCTCTCCTCTTCATCATAAGGTCTACTAGCAGCATGACTAGGAGCGAAACCAGAACGCTCCCTCTCCTCAAGATCAGACATCATCTTACGCCTCTTGGAATCCACTTGCGTTTTCTTGTGCTGTTTCTCACGCTGGATTCTAAGAAGATCATCAAAGAGCTTCCGAGCTTTCTCGTCTTTGAGAACCTCGTAAGATGTCTTGAGCCTCTGAAAATTCTCATGAGCATCGGGATCGTCAGGGCGTTTATCCGGATGCATGACCAAAGCTTTCAACCTGTATGCTTTTGAAATCTCCTTCTCGGTAAGGTTCAGAGCTTCCTCTCCAGAGGTTAACCCTAGAACTACGTAATGGTCCACAAAATCCTCCATTTCTTCCTCCTTCCACTACTATAACAGATCACCCTACAACATATAAAAAGAAAGAAGTTAGTAATCTAAGAAGCTTTTTACATCACTAATTGCATAAAAACAGATATAATGAAAGATGAAACCTTAGTAAAGGTGAAGCCTTTTTCAATTTCAGAGAAGTTTTTGCAATAAAGATCTCTCCTTTAGAGGTTTCGTATTACCGTAAAGGACCAAAGAGATGAGTCCAAGTCCTTAAAGCTGTTATGAACTAACCTAAAAACATGTGACTGTTGTTTATGTCTGAATCAACTACGGACCGGACCATTCACAAACATAAACCTCTTCACAAGATTTAGACTAAAACACACATCACAGCTGTGTCGAATTTAAAGTGAAACTCCCTACGAATCAAATTGGTAACCCTAGAACTTGAAGTTTCCTTCTCTTAGAACTATCGAGCAAGTTCAATTGAAGGAAAATAAAAAGGTTAACGCTTAAGAAATCGAATTACCTTTTCGAGAATTGATACCAAGGAGGAGGAAGATGAATCAGTCGATCGCGAGATTCGTCGTGGATTGAAGAAGATTTTGAGTTTAGGTTCCCTTTGCAAAGTCCAGTTTTTTAAAGATAATCTGTTATTCAAACAAATAATAGGATAATAAAACAAATCTGAGAAACATTGAGGACCGAAGAAGAAATATTGGATTCGGACACTAATTGCACAGTTTAAATGTAACTTTGCGCTTACAACAGGCCCATTATTATTAACTATGGACTACGGATTTTGTCATTTAAACCAAACCATCCGGTTCGTTTCGTATTGACGTCTCGAGGATTTACACTTATGTAAGTAAAGCTGCTTATTATTTTCATATGGCATCAGAGAATACAAAAAGGAACATGATTTACTTTCTCCTTTACTTTTGATTATTTAACAAATAACAATAATCCGCACTTAAATTTATCAGAGAGAAATTATTACGAGACCTCAAAGAAAAAGGAAAAGATTACTCAAGAACTTGATTGTTAAATAAGGGGAGTGGTCAGAGAAAATATACAGGAAACCACTAGTATTAAAAAGCGTCTCTCTACCTTGGGGGTATCATTTTCATGTAGATGATCACTTTCTTTCTACCTCTTCCTAAATAAACTTTCCAGATGATGCCTCTTTCTTTTCCCTTTTTCTTTGTTCAACTTTTTTTAAGCAGAAACCCTGTACAAGTCTCCAAAGGGATTCTCTTCTATGTAGGTGAATCGATCATTTTTTTTGATGAAACAAACGGTGCCCTTGTGTATATGGTAAAGACCAGTTTCGGTTGATTATCATCCCTGAAGAGCTCGCACAGCCTCTGAAATTTCCATTAGCTGCTGCTCCGCTTTCGCTTTCCAACTCACCAACTCTTTCAACGTTTCCTGAAAGAAGGAAAAATACATGATGATTCTTTAAAAGTGGACTCCTTAAAATTGTGTCATGGTAATGTAGAAGAGATGCAATGTTGGCAGTGAATAAAAAAGCAAAATCTATGAGATGATGGGAGGGTGGCAAAGTTAACATCTACTCAAAGCCTACAATATTTTCCAAAAGATGATCAAACTGACCAATGCTTCTATAACATGTTTTTACCTGAGAAATAATATTTGGGTCCTCAATATCTGATCTTGGACCTGCAGTCATGGAAGAACCTGGAGTCAACTCCGCTTTGTCCTGATTGGAGCTTCTGGAATCACCTCTGGTCATGCAGCTACATAGGACGAAAAAATATTAGACAAATAATAAAGTAAACCATAGAAGCCTACTCTTGGAACCTAGAAACCAAGTGTAACTGCTCTAACCTCTCTGTCCTCTGCATTTCGGAGTTGAGCACTGACTGCTCCTCAAACCACATATGGTCCTGGAAAGAGCTTTTGCGAGCCTTTGGTGGAAGCAAGTAGGTATCCAGCCTGACAGCCTCAGCCTCTGGTAAAGCATCGATAAGGTCAGTATCAACATCCCATGGTTCAAAACCGTCTCCAGTAAAATCATCCAAGTTGGTACTGTGCAATAAATGTTCCCAGCTTTGAGGATCTGGACTGAAGGAATTTCTCCCATGTGCTTGTCGATTGTTCTGCGAGTTTGAAATTCCCACCAGCTGCTGTTCTACTTTATCTTTCCACGAAACAAATTCCTTAACCATGCACTGAAGCAACAACAGCAACAAAAAGGCGAGACATGGTAGACACAAAGCTTTATCAGGTTTATATCATTCCTTATGCAAGAATTTTTCAAACAAATTTGGTCTAGACCTGTGTCGATGCCAACGAATTTGAGATCTCCGCAATTTGCTTTTCAGTCTTTACCTTCCAACTCATAAAATCCTTGATTATTTTCTGGAAAAATACAAACAGATAAGTTTTGAAACTCAAACTATGCTCATCTTCCTTGGACAAACAAACAAAAAAATTATCTCAAAAGGTCACCTGATTTAAATCAGGATTATTTGGTAACTCTGGCTTGGATATATGTTTTTTTAAATCACTGCATACCGCAAAGAAAATAAGATTCCTTGACTACAAACAAAGCAAAACAATATTGAAAGCTCAGAAAATATCGCAAGCATATTACCTCTTCATTTTATCAATTTCTTCCCTAAGCTTATATGAGACGGCAGATGATTCTTTTGATGAACTCTGAATCTTCCACTGAGCTAGAGGAATAGAGTCCAGATCACGAATTCCAGATTCACGTTTAATTAGGGCCAAATCAGATACAAGTTCTTTGATCTCACTGCATACCACAAAGAAAACGAGATACTCAAAACTTCAGACTACGCAAATACTGAACCTCAGGATTATTGCAAACATATAATTTACCTCCTCATTTTATCCATTTCTTCCTTCATCTTCGCAGGTGACTCAGACGATTCATGAACCCCAGGCTCAAGTTTAACAACACCATTCACACCCTGAAACTTCCACCAAGAAGGAGGAGCCCAATTAGAATCACAAACCCCAGACTCAAGTTTAATTTTAATCAAATCAGCACTCTCTAGCCAATACTGCATAGTCCCTTCAGTATTATGACACCTCCTAAACCTCTCAGCACCACCGGGAGTAACATTCCCATCAATATGCTTCAACAAATGATCCAACAACCCAGTATCACCGATCCTCTTCCGAGCTGAAACTCGTAACTCAGCCCTCGGAACAGGCCTCTCAAAAGAAGCTCCTTTCTCCTTCAATATCTCAAATAAAGCTAACTCCGCATTATCAAGCCTATAAACAAAACAAAAAAATCAGCAAAAAAGTAAGCTAAGTATGATAATGAACTATATATCATTAACTAACTAAAATTCTATCCTCTCTCCTCTTTTCTCTTCCTATCTCTCTCTCTACTTTCTTACCACAAATCTAATTTTCCTTTTTTTCCATTGTCATTTCACAAATAATAATGATAATGAACAAAAAGTATTGATCTTTGGATACCTTTCAGTATTCCAACGAGTAATCATTCCTCTACGAAGACACGTCTTCTGTTTCTGCTTCTCTGAACTGCTTTCACTCTTAACTGAGAATCTTCTCGAATTCTCAACTAATCTAGAGATCCGTTTTCTCTTCAAGACACCAAGAAGATCAGATTCTTCTTCTTCTTCTTCCTTCTTCTCTAACTTAACAGTAACCAAAGCTTTACCGTTAAAGCTCTCATCAGAAGAAACGTGTTTGTCCTTCTCTAACTTAACTTTAACCAAACCCTTCCCTGAGGAGCTGTTGTTGTTACCCTCTCCTTCCCTATGCTTCATCATCATCATCGCCGAGCTAGCCTTCAGCTTGATCGGACGAATCTCATTCTCAGACATCTCATTCCCTATAAAAATCAGTATACGAAAATGATAACCTAAGAGAGAGAGAGAGATAATGTTACAAATTAGGGTTTAGGTTTAACGACGGAGAAAATCTCAAGCGAAAGCATTGGAATCAACGGTGGAGATTAAATCGCGATTTGCGAAATTGACAACATAGAAAGGAAGGATCGGGAGATCAGGGAGGCACCGTGAGATCGATGTAGAGACGGAAGACAGAAACGGTGATTGATTGAAAAACGCCGTCAGAGGTGAGAGAGTGTGTGTCGCGTCGGGTTGTTGAGGAGGAGCCCTAAAAAAACCACCGCCAAAAAAAATCCCTAATTATATGCTTCGCCCTTTTTCTCTTTAATATTTTTTGTTTATTATTTTATTTTCATTTCTATGAGGAATTAAAGAGATTCGTCTCGTTCGCCGTGTATTATACAACCAATTAGATAGTCACGCGTGATCAAATCTCATGCGTCAATTTTACACCTTTTAATATTGAGAAATTCTCTAAGATATACATAAATTTTTATTGTCACAAATATAAAACTTAAAAATAAAAATGATAAAAATAAAGTTAAATATTTTATAAATAATAAGTAAATATACATTCATAATCTTTGAGTTAACTGATCTTAGATTTTTTTGTTTAAAGTTGACGAGTGTAGTATTGGGGGTAGGATTTCCAATTTTTAAAAATAAATAAAACTTAAAATTTTAAAATAAAAAATAAAAAATATTAACATGTTCATTTTAATTTTTTAAATCTATTTTTGTGATAAAAACTTAAAATATTCTATTTGAGAGATTTGCCCTTTAATATTTTTTTTGCAATATAAGAGAATTATTCCTACCTACACATATTATAAAAAAATGTATGAAAAAAAAATTCCTAACTCTATATACAAAACGATCGCAATTATTTAAAAAAATTTAGAGATGATGTTAAATCTTTCTTAAAACAATGCACCAAAATCAATCTTATTTTACTAAATTGGCTTTAGATGTGTTTATATATAGGGTAAACGTGCTATTTTCCCACGAAAACTATCATATAACATCAGATATCAATCGAACTATCAGCTTGTGCCATACCTCCCCAAATTATAAGTTATAAATTTATTTCACCCCAAATCAATAGTTCAAAATCTATTTATCCTCGAACTAATAGTTTAGAAGTTAATTACACATAAAAAACGGTTTAACCGGTTTATTGTTAACCAAACAACTTTAAAATCAAACAAAAATTCAATTTTATCAAAAAATAAGTTTTCAAAATCTCTCAAAATATGAAAATCTTTAGAATTTCTTTGATAATAGTGATAGTGTGGAGTTTGAATAGTGTATTAGCATTTTCATGTTTGATAAAAAATAGATTATTGATGTGTTTATTTGGTTTAAATTATAGGGTTAACAATAAACCAATAAAAACCATCATCTATGGACAATTAAGTTTGGAACTATCGATTCATGGAGAAATAAATTTGTAACTTTCAATCCATGGAGATTTAGCACGAGGTCATATTTCGGTGGATATGTGATGCCATATGATAGTTCTCGTGGGAAAATAGATCGGTAACCCTTATATATATAATATTTATTAGTATATATTGCATATATATAATATTTCAAAAACTATTATTTTACTATTTTCAAATGTATTATCTTATTGGAATTATAATCATAAATTTATCATTATTTATCATTTCTTAAATATCAATAAGATTTTATTTTACTTTTTGATAATAAAAAATTCGAACAATTCTCTCCGTCTGTAAAATTAAATCAGATAATTCACATAGGCATAGTTTACACCTTTATCGATTTTTCAAAGATGTCAAAAAATCGACTTTTCAAACTGAAGAATTCAGATTAATACTAATGTTTACCTCTTCATCGATGAACTACGTTTCAGGGATTGCATGCTGGGGGTCGAATGCTTTCGTCTCAGATGGCCTGGGTGAGTTTCTTGTTTATTGGTAAGAAGTTGATTTATTTTAGCTTTTGATTTCTCTTGTCTATGAAACGAATAGCATCAAGTTTAAGCGTTAATTTTGGTTGCCTTTTGTTACAATGGGTGTAGTAGTACTCTTGCGCACAGACAGTAAAGTAAATTTAAGAGCTTTGATGATGTGAGTTTTGACAGAACTAAGCAAAGTACCAAAACAGTCAATATTTTGTGTTGTGTCTTTACTCTTTACAGCATCAAAAATAGACAGGTGAATGTTGGAATGCTATGCTTAGCAGGGAAGAAAAGTTAGCATCTATAGATATATAGAAGAAAGGAAACTATGCTGTTGATCAAAAAAAAGAAAAGGAAAGTATGCTAATCATAACGTTAATAAAACCTACTATAGCTGAATAAAACCATAATAGATAACTAAATTGCCTAAAGGTAAAACCAAAGAAAAATGTATTCAAAGAAACATAAAATGTCTCCAATTGACAAAAGTCTGAAGATTGAAATAAAATATGACAAAGTCATTAGGTAAAGAAGAAAACAGTACTTAAAATGCAGCAAAAGAAAATCACTGCATAGGAGGATAGGTTGAAGCTACATTAGCCACTCAACGGTTGACTTCATCTGATCCAAGACACTCAGATGCTTTTATAATAAAAGTACATAAATTTACAATTGTTATTTATGAAAATTTGTAGTACAAAAAAATAATATTTTATATATAACTTTTATATTTGATATAAATACAGAAGTTAGATTATATATCTTATACACGAAAACATTTTTTATAAAATTAAATTTAGTTTAAAAAATATTTTTCCGCTTTTAAAGTGCGGAGTAAAACTGCTATACAATTATATCATATGTAGCAAATAAGTGAATAGTATGTAATAGTAACCTGTGTTCATCTGGTGTCCATGCAATCCCCTTACGACGTCTTTGCGTTAGTTTTGGTTTAGATTCTTGCCTAGACTCATATTTGTGATTGATGATGGCTGTTTCTTTGACAGGTGTTCCTTCCAAATAATCATACTCAGGAAGAGGCACGCATCCAGATTCAATCAGCATAACATCTTGAAGTAAACTCTCGTAGCGTTTTATAACTTGCTCTAATGTTTTCGAGGAACAACTCCAGCAATCTTTCCCTAACGATTCTGAGTTTCGTCGGTATACATTGATAGAGCATTCTCAAAAGCAATATCATCATCCCTGCTCCACGATGAACCACCACTGGTTTTCTCTCCTATGATCATCTTCTAAGCAATTCAATTACAAATATTAAAAAAGTTAGACCAAAACTAGATTTTACTATTAACTTGAATTCTTAGATTATGTTTTTAATTATAATTAACTACACAAACTAGCATTGAAAATTAAAAATAAAAGTTTGTTTATTTTGGAGATAAACTTTAATAGACACTTCAAAAAATATCAGTTTCCAGGATATAGCTTTTACAATAAAACTTTATTTCTTATTTTTTTATTTGGTCCCTATTTCTATATATTCCTAAACATTTATGGTGCAATAATACACTGTATCAATTATCATGTTACAAATGGTAAATTATATCAACTTTGACTTTTTTCTTCTGCAATAGTGTTTAATGGAAATAAATCTATATTTCAAAAAGTCGTATTTTTGTAATAAATAAGAATGTATAAGAACATAAAAATGGATAAGATCCTTAATAATTTTATCATGTTCATTGAGGTGTCAACTTTAAACAGTATACAAATTGTGACACCTTTACTATTTCATTATGAGGTAAGATTAATTTAATCTACTTAATTTTAAAAATTCACTTTTATATAAGAACAATATCATGTGGAAGGTTCGCTTGGCCTAGTGATTTGACTGAGAGTTCATTAACGGTTCTACATCAGGATATCCAGATTTCAATCCCCGACAAAAAAGAAAGCAATTTATTAATAATTATGTATGCTACGAAAGAAATGGTTATAAGAAATTTTCAACATAATGCAAGTAAACTCGGTAAGATATGAATTGGTTTGGTGATGAACTTAGGTGTAGATCATTATAAGGTAGATAGTATTGTTGGTTGTCGAATCGTCTATTTAATATTTTTAATAATTGTAATACCATAATAAATTAACGTTAAAAAAATATAAGCACAATATTTTATAAAAAAATCTCTTCTTAAACACACTTATAAAAATTAATCACCACTTTTTTTTTTAATATATAACCTAGGTCATTCAAACCACAACGACCCGACTAATCTTGGAAACCAATGACAAGGATGGATTGCTTAATATCCTTCCAACTAAAATCGTACCTAGGAAACCGAACGTACACAAAATTACTAAACCAATCCCACGTTGATATCACCACTTTTATTAGCTCCAATCAGTGCCGTGCTTATGGTGTTATTAAAAAGGCATTTACCTCATGCCCCAAAATAATATAATTTTAGGGCCCCAAAATATATAAGTAGTTTTATGGTGTAGTGGTTACAGTGTTTTCGTAGTTAGATTTATGTACGTTAGTTCGACTTTCATCTTTGCTATCATTAATATTTTGCTATTTTGATATATTTTAGCTTTTTTCAGATTATGTTTTTATGCCACAAATTTTTTTCTATGCTTTAGATTTGCTTTTAAATTTATAAGAAAAAAATTGTTATTTTCATTATTTTGTATATTTACTTATTTTTTATTTTTTATTATATTGTATATTTACAATTCTAATTTTCTTATTTTTATATTAAATGATAATATTACGATAGATGTTTAAAGCAACATTTCTATTTTTTATTTTGTATATTTCTTTATTATTTATTTTCTCTTATATGGTATATTTATTTATCTCATATATATTAAAAGAGAAGCATTACAGCTAGGCATGTTCAATCTGGTGTTCGGTCCGGTTTCGGTTCGGTTTTTTTCGGTTTTCGGTTATTCGGTTTATAAAAATTAGCTACCATATTTAATTTGGTTTGGTTCGGTATTTATACTACCGGTTTTCGGTTTATTCGGTTTTATACCAAATAACATTATTATTTGATTTGGTTTCATATTATATGAATTTTTTTAAAAACATATTGTCAAAACTATCATTTATTAAAATAATCCTAGGTGTTCATAAATATAAAAATGTGAAATTAACAACAAACAAAACGATCAACGATTCAGTTTTGTATAGCTTTTATTATTTTCTCTTTGTTCTTCCAAATAAATTACATGGCACAATCTAATTTCACAATTTCTTACAACATGTAAAATCAAATCAAATTTACATAATAGTTGAAGAAAATAAAATAAAATTATTAAGATATATCTTCACAAGGTATAAAAAATAAAAATAAAAAGACTATTCCAAGAAAATAAATGGTTATATAATATATATATTTATATATTTTTCTTTGATCGGTTTTGTTCGGTTTATTCGGTTTAATCGGTTATAAACCTAACCATATCCAAATCCTACGGTTTTTATAAATCATATCCATTCGGTTTATATGGTATATACCAAATCCAAACCATATTGTCTATTTCGGTTCGGTTCGGTTCGGTATCACCATATTGAACAGCCCTAATTACAGCTATCTAGTTATGACATGTGCCATCACTAGAATGCTTCTCAAAATTTCTAGAAAATTTTTTTTCCACACAAATATATAATATATTTTTTATTAAATTAACTATAGACTATTGTTAATGCTCTTCATTCTTTCCTTAAATATAAACTATGTAATAACCTAATATGATCCATATATATATACATGATAATTAGTGATTTGAATAAGAAAGATCTGATAAAAATTTATGTACCTTCAATTCTTTTTCTTAAATTTATATTATAAAAATAAAATAAAACAATCGAAGTAATAATATAATACAACAAATTAGTTTTTGTATATTTTATATTTTTTAAACGAATAAAAAATAAAAACCTTTAAAATTCAATATATATTTTTATGATTAATATTTTTTTTTCTGACAAGATACAAAAGAATCAATGAGTAGGAAGTATCATTTAATAGATATTTATAATATATTTATATATATGTAATTTTCTAATGACCTTTAAATTAAACTATATACCATCTAAAAATATACAATGTTTTTAATTTCAAAATTGCATTTAACAAGAATTGATAAATTAATACCTTAGTTTCAAACTTTGATTTTTTTAAAATGATTATGAATTACTATAAATATTAAAAATCTCATATTAAAGATTATGTTATCAAATGGTTTAAAATATGTTTTCAATGGTTTAAAAACTTTGTTATAAAATATACAAAGATCATAAAACCATATAGTTTTTCATTTCTAATATTGTGTATTTACTTATTAATTATTGTTTCATATATTAAATAATTACTTATTCTAATTTTGTTTTTGCTTTTATCTGCAATGGGTATAAGTAAATAAGTAATATTTAATATCTAATATTTACTTAGATATATATTTACGTATAAAAAGTACAGAAATAAGTATTATTTAATATATAATATTTACTTAGATGTATATTTACTTAAATGTTTATTGTTCAACTACAATAAAAATCTAATATTTACTTAGATTTGAATGTAATATTTTTGTATTTCAAATTGTATATTTACTTATTATTTATTTTAATATACATTTTTCATATAGATGTTTAATGTAGTTCTTCCTTTATGCTGTACATTTACTTGTTTTTTTATGTTGTGTATTTATTTATTTTAATATTATGATAGATGTTTAATATAATATTTTTATTTCTTATAGTATATTTACTTATTCTAATATTACTATAGATCTTTAAAGTAATATTTATATTTCTCGTATTGTATTTATACTTCTTATTTATTTTACTATACATTTTATATATTAACTTATTTTAATATTGTGATAGATGTTTAATGTAATATTTCTATTAAGTTATTATATATTTACTTATTATTTATTTTTATTATATTTTATATTTAATTATTCTAATATTAAGATAAATGATTAATCTAATATTTATATTTCTTATATTATATAATTATTTATTATTAATTTTTAATGCAATATAGCTTCTTTTGGAAGTGTGATTTTATACCGATGTGGATGCTCCATGAAAGTATGTTCCCTTTTTGAAAGTTGTGGGCTTCCCAACAATGTATAGCTATATTTATATATTTAAATGTATAGTTAATTATATTTAATTATCATTATTTTTGAGTATGTTATCATTTTATCATTATTTTTACTTATTATTTACTTTTGTATATTATCTATTTATATATTTAAATGTATAGTTACGATGGTTCAAGCTTACATCTTGAATTCTTTTTATTAAAATAGAGTAGTCACACATATGTAAATAATATTCTTTTGATAGATCAATAAATATGAAATTTCATCAAAAAATGTATAGTTACTTATATTTATTTTTTACATTTTAAGATTGATTTTAATGTAGTATTTCCATATTTTTAATTGTGAATTTACTTATTACTATTTCCGTATAATACATATTTCCATATTTAAATTTATTTTTACTGATATTATATATTTTCGTATTTAAATTTATATTTACTTATATTTTATATATTTAAATGATAATAATGTGATTTAATGTAATAAGATAATAGTAGTAATTATGCCACGTGGTTTCTTTTCGAAAGAGATTCTACGCTAAGGTGGACGTTATCTGAAGACTCAAAAAGTCCATATTATTAGTATAGATTTTAAATACAAAAGAAAAACAAATTGATTTTAACTGATAACTCAAACTGAATGTTAAGTTTTGTTACATCATAATACACATTAAAACAAGGGTTGGCAGAAACACAAAGGCCGGCCTCAGACCTACCTAATGAGAAGTATGTATATATGGCATGTTGTACGGAACTGGACCCATGTTAAACGGTGCACTAGGAATCAAGGAGTACGGTGCTGAGTGATGCTGAACACCGTAAGCCCTTTGAGCTGGAGCCAAGCGGTTCAAGTCACTTTCGGAAGGTAAGACCATTGGTCCAAGCATTGATTGGCCTACGGTGGGAGTGCCATAGATAGGAAAATATGGTTGCGAAGCAGCTCGAATGTTCCATATGTTGGGTGTTCCATACATAGGACGGTCTAGTGATTGTTGTGAAGTGACTTGTGTGTTCCATATGGCTGGTGTGTCATATTTAGGATAATGGTCGTGTGATGTGGATTGTGTGTTCCATATAGCTGATGTGTCATATGTAGGATAATAGTCTTGTGATTGTTGCGAAGTGGTTTGGATGGCTTGAGTGTTTTGCCATGTGTTTGGTATTTGCATTGTGTTACCGCTTTCTCCAACGTTGACGTCATATATGCTTTGTCTCACATTGTTTTTGTTCTTAGAGTTAAGGCGTGCGAAGTATTTCTGAGCATGACTTGCAACTTGAGTCGGTGTTCTCGTCACTACCAGGTGACGAGAAATGCTACGCCAATCACCTTTCCCATATTTTTCTAGACCAAGAAGAAACTGGCTGTTCACGAAAAAAATCCCAAAATCATTATCTTATAAAGATATTAACACTGTAAAACCATACTTATGCAAGAAAACATAATGTTTTTTTTTTTTCTATCATAACAAAATGACCACAAAAGTTATGTATCAATCTTATTAAAACATAAATATTACATTGGCCATAACATTTAATCATGTATATTATAGTTTCTAAAAAAAGAAGAAGATAATATTACATAAATGTCATTAGTAATTAATAAAAAAACAGAGAATTCAGTAAGACTAATCTTGTAAACTAGCATTATACATTAATCATGTTTCAAAAAAATATTAAATTTATGTCCAAATAATATAAAACATTAGATCTCATCTTTTTAATAATGCTCTTTATTAATCTTAATAGAAATTATTGAATAAAATAAAAATTTATTAAAATACTCAAATAGTTTATAAATTAAAAATAACCTTTTCATGTTTAAATATTAATATATTTTTATTTAATATGATGTATTTAAGTAACCAATTAGTGTATTTGTAATTTCATATATATGAAACATATTCATTTAAGCAAAATAATAATTCATATAAGATTAAAGACGATACATAAATAATTAAGATGTTAAACTCAATAACTTGACATTTAATAAATTTAGAATAAAAATTATATCTAAGATTTTTATAATAAAGTACATAAATTTACAATTGTTCTTTATGAAAATTCGTAGTACAAACAATAATATTTTATATATAACTTTTATATTTGATATAAATACAGAAGTTAGATTAGTTTACAGAGTCAGTTTGCGTTTGTTTATGTTAATGACAAAGAAAATACAGAAGTTAGATTATATAATATTATCTTATACAGCAAAACATTTTTTTATTAAATTAAATTTGGTTTAAAAAATATTTTTCCGCTTTTAAAGTGCGGGGTAAAACTACTATACAATTATATCATATGTAGCAAATAAGTGAATAGTATGTAGTAGTAACCTGTGTTCATCTTGTGTCCATGCAATCCCCTTACGACGTCTTTGCGTTAGTTTTGGTTTAGATTCTTGCGTAGACTCACATTTGCGATTGATGATGGCTGTTTCTTTGGTAGGTGTTCCTTCCAAAGAGTCGAACTCAGGAAGAGGCACACATCCAGATTCAATCAGCATAACATCTTGAAGTAAACTCTCGTAACGTTCTATAACTTGCTCTAATGTTTTTCCAGGAACAACTTCAGCAATCTTTCCCCAACGATTCTGAGTTTCGTCGGTATACATTGATAGAGCATTCTCAAAAGCAATATCATCATCCCTGCTCCACGATGAACCACCACTGGTTTTCTCTCCTATGCTCATCTTCTAAGCAATTCTGTAACAAATATTAAAAAGTTAGACCAAAACTAGATTTATATACTATTAACTCGAATTCTTAGATTATGTTTTTAATTATAATTAACTACACAAACTAGCATTGATAAAATTAAAAACAAAAGTTTGTTTATATTAGAGATAAACCTTAATAGACACTTAAAAACAAATCAGTTGCCAGGATATAGCTTTTATAATAAAATTTTATTTCTTATTTTTTGTTTTCCTTTTTTGCTTGGTCCCTATTTCTATTCCTAATAATTTATGGTGCAATAATACATTGTATCAGTTATCATGTTACAAAGGTAAATTATATCAACTTTGACTTTTTTTTGTTTTGCAATAGTGTTTAATGGAAATAAATCTATATTTCAAAAAGTCGTATTTTGTAATAAATAAAAATGTATAAGAACCTAAAAATGGATAAGATCCTTATTAAATTTACTAGTTGCATACTCTCCGCGCAAGCACGGGGCCATGATCATTATGTTTGCGTGTATTCTTTTCGATTGTTGGTTTAGTGAATTCTTCTAATGACACGAAATAATAATGAAATGGAAAGAATATAGTAAGAATGTAAAGTGAAAATATTGTATATCTAATGTGTTAAATCTCTATAATATTATTTGAGAAGTCACTTTCTTAGGTGTCGCACTCACGTTAACTCTCACGCTGGTTGATTACTATGATACCCCTAATGAATTAAAAATATATTTAAATATTATTATTTCCTTTTTAAAATCTTCCAAATAACAATATAAAATAAAAGGAAATATTTATAAAATTTTAAAAACTATCTAAAACGAAAAATAAGTATATATATAATATGGTTTCATAAAAAAGAAAAGTTTACAAAATAGTAATATTTAACTTAAATATATTTTTAAATAACATAAATTATACTTTTAAGTAACAAAATACTTTATATCTATATCTTGTTAGATGAAAAATATTTGTATATAATGTATTTTCATTAAAAAAGTTCATACAAATAATCTTGATATTAGAAAAGAAATATTTTTCTTTAAAAATAATTTAAACAATAAAATATATATTTTCAAAATTTTTTTTGATATATCTATCTATTTTATTAGATTACTAGGTGATTTCCCGTGCTCATGCACGGGCTTAAATATTTAAGAAATAAATATATTATAATAGTTGATTGATATTTACTTTAAATTTTATATTAATTTATAGTTTGTATGTATAATTTGTATTAATAATATTATATATTTTAGTTATTATAATTTTATATATATTATATTTAGTCAGTATTATCATTTGGATATATATATATATATATATATATATGTATATATATTGGATTCTTTCTATTCTATGAATTCAACAATAATCTTTTTTATTCTAAATATCTTAAATTTTGGATTAAATATTTTATTTACCTTTATGTTGGTTGTTATCTACGAAATATAAGTATATCTTAGTAAGATTATGTATTTTAAGTTTTTTTGTGCTTAGAACGAAAAAAAATAAAAACTAAAGTGTCTGATTCTAAATTACATAAGTAATAATAAATTTTTGAAAGCTTATGAACACATATCAATATTTACAATAGTTAAAATATTTTATAAACTCTAAATAATTTATGCTATAGATTGATTGGATGATAAACTGAATTTTTTTAAAAATAATTTTAAAAATAAGGAATTCTGATTTGCTTTAAGTATTAGATTATGGTTATATTAAATTCCACAAACATAAAAACAGAAAATTAAACATCAAAAGAGTTATTAAGAAAACAGATAATTTTAACTATTAATTATAATATATCTACCTTGTTAAATTATAGTGTTATGATATATTAAAAGAATTGTAGTTATTTGNTAATTTTAACTATTAATTATAATATATCTACCTTGTTAAATTATAGTGTTATGATATATTAAAAGAATTGTAGTTATTTGATCAAAAGATGTTTATTATTAAATTTATTTTTAGTTTTGTTTTTAACATCTATTAAAATATGCAGTAAAAATGTGATTTTTTGAGAAATTATATTATATAAGTAAAATATAATTTATATTTTTTGCTGTAATTGTAAGATATTATAATCAAATAAATATACAAAAAAAATATTTCAATAATACTAATTATATTTTTTGTCAATTAAACATATATCAGTTTATGTTACTTAATTATTTTATGTAATAATCTAATAAAATAGATAGATATATCAAAAAATAATTAATTTGAAAATATATATATTTTATTGTTTAAATTATTTTTAAAGAAAAATACTTCTTTTCTAATATCAAGATTATTTGTATGAACTTTTTTAATGAAAACACATTATATACAAATATTTTTTTCATCTAAGAAGATATAGATATAAAATATTTTATTACTTAAAAGTAAAATTATGTTTTTTAAAAATATATTTAAGTTAAATATTACTATTTTGTAAACTTTCTTTTTTTATGAAACCATATTATATATATACTTATTTTTCGTTTTAAATAGTTATGTAAATTTTATAAATATTTCCTTTTTATTTCATATTGTTATTTGGAAGATTTTAAAAAAGAAATAATAATATTTAAATATATTTTTAATTCATTAGGGGTATCATAGTAATCAACCAGCGTGAGAGTTAACGTGAGCGCGACACCTAAGAAAGTGACTTCTCAAATAATATTATAAAGATTACATAAAATAATTAAGTAACATAAACTGATATATGTTTAATTGACAAAAAAATATAATTAGTATTATTGAAATATTTTTTTAGTATATTTATTTGATTATAATATCTTACAATTACAGCAAAAAATATAAATTATGTTTTACTTATATAATATAATTTCTCAAAAAATCACATTTTTACTGCATATTTTAATAGATGTTAAAAACAAAACTAAACATAAACTTAATAGTAAACATCTTTTGATCAAATAACTACAATTATTTTAATATATCATAACACTATAATTTAACAAGGTAGATATATTATAATTAATAGTTAAAATTATATGTTTTCTTAATAACTCTTTTGATGTTTAATTTTCTATTTTTATGTTTGTGTAATTTAATATAACCATAATCTAATACTTAAAGCAAATCAAAATTCCTTATTTTTAAAATTACTTAAATAAAATTTCAGTTTATCATCCAATCAATCTATGGTATAAATTATTTAGAGTTTATAAAATATTTTAATTATTGTAAATATTGATATGTGTTCATAAGCTTTCAAAAATTTATTATTACTTATGTAATTTAGAATCAGACACTTTAGTTTTTATTTTTTTCGTTCTAAGCACAAAAAATCTTAAAATACATAATCTTACTAAGNTTATCATCCAATCAATCTATGGTATAAATTATTTAGAGTTTATAAAATATTTTAATTATTGTAAATATTGATATGTGTTCATAAGCTTTCAAAAATTTATTATTACTTATGTAATTTAGAATCAGACACTTTAGTTTTTATTTTTTTCGTTCTAAGCACAAAAAATCTTAAAATACATAATCTTACTAAGATATACTTAAATTTCGTAGATAACAACCAACATAAATGTAAATAAAATATTTAATCAAAAATTTAAGATATTTAGAATAAAAAAGATTATAGTTGAATTCATAGAATAGAAAGAATCCAATATATATATATATATATCCAAATGATAATACTCACTAAATATAGTATATATAAAATTATAATAACTAAAATATATAATATTATTAATATAAATTATACATACAAACTATAAATTAATATAAAATTTAAAGTAAATATCAATCAACTATTATAATATATTTATTTCTTAAATATTTAAGCCCGTGCATGAGCACGGGAAAATCAACTAGTGTTATTTATATGCGAAGTAATGTTTATAGGAATAGTTAGGCTATAATATAGTTTTTACTGTGTAAAAGTAGGTATATATTTTTATTTTTTTTGCTGTAAATAGTTTTTATATCGTATGTCAAAACTTGATATAATTCTATATTTTTACTATTTATATTTGTATTAAACGATTTATCAATTTGAAAATAACCTTAACTAAATTAATATTCGTTGTTTAAGTTTCATTAGATAGGCTTTTATATATGGTTTTGTAAGTTTGGGTTTTGTTCATAAATGATGTGACATTTTTATCTACGGCGTCATCGACTGTAGGAATCCATTCGCCGAAGTCTGGAGTTGGTAGTGAGGAATATTTTCAACGAAATTATAGTAGTTATTAAAATTAAAGAGAAATTACATATTCATTTAATAAATAACGATAAATACTTAAATTTTGTTGTTTATTTTATTTTATTTTATTTCACATACAAATTTTTTGAAAATATATTAGGAATGTGTTAAATGTTATTTATATGCGAAGTAAGGTTTATAGGAATAGTTAGGCTATATTATAGTTTTTAGTGTGTAAAAGTAGGTGTTTTTCTTTTTGCTGTAAATAGTTTTTCTATCGTAGGTCAAAACTTGATATAATTCTATATTTATATTTGTATTAAACGATTTATCAATTTGAAAATAACCTTAATTAACTTAATATTCATTGTTTAAGGTTCGTTAGATAGGTTTTTATATATATTTTTTGTAAGTTTGAGTTTTGTTCTTAAATGATGTGGCATTTTTATCTACGGCGTCATCGACTGTGGGAATCCATTCGCCGGAGTCTGAAATCGATGGTGAGGAATGTTTTCAATGAAATTATAGTAGTTATTAAAGTGTAAGAGAAATTACATATTCATTTCATAAATTACGAAAATAATTAATTTTTGTTGTTTTTTTATTTTATCTCACATACAATTTTTTTATAAAATATATATTAGAAAATATGTGCAATGATTTAACTTTTTGAGCTCTTAATCTATATTATTCAAGTCTCATTAAGCCATTTACGTAGGCAGCCGCGTGGGATTCACTTTTTGTTTTTGTTTTTTGGTCTGTTCGTTTTTGGATTCATTTTTTATTATTTTTGGGTTGAGCTATATTATAATAGGATATTTTAAGGCTCTTTAACCCATCCGCATAGGCAACCGCATGAGACTTGTTTTTTTTTTTTATTGTTCATTTTTGGATTCATTTTTAACTATTTTTGGGTTTGAACTTGTTAAGCTTTAGGGTTTATTCAACTATTTTGATCTTTAAAACAATAAGCCCAAAAAAAGAAACATAAAAACCTTATAAACAAAAAGTCCATATGATAATAAACCAAATAAAAAAATCAAAAATACATGATAGTTGCGTGGTGTGAACCCACAATCTTGCATACTTAATTAGACTTCTTATACCACTTGGCTAAAGTATATTTCATTGTTCACAATCTTCTTACCAAGACTATGGGTTTTGAAAAAACCCACAAAACTGTTGACGTGTCGCATTGTGGAGCCTAGAAAGTCTACTATTATAATATAGATTATGTTCATTGAGGTGTCAACTTTAAACAGTATACAAATTTTGACACCTTTACTATTTCATTATGAGGTAAGATTAATATAATCTACTTAATTTTACTAATTCACTTTTAGCTATTTATATAAGCACAATATCATGTGGAAGGTTCGCTTGGTCTAGTGATTTGACTGAGAGTTTATTAATGTTTTCACATTTGAAGATCCAGATTTTAATCCCGGATAAAAATGAAAGCAATTTATTAAATAATTATGTAGGCTACGAAAAAAATGCTTACAAAAGATTTTCAACATGATATAAGTAAACTCGGTCAGATATGAATCGATCTGGTGATGAACCTAGGTGTAGATCATCATAAGGTAGATACTATTGTCGGTTGTCAAATTATTGTTAATTTAATATTTTTCATAATTGTAATACCATAATAAATTGACGTTAAAAAATATAAGCACAATATTTATAAAAAGTATCTTTTTAAATACACTTATAAAAAATAATCACCACTCTTTTTTTTGATATATAACCCGAGTCATTTAGACTACAACGACCCGACTAATCTCTGAAACCAATGAAAAGAAAAAAACAAGAGAGAGGTAAGAGAAAATTCTCTCCAGAGTCTCTCCTCCCTTTGTTTCTCTAAACCTAACGTCGCAGTCAAAACTGAATTTCTCTCACGGTGGTCGGTGATTTTCTATCTCCGGTCACCGCGGGTGGTAGACTCGTCATTGTTCTCGTCTCATATCCAAGGTGTTCTTCCCTTCTTTCTCTCCTCTTTTCTCGGTGCTTCTAGGTTTGATGGAGTTCTTCACCAGATCTGTTAGAAATCAAAGGAGTCTTTGTTTCTCGGGAAAACAGGCAAGGCAAGAAGATACGAAGGACCCTTGGACGCCTTGGATCTCCCTGTATTCGCCATCTGCACTCGGATCTGGGTCAGATCTGAGATCCGAGACCCGCCGGAGCCTCTAAAGCGTCGCTGCCATCACGCTCCTGCCTCATCGTCTTGGTCTATTCTATCGGTTAGCTTCAAGTGTTTGCAGAGCTTCTCCGCTCAGTCTCTGAGTGTAAGGTGGCTTGGAGACGCACCACTGAGGACCTATGTCACCTAGACCAAGAGATAGCATCCATGGCGCTCCTCTGATGATGATCGAGTAGGCTATCCTTCCAGATACCATCGTCTCACTAGGGTCTTGAGGACAACCCGTTGTGGCAGTGTCAACTGCTTCAAGGCTAAGCTCTCTCTCATCGTTTGAGTCGTCTGTTTTTCAAGGAGTTTTTTAACACCTTCCGTGCTTCTTTTCCCTTGTGCCAAAGCTCCAACAGTCTGATTGGGCGTACCCATTGTCTCTACTGTTGTGTCGCGTGACCGGATGGGGAGCATGTTTGTTCCGCTTGCGCTTGACTGTAACTTGAGCTTCACCTTCAGCAGTATAGCCACTAGTCTTCACTCCATCTTCTGTTGAGATAGTCAGGGTCTGGTTCTATTGATGTCCTTCTCCAGTAAAGCTCCGAGGCGTGAGCCAGCCGCCTTCGTCGATGCCTGCTGGAGACACTTCGGTGAGTGCTCGACTGATCCTACCCTACGGCTATTCCTCTTGTCTCAGCATGTTTGTTCAGGTTAAGCAAGAAGGCTTTGGTCAGGGATTTTAATTGCTGTCTCTTGTTCTGTTTTGTCTATTAGTTTCACGCTCTCTATTGCTGGTAGCTTAGACTAATTCACCTAAGTTCTTAGAGGTTTTTTAAAACTTTTTGTGGCCTCTTAGAATCTAAATGGCTGTTATAGCAGAACTTGGAATCAGTTCATCTTCATCTTGTAACCGAACCTTCATTCTTTTCGAAGTAATGACATTTACAATTTAGCAAAAAAGAAACCAATGACAAGAATGGATTGCTTAATATCCTTCTAACTAAAATCGTACCTAGGAAACCGAACTTACACAAAACCACTAAAACAATCCCGCGTCGATATCACCACTTTTATTATCTCCAATCAGAGCCGTGCTTATGGTGTTATTAAAAAAGCATTTGCCTCAAACCCCAAAATAATATAATTTTAGGGCCCCAAAATACACAAGTAGTTTTATGGTGTAGTGGTTACAATTTTCGTAGTTAGGTTTATGTACGATAGTTCGACTTTCATCTTTGCTATCATTAATATTTTGCTATTTTGATATATTATAGCTTCTTTCAGTTTATGTTTTTTTGCCACAATTTTTTTTCTATGCATTAGATTTGCTTTTAAATTTATAAGAAAAAATGTTTATTTTTTTATTATATTGTATATTTGCTTATTTAATATTTTTATTATATTGTATATTTACTATTCTAATTTTTTTATTTTTATATTAAATGATAATATTACAACATTTTATTATTTACTTTGTATATTTCTTTATTATTTATTTTCACTTATATGGTATATTCTTTTATCTTTTATATATTAAAAAGAGATAAAACTAAGAAACGTATCTTAACCAAAACTAAAAAACCCGCCTGAACACTCCCTCCCCCTCCCCNCTCCCCCCAATAAAAATGGCCTCAATATCCTTCCAACGAAAATCGAACTTAGGGAACTGAACTTACACAAAACCACAAAACCAATCCCACGTTGATATCACCACTTTTATTAGCTTCAAATCCAATCATATAACTTTTCCATCCCTACTTAGATAGGCCTCGATTGGTACAGCAAATGAAAAAACAGTAGCAGTATACTGCAGAAGCAGTATGCTATACAAGCTGTATGCTTTCATTAAAGTTTTTAATAAAGTGATTAGCAGAGCATTAGCCGTATACGATTTTAAAATTGTCATATTAGTTAGTAAAATAATATATTACTTTTAAAATAATATATATAATATATATTAATAATATACAATTTTATTATAAATAATGAATTTTCATTATATAATTTTATTTAAAAATTTAAAGTTTTGTAAAAATATTAAATTATTTTTGGATATAACATATTACTCATATATAAAATTATAGTTATAATTTAAATAATTATTTAAATTATAATTATTATTATATAAATAAATAAATAAATTATATTTTCTATATAAATTAATTATATTTTATATATAAATTATGATTATTTATTTATTGGTAGAGCACTAAATTACTCATATATAAAATTATCATAAAAAATAATATATAGTTTATTTATTAGTGTCTAAATAATATGTTTATATCGATAATATATAAATTATATTATGTTATGTTTGTTATTAAAAATATTGAATGATATATGTAATTACATAAATTATATTATATTTTAAATGTGAAATATTGTTCTTTTTAAAAAAAAAATTATAATTTTTATTTTTATTTTTTAAAATATAAATTTATATATAATTATAAAAATATTGTTTATATATTTAAACAAAAATAAATTAATTATATATAAATATTATTAAGTTTTATATTTTCTATATGCAAATGCTCTCCTAAAAGCTCTATATGAGAACATTGAGCAAATATCATTTGGAGAGCATTTGCATTCGGTAAATGTTTTTCTAAATGCTTCTTTGCCAAATGTTGATTGAATAATAGAGAGCATAATGCTTATGCTAATGCTCTATTAATCAACCTCATAGATTTTGTACTACTAATTTATTGTATACAGTTTATTGGGCTTTTATTTATGAATGTACATTTGTACACCACGTTTACAATCTTATACCATGTGGTAGATTACGATTGAATTATACACCAGCTAGGTAGAGCAATTTTTATAACCTTTTAACGGGAAAATAAGGTGATATTCATATCCAACAGATAACTTAATTACACTAGTAATTAAAAGAAGAAGAGCAAAATTATCTCAGGAAAAGGTAATTCCCGAGAGAATTAATCCTCGACTTCACACACGTAGATGGTGATGAAGATATCAAGATAAAGAGTACAAAATCAACAAGACAACAACGCAATAGATAGTCAAACATATTTTTCAGTTTTTAACAAGCTGAAGTGGAGTGTGTGCCGTTTTTAACTTCCTGTCCATTTTCAATTCCAGCCTTCCGATCATTACATATACACTTGCTCGCCGTTGGTACGACTGTGATCTCTGCTGGTTCAGGAGATGCCTGTGTGCCTAGCTTCAGCATATCAATACTCACCTCCGGCAACTTAGCTGCTTCGAGTTCTTTCTCCACCAAATCCGACGGCGTTTTGCAGTATTTGAAAACCACGTAGAGTATCATTTGAAGTGCACCGAGAACAAACCCAATCACGTTCGGGAACTGCGATATCGACAGATGAAAAGTTGTTAGTGCTCAAAGCAATATTAACTACTTTTTATTTTAATATATGAACTTTTCACTTTATAGATTCATATCAATTTGTAGAATATGGTTACGTGCAATATACTACTGTATTACTTTATAACAGATTTATAGATAGAACTCTTTTGTAAAAGATGTTTTTTTTTTAAGATAAAAGGAGTATCTTTAGCGTTTGTGGAATATATAATATGTAACGCGACAATAATACCGAACAAGAAAAGGTTTATGCTTTATTTATGATATTAGTTTTGTATGTAGGCTCAGGTATATAGAAACAAAAGCAAACACTTTCACGCAAATAATGATGATTATGATAATGATTATTATTACTTACAGCAACGTAGATATCCCTAAGAGCAAGACCATAAAGAAGCCAGACGACCGCACTGATGGTAAGTGTCAAGGATAAGCTAAACGGCATGTACTCCACACTTTTTGTCTTTATCACCGTTCTCTGTTTTTAATACAAGATTTAATTAACTAATTCAAAATATATATTTATCTTAGTTTTACGTATGGAACACTAGCTGCCTAGTTAGACTAGTACTTACGATAATGCTAAGCGGCGCAGCGAAAACGCAGACAGAGAATCCGACACAGATTCCTCCAATGATTTTCGCACGTGTGGTTCCTTTTGCTAAGAATTGACAGAGGAGGAGAATCACACAGAATCCTCCAAAGTTCATTAGCAACAAGAGCTTCACCGTTAACATCTGCACCAAAATAAATATCATTAGATATATATATATCACATAATCAAATATAATGAATTTCGCATATGAGGGCTAATCAATGAACATACTCGTGCTTTCTTGGTGGCGAAGGCAACGAATATGGCTATGTAGATGGTTTCGATGAAGCAACCAAAGGAGTTGATGGTGACGAGAAGGAAGACATCTTTCTTCTGAGTGGCGTAGTAGAGCCAAAGCATTGCGCTGAAGAGGGCCACCACGTAGGGAAGTGATTGAAAATCTTCTGTGGTTTTCTTCTTCCATATCCTATAGAACGTTGGCCTGCATCCAGAATCAACTTGATTATTAAATTTTGATTTTCTCAACTGGTTTGGTTTATATCATATGATCACTATTATAGTTCTTAGATACTCATGTTTTAATGAAGTAAAGATGTGACTACTTACACGGGAGAGAGGAAAACAGCAAAGGAAATGATGTTTCCTGAAAAAAATTAAAACACGATTATAATGGAAGTATAATGTTAATAGCAGTTACCCAAAAAAGTATAGTGTTAATAGACATACTGGCTTTACAATATGGTTAGAGATTATGACGATATCAAATTTGATATAAAAGGAGATAAGTTCATACCGAGCAAGCCGAAGGCAAAGGCCCATGTGTTCTGAGTGTTGAAGATAGCCATGTATATCGATCTTTGGTTTAAGAGTTTTTTTTTTGGGTAAGAAAAATTATAGGTCTTTGTGTCTATATGAGGAAAAGATGAGCTTTTTGAGGTAAGTGTTTCTCTTAAATAAAAAGCCAATGGCACGACCTTAGAATCTGGGGAGCTCAAGTATATATAGAGGGAGGAAATAATGGGGTAAGATAAATGTTTAGTGTGAACCATTATACTTTTCTATAAAAAACACACATATATACATGTATATATTTCAGTATTATTGTCTTTGTAGGTGTACTGCAAAAACAAATGTCCTTAGAAAGTTATTCACAAAGCCAATCCACACCAATATAACTTTTTGATTAATAATGCATGTCGATTTCTGTTTTAGGCCAATTATTTCTTTTAAAAGCTTCATGTCTAGATTCTACCTATTTCACACATATCTATAGACTATATGTGATTTGTTTTTACATGTTAAAATGTTTTTTTTTTTGATCAAACATGTTAAAATGTTTTCTGCGGTTTGATAAAATTACAAAGCTCTTGAATAAATTACGTTTCCAAGAAAATTAGTTCACGTGAAATTGTACGTACTCCCTCTGTTTCTAAATAAGTGTCATTTTAGCCTTTTAATTTTGTTTCAAAAAAAGTGTCATTCTACAATCTCAATGTAATTTTGTACATTAAATCTATTTTTACCCTTTTGAATAACCAATAGTATTTTACTTAAATTATTTTCATTTAATTAAACATACATTAAATAGAGATATATTAGTCTATTATACAATTTTCTTAATTTATGTGCAAAGAGTCAAAATGACACTTATTTAAAAACAGAGGGAGTAGTAACTTTTTATTCTAAATTTACGTTTCTCAATTTCAAAAGTCATAACTTTTATTATTTATATTTTTGCCGTTTCATCAATCATTAACATTTTGCCCGTACATACCCCAATCAACTAAAGAAAACAGTTAATAATAACACATAGATAGATGCTCTCTTTCATTTGTACTTGAATTAACATTTGTTTCATCAACGATATTCACGTTTTGTTCTTACGTTTTAAAAGGTAAAATAAACGGAAAGAGAGATAGACGGCTTAACTAATGGACACTATTGGTTAAGTGTTTTTTTGTTGTCAGCTACTGGTCATGATTAATACAGTTATAATTGAATGAATGCATATAGCTGCTCATTATTTAACGGTTGGTCATAAAACAATTCGTTAGACATCATGATATATATAAGCAAATTCAAGATAGATTTTGGCAGATTATGATTGCAAGTTTTTTTTATATAGGTAGGCTCCAACATGAAGGAGAAAAGGTTGGTCTAGAATGCAAGTAAGTAGTCATGGTTAGGACCTCATATATGGTTTTACTATGATTATGGCTCACAATTAGTGCCGCTATACTTTGAATTTTATAAGCCTGAAAGCAAAATGAAAATAAACTGCTATATATGTGATCAAAACTTGGAACATGACGTTCTAGACTATAACGTAACATATATAATATAAAATCACTTAAGTTTTGGTAAAAATAAGTAAATAACCGAGAATAGTTTACAATGATGGAAGTTGGAAGTTTATGCTTCACAGCTTCCTGCCAAGGTCAGGGATCAGTCTAGACCGGACTGTTTTGGTTAAATGAACGTACTAATTAGGTTAATTTAGTAACTTATTATGCTTTCACATGTTTGACTGAAGAATTCTGTAACACCCCGACCGTTCACAGCTAATGGGTCACCCACGTTGTTCTTTCGGCCCGAGGCCCCCTTCCCGTTCCAACGGTCGGTCCATTAATTTTCTAAGGTTCTAGAGTAATGTTTACTGATCTTGCAATCAGCACCCGACCTTTCCCCGTGCTTTGGTCTCACTTACACGGTATCACAAATCACTTACCAATAGGTTACCAATCCTTTGACTACTCCAGTTTAACCACGCTTAACTCTGGAATTTTTTCTGGATGTGCTCCCAAAAAGGTAAGTGCACTTTGGTGACATAGGTAGTCAACTCAATTCTCTTATCCTTTCCGTATATCAGAATTCGGGATGTTACAATTTACCCTCTTTCAAAGAACGCAACGTCCTCGTTGCGTCTCACGACAGGTCTCAAGACGCCTCTCAGGTCAGAACTGAGATGGCTGACCAGTTCGGATACCACTTGTAACGCCCCGACCGCCCACAACTAATGGGCCACCTACGCCCACTCTCTCGGCCCGTGGGCCCCTTCCCGTTCTAACGGTCGGTCCGTTAATTTTTCAAGGTTCTAGAATCATGTTTACTGACCCTGCAATCACCACCCGACCTTTCCCCGTGCTTTGGCCTCATTTACACGGTATCGCAAATTACTTCCCGATAGGTCACTCATCCTTTGACTACTTCAGCTCAAGCACGCTTAACTCTGGAGTTTTCTTTGGATGTGCTCCCGCAAAAATAAGTGCATTTTGGTGACATAGATAGTCAACTTAATTCTATTAGCCTTTCCGTTTGTCAGAATTCGGGATGTTACAAGTTCATTCTTCTAGGGTGATTTCTTTTCTAGTATAATATTTCTTATAACTAATTTATTTCTAGTATAAATTGTAAATGAAAAGATATTAATTCAAATTAATTATTTCAGTTAACTACATCGTCACGAGATTGTTCACAATTTTGAAAAATCCATCTGTATTTGAACAACATGCTAATAATATCTCTTTCGTAACACTGCAATAAGATGCTTAGTAGGTATGTGGCTGAAAATGACTAGGGCATCATAAAAACTAAATATTAGTTCACATATATAATTTATTACGAATAAATAATAAAGAGTATCATAAATTTACTGGAACCATCCTGAGTTTCAGATATAAGATTTTCCAAATAAAAAGAATTCCAGTCATACAAATTTAACAAAAGTATATTAAATTTTTGACAAGCTCATTAATACTAGAAAAATGCAGATATATATATATTTTATAACACCCACACGAAACAGAAATGTACGCTTAGTAGAAATGATAATTATACACGTGTTGTAAACTTGTAATCAACTTGTTACGTACGTAGACTAGCTATAGAACTCTAATGGCAGAAGAAAATCATGCAGATAAAATAAATAATTAGAAAATGAAAAGAAAAATAAAAGGTGAGCAAACAAGAAAGCAAAGCGAAAGACGAACTGAAATGTGGTTCTTCTAAATGTACCAAGTTGCTCTCACTCTTTTATGCCCAATCATCTTCTCTCTATGTTCTTTTGCTTTTTCTTTTATTTTCTATTTACTTCATTTATCTTATATTTTACATAGAACAACTTGCGATCTGGAAGACAGAAATGTGGTTCTTCTAAATGTAAAGTTATTTATTCACATATTAATATACAAATCCTAAACGGATATTTGCTCCAGTAAGTTTTGTTCTTAACAATATACTCTGGTGGGCTTAGCCTTGATATACAAACATCTGTTTCCAAATAGCAATCAGAAATCTGTATATTTGTATATACTAAACTAACAGAAATAGAGTGATTTAAATAAATACAAGAGATTATTTTTTGCTATATCCTTTTTGGAGTCTATATTAGGCGATACCTTTGATGAGACTTATCCAATTTTTTTTACCATATTGTCATTCCTTTCACATGTATGTGACTCTCTCTGCTTACACACTCTCTCTGTACTGACACACTCTCTCTCCCCACAATCCCTCTTTCTCTTTCCTTCGATTTTACTTTCTTTCTCATTCTCAAACTCTTTTATCATGTTAATATCTTCTTTTTTTGTGTAAAAATTTGTCGTTGCGAAAAATTTATTACTATTTTACTACTATTCTTATTAATCTAAATTATTTTAATTTCACCATATTCTGAATAAATCAGCATTGAAGTTTTTTTTTAAATCGCCGAGATGTTAACACTTATGTTAGCTGTTAACAAATAATGTAGATGTCAACAACAGTGTTAACTGTTAACAAATACATGTATCGGATGTTTTAACAGAGACATTAACTGTTAACAAATTTTGTAAATGTTAACAGATGTGTTAACAGAAAGCAGTAACTGTTAACAATTTTTGTAGCTGTTAATATTTGAGTTAGTTGTTAAAAAACATATACTATACGTGTAACAAATGTGTTAACTGTTAATAATCGTAGATGTCAATACATTGTTATGTATTATAAGTAAAAAAATTTATATTGTTGAAGTTTCAATTTGGTCCAAAAATATGTGAAAATAGTGTAAAAGAAAGAAATGAATGTGAAAAATAGATGTATGAAAAATATGTGTGGTTTAAAGAAAAAGAGATGTGGTAAAAGAGGAATAATCGTTGGAGAGAGAATGTGTCAGATATAGGCAATAGCTTCTGAGAGTTGGAGAAGGTCAATTTGGTCCAATTCCAAACAAATTGTATAAAAAATTGTCTTAATGTCAACTCATAGGCAAACCACTAATTTAGCTCTCGTATTTTCCTAAATCTCTCTAAATAAAAATCCTAAGTAGTCAATGCTATGAGAATGATTCAAACTAAGTTTTCTATTAATGGAAATGTACAGAAAAACAAAATTAATTAATTCACTTTATTTACTACCTTACGTGCCATCGGAAAACGACACCATGTTCAATGTTTTGGTGTCTAAATTTTGCAGTTAGGTTCTAATCAGTTGTCCTCTCCAGTACTATAAAGTTAATAGTGGAACATGTTAACAAGCTCTATGCTACTACCGTGTCTTTATTTAGCCTAAACCTTTTTTTAATCTTGCCTAAACTTTGTATTTATCAGCCAGTCTAATATACATAGCGTTGAAGATTTTTCAGTTGCCTCGGCACGTGTGTAAGATTCACGTATAAGATTAACTTTCCTTCAAAGTCCAGCAACGTTAGAAGATTTTCTCAACTGCGTCGACAAGAGATTTTTAATAACCATATCTTTCTCTTTTCTTAATATAAAGTTTTATCTGACCAATGAATGCAAAAGAGAAAGGAGGTGTGCACAAGAAATGCCTATCGAGTGATACAAAAACGTCATTGGGTAATTGAATCCTTTATATTCCAAACTTTTTGGTAAATCATTCATGGCTAACCATGTCCATCGTGAGTCGTGACGTGGGATTATGTTTCATGCAAATATTAAATATTTATAAGATACGAGAGAAAGAAAACAAAAACTAATTGAAACATGCATGAAGATAACGAGCACGTCGGCTTTATCTAGAGGCCCCTGTGTTAAAAGAGAAAAATGTAAAGATAGATTCAAGACGATATGGTATGATTGTCCGAATTTGTTATTGCCACTATATAAATATCACATCTTTAATAAGTAACCTAAATTGCATTTTTAAAAATGTTTAGAATTTATTTCTTTTGAATATATAAATCTGAAACATGTAATGTCTAGGGCTGTAAATATATATATATATTATTGTATGGATCGTGAACGTGAATTAGATCTGAATATATACTTTTGATTTTCATTACTGCAAAAGTGCAAACTGTTGTTTAATCCTAATTTTTGGTTCGATATAACTTTCTAAATCAATAATAATTCATTATGTGTTATTTCTAGGATACTACCGTGATATATGATGCAAATTATAACTCTTACCGCTGTCATATAAAGCTGAAGAAAATAGATCAAACTCATATGAAATATTCTGCATCATGTAAAATAATCCTTCCAAGCAGTAATTATTAATTAGATTTAAAAAGAAGAACGTTAAAATAATAAAATGAAAAGCAGATAAAGCTTTCGTACCAAATTGTTTTTTTTTTGTGTGTAAAATAATATCTCTAATTATTGAAGGCTTTATTGGACAATATATGAGTGATGATTCCACTCCCATGTAAAAGAAGAACCGGATAATATCAATCTTTTGTGTTTTTCCTCTTTTTCTTTCACTTTTCTCTATAAATTATTTATTTCTATTTTTTGTAACACACTAAGAACAATAATGTGTCTTCCCCAAAATCTGCTAGAGAACACTTGGCAACTTGTTTAGTTGTATTATGATTGTGAAAGTGCGTATTATATATCCCATTATCATCTTCTCTATGAAAAAATCAATTATATTCGAGAATACGAGTTAGAAATGAAGATTATCTCCATCCACTATTAGGCAAAATGTTTGAATAAAGGTTCCTTCATTTGGCTTTAGTACAGCTGGCCGGTAGCATTGGTGAACCAAAATTTTATGTTTTATGTTTTTTAGATAATAAATATTTAGTATGTTTTATAAAATTTAAAACTAAGATGTCTGTTTACATCTCAAATATTAAAATATATACATATATATGTGTATTTTTTGATAATGCAATCGATTTTGAGACACTTACTAATGCATAAAATTGAAGTATTTAGAGAATTTAACGGAGTTGTTCAAAAAAAGAAAGAGAATTGAAGGGTTAGAACTTAGAATACGTTAAAGTTAAACTAACAGTAATAAATAGTATTATTTTGAAGACCAAGACATCTGGTTCTATGGTGTAGTGGTTAGCACTCTGGACTTTGAATCCAGCGACCTGGGTTCGACTCCCGGTAGGACCTCTTTTTGTTATTTTACGGGAATTTGGGCCTCTCTGTTATTATCCCAGAAGGACCTCTTCTTTTGCTTCAACAATGTATATTGCATTTGGGCCTTTTGTGTAATTATTCCGATCCAATAACACCCATGCTTTGTTATCAAAATATGTTTTTAGCTGCTTTATACAACAGAGAGGGTTGATTCTTTGAACCATAGTTCCATTGTTAATGGGTGGTGCTCGAGGTTCAGGAGCCACTTTCTTTGTTCCTAGATATAGAGGTTCTTTCCAAATGATTAGTTTAGCTTACATTGTGTATATTCTCTTGCTTTTGTTTCTTAGCAGCTTCACACTTTGGAACGTGTTTTGAGAGGATAACCTAGGACACATTGAACTTGGAATCAAATTATTGTTGTTGTTGAATCTATAAACAGCATGGAAGGGGAGTTAATGTTATTTTTTTAAAAAATGTTATTAAATTTAGTTTAGGAGAGATTTGTCCACCTGCTAAGGGGAGTTAATGTTATTTTTTTAAAAAATGTTATTAAATTTAGTTTAGGAGAGATTTGTCCACCTGCTAAGGGGAGCTCATCCAATATTTGGAAGCATCGATGTCCAGCTCGCCTTTACGCTACATCCAGTCCAGACCAACTCCACCTGCACATGACATTCTAGTGATTCTAGGAGAGGACGGTTCAAACATAGGTACTCTTTATGTTATATAGTCGATCTTTTCAAGGTCACTAAGCACAATCAAAATAGTCTAAGTCATGACTCATAACTTGAAAACTCACATTCTTTTTCTCAAATACTGAACAGAAGGTACAAGAGTTAATTAAATGATAATTAACTCTGACCATGTGGCAGTGGTGGTTCTTGGTTTCCTATCTACACCTCATCTACTGGCTATGGAACCTATTTGCATCTTTAAGAGCCCCTCAAGGAGAAAAAAATCTTGGATTCAACTCACAAAGGGTTAAAAAAGTGTAATTCGTACCAATACAAGAGACTAAATCTATGTGATTCTTTCATTTTTTGAGAGATTTGTCAAGAGTTAGATATCACAAAAACTCTTTGCATTGTTCAAGATTTTTCATAATTGTATTTAGGATTAATGGTCAACAAGCTCTAAACCATAAGACACCAAACCAAAGAAGATACAATCACAACGAGCAAACCCTCCTTCATCTTCCTCTAATACTAAAACTACTAACACTTCAAACATTTCCATGGCAGTCACCAAAAAAAAAAAAAACCAAACAAAAGACTCTGCCTTTTTTTTCTTTAAAATCAAGAGAACTCTCTCCCAAGCTTCTGTAAAGCACAAAACATCTTCCTTCTCGAACCCACAGCACTAATCCCCATATCCTTCAAATCCTCCAACGTCAACAAAGGCAACACCTCTTCATCAACTTCATGCATCTCAAACATTGGCCAATACCTCCCTAACCCTAACTCCTGTAACCATATCTTCACACCTTCTCTCCCTCTCCCCCAATCTCCCGACACCTCGTACCTTGTCGTCCCCCTATTCTCCTCCTCCTCCTCCTCCTCCTCCTCGTCCGAATCCTCCCTGCTGAAATCGCGATACCCTTCCTCCAATTCCTCCTCCTCCTCGCTCAATTTCACCCAATTCGACTTCACCCGCTTCGCCCCCGCCCCCGCCGTCGCCGCCGCCGTCGTTGTATCTCCGCCGGATGATTTAACCCATTTGTTGACACGCCAAGTCCCGATTGAGATCGGGTCTTCGTCCAGGGCGTACCCGGAGCTCAAATTCGTTAGCGCCCGGGTCCTGGAAGAAGGCTTCCCGCTCTGATTCGGCTTATTGTTACTCCATTTCGGACGCTCGTACGGGACTTGTTGGTACTGTTCGCCGCCTCCGCCGCCGCCGATGTCTCCTAGACGGACGCTAGGTCTTCTCAGGCGTTTCGATCCGACGGATACTCTTGCGGAGACTGCGGCGGAGGTTTCCGGTGCTTCCGACGGAGGGATGAGAGCTGAACCGTTGTTAATTTGGTGGGCTTCGACTAAGTGTTGCTGCTGCTGCAACTCAGCCATGGCTCAGTGAGAGAGAGAGAGATGAAGGAGGGGGGAGTTTGTCTTCTTCTTAGTTTCTTACTTCGGAACCATATCCTTCCAGTAACATGCGATGATTGGTGAAGATGACGAAGTGGATTTTTGTTGCCCCTTTTTAATTAGGGTTTATCTGGGGATATTTGGATGTGGAAGAGAGAGAGAGGGAATCGTCACTCGGAAGGAAAGACTAAAGGGAGAGAGATAGAGTGATGAAAAAAAGGTGTTGATAGTGGACACGTGTTTGTGGAGATACTGTTTTGTACTCATGGATTACTGTCTTTTTTTTTTATACAACCAATCAAATCGCATATTTTTCTTTGAGAATCATGTTTATAATTACTTTGCTTTAAAATAAAATCATATTTATAAACCTATCTTATTAAATCAGAAACATTAAATTGAACTTAACATTTATTTTGTAAGTTTTTAAATTAAATACACTTTTTTACTTTATAGTTAAACCTACATTAAATTATTAATATTCTATTTATAATACTATTCATTTATTCAAACAATATATTTATTTTTTATACTATTATTCACGTTTCCAAACAATATGTTCATTTCTTTATATTACTATTCATATTTCTAAATAACACTAAAATCAATCTTATGTCCAAACAATATACTCATTTCTTTATAGTACTATCCATATTTCCAAACAACACTATAGTTAGATCTCAGTTTTTAAAATAATTTCTCACATTTTCTTTCAAATAATATATAAAATAACGAAAATATACTTATTTTTACAGGTTTAAATATTACATATCAGTTATTAATTGGTTAGTCTTGAGTTTTACTGATTTAAGTCACTGGATAAGCGGTAAATAATGAAAATAATCTTTTTGAATTTTATCTGAGCTTTTCTAGTTGTGATAAATCTAATATATTAAAAGAGAAGTCGTGACTCTTTTAATGTGTGGTATTTAAAATAGACTATCTAGTAGAATTTGTCACATTACATTATTCATTCATTATTTAATAACCTTAAAATTAGTTACCTATAATTTTGGGCTTACCAACAATTTTTATTGGGCTAATATAATTGGATAACCTTGGATTTATAGTATAATAAAACACATGTTTAAATTAAATGGATATGATTTAGTTTTGTAATAGTATATTATCATAAGTTAATCATTTATAATATATTTGTCGATGTTAACTTTAAAAGTTATATAGTTTATTTTTAAAAAATAAAAAAATCATCATGATCTAACAATGATTAATCTATACTACCTTAAACCAATAAAAACATTTAGAAGTTATATAGTTTATTTTAAAACAAAAAAAAAACAAAAATTAAATGTTTAATTATTTACTCCATACTATGAAACTAAAAGTTTTATTTTTGTTAAACTTTCTAAATTTTAAAAATATTATAATATCTTTAAAGATGAGAGTAAAACAATATTTTACAAATCTTTACACATATTTACGACTTCAATAATGAAATAATAATTCAAACAATATATATATAAGAAGATACAAATAGATGCGAAGGTTTGAAATAATCTATTCGATGAAAAACGATGAAAAACTAATATATGATAAAATTATTATCTTTTAAAAATTGATATACATATCTCATATATATATATATATATCAATTTAGAAGTGAAAACAAATTATTTACAAAAATTGAAAACAAAATGTTTCTATAAAATAAATGAAAACAAACATTTGCGCAGTTGCGCGGTTGAGATCTAGTTGTTTAATTAAGTGTGGTTGTTTTGTACATATCGTAAATATAACTTTTGCTGAACAAATATTTTGATGGATATAATATGTGAAAGTTAAAACGATAATATAGTATTTAGGGACAAATAACGTAAACGGTGTGATTTAAAATGTCATAGTCGTTTTTGCAGAAAAGTTGGTTGACCTATTGATGTTTTGTGTCACATCGGTATCATATCAAGTGATCATTAAGGAGAACCCAGGGGAAAAATCACACCCTCGAGAGGTTTGAGGCAGGGAGATCCGCTATCCCCTTTTCTCTTTATTTTGTGCACTGAAGCTCTGATCTCCCTCCTTCAAGGAGCGGAGGAGGAGAAGCACATCCTAGGACTTCGTGTTGCCCGTGCCAGCCCCAGGATCTCACATCTCCTATCTGCGGATGATAGCCTCTTTTTTTTGTAAGGCAGAAGTGAGACAGTGCAAAGAAATCTTAGATATTTTGGAATCATATGGAAAATCTTCAGGACAACAACTTAATGCTTCCAAGTCCTCTATCATTTTTGGAAATAAGGTTGCCCATAACATTAAGCAATATATTAAACATGTCCTTGGGATTACTAATGAAGGAGGAATGGGAAAATACCTTGGACTGCCAGAGCAAATTTGTGGATCAAAGATGAAAGTGTTTTCTAATGTGCAGGATCGCCTTAATGGATGTGTAACCTCGTGGTCGGCTAGATTACTTTCGAAAGGGGGTAAAGAGGTTCAGATAAAATCAGTGGCGCAAGCTGTTCCGACATTTAGTGGGTCGTGTTACTTGCTTCCACAAGGCATTGTGGAGAAATTGAATAGTGCTACCTCAAACTTTTGGTGGAGCTCGAGCCAAAATAACCGTGGATTACATTGGAACGCTTGGGACAAGATTTGTGTTCCACATGACCAGGGTGAACTTGGTTTCTTAAACTTACATGATTTTAGTATTGCCTTATTAGCAATACAACTTTGGAGAATGATTCAGTTCCCAAACTCTCTACTTGCCCGAGTTTTGAGAGGAAGATACTATAATCGATCATGTCCTTTGGAAGACTGTAAGGTTTACTCGCCTTCCTATGGCTGGCGTAGTATTATGGCAGAAAAACCGTTACTAAAAGAATGAATACGAAAGACTATAGGAGCAGGCCTTAATACATGTGTTTGGACCGAGCCTTGGGTCCCAGACACTCATGCACGTCCACCGAGACCATCAGATCGTGTTACTTATAGACACCCAAAGCTCCTTGTTCACTCCTTTGTTAGGCGAGATACAAGGGATTGGGATACTAATCTCTTACTGGAGTATTTTCATCCTGAGGATATCCCGCTAATCCTCAATCTACGCCCAAGTAATACATGGTCTATGGATGGGTATGCATGGAACTATACAAAATCGGGTGTTTATTCGGTGAAATCAGGATATAACCGGTTACAATCGACTAAAGTGAGCGACACAGACGCTCACATTGTACAACCAAGTATCACTGGTTTACAAAGCCATGTGTGGAAGATCCATGCCCCTGGGAAGATAAGACACTTTATGTGGTAAGCTTTGACAGGGTGTATTGCGACAACTAAGTGACTCGCCTACATACACTTGGGTACTGATACGAGCTGTCCTATATGTGGTGACCCTGAAGAAACCATTAACCATCTTCTTTTTGAATGCCCCCTGCCCTTCAGGTGTGGGCTTTATCGGACTATCCGTCCCCTCCGGATTACTTCCCGAGTACATCTGTTTATCAAAACATGAGCTTCCTCTTTTGGAAGCCAGAAAACGTGGCCTATATGGAACCACTTATCGAGATCTTCCCATGGATCCTATGGTACCTTTGGAAGGCTCGCAATGACAAATTATTCAATGGAAGGAGATATCACCGATGGACACCCTTCAGCTAGCTACAATTGAAGCTGAGTGCTGGAGGAAAGTAAATATACCTGGCGATGAAGAGGATGAGGTATCCCTATCTACCCGAGGATTATTTCGACTCTCCCTGTGGACCCCCAACACCCGACCTGTCAAATTGATGCATCATGGATCGATAGTGGTACAGTCAGTGGATTAGGGTGGTTCTATAAGGATCAAATGGGAGTCGAAAGATTTGGACTACAAGGATGCCGGAAGAGCCTATCAGCCCTCCATGCCGAGATGGAAGGACTCATTTGGGCTATGTCTTGCCTTAGGAATCTCCATTGTAATGCGGTCCACATGGAGACAGATTGCTCCGACTTGGTGGATATGTTACATTGCCTTACTGACTGGCCGGCCTTTGCCTCCGAGCTAGTATCTTTCCAGCTTCTTAGATCCGGTTTCTTGGATTTCAGCATCACTCGCATACCCAAGACTAGCAATGCGCATGCGGATTCTCTCGCTAAAGAAGCAAGAAATAGTGGTACTCTTTTCACCCATATAGATCAGACCCAGACGGACAGAGCGCCTCTTCGGAACGTCTTAGACTCGTATACCACTTGATCTTCGAAGATAGGAGCTGCCAAAAAAAAAATGTCATAGTCTTGTAAACATTATTGTTTTGTCTTTTGAGCCACTCTGTCAAGGATTGTGATGATCGCATGAAGTTATGGATTAGTTAACCCGAAAGATGATATCTCTTAGGATTTCTTTAAAGAGGTATTTTATTTTAAAGAATAAATCATTTACATTTATTTTGAAAGATAGATTTTTGAAGAGGTTGTTGGATTATAGTGGAAGTCGCTAATCTTTTATATCCGTGTAAATAACACAAAACATTTCCGGTGAGTTATGTATAATTTAATGAAATGATTTCTTAGGAATGATAATTTAGTGGTAATTTTATATGCTAACGTAGGTGGATTGTAGTTGATGCATTAAACATTTACTTCAAAACTGAGTAAAATTTATTCATAATAGTTAAATTTGAAATTTGAAAATATTGTTATTTACCTTTGTTTTTGGTTTTGTATTACCGTGGTGATTTGGGTTTAAGAAAGTCAAACAGAATATTGTCGGGGATTTTTAATTTATATTAATAGTTTTATATATATACATATATTATAAATATGTCATAAGCAAATTTAGTAATTATATTTTTTTTTAAAAAATATGCTTTATTTTTTAGTTTATGATGTAAGTTTGTGTAGTTTTCAATTTCTTCACACATGTAAATCTTAAAAGATTATTAATAACATTTTATAGTTAATAAATTTGATTATGCTAACATTTTATAATTAACAATCAAAATATTATTTATGTTTTATTTTTGAAAATATGCTGTATCTTTTTTTTTAGTTTATGATGTATGTTTGTGTAGTTTTCAATTTCTTCACACATGTAAATCTTAAAAGATTATCAATAACATTTTATAGTTATTTAAAAAGAATTTTTATATACTTAATTATCAAAATTATTAATATTAGATATTTAAATGAGGATATATATATATATATATATATATATATATATATATATATATGAAGATGATATGATATTTATTATTGAGTTTATCTATCTTCTATAATTTTTAAATATTTTAAATATAAATATATCAGTATAATTATATTTATTAATTTTGTTATTTAGTAATAACTGTGTATGAATTTTTTTTGCGATTATAAAAATTATAACTGATTTTTCTTAACGACATGATTTATAATAAAAATTATGAATAATTTAATGTATAGTGTTAATAAAATCAATACAAACGATAGAATGACAAGTGTCATATTTTATCTCTATGGAGAGAAAAAATTCTACTTTATTATATAAGATATAATTTTTAGTTTAAATAATTAATATTAAATTAAATGTCAATGATATGACATTGTAAATTAAAATTTAATATTGCCTATGTTTCAAAATGTTACATATTATAGCATTTTTTATTTGTTTCAAAATTATCTATCTTTTATATTTTCAATACATCAGTTAATGGCGATTTGTAATTTTGAAAATGTTTATTAATATTCCATTGGTTAAAAGTTATAGGGAATAATTAGTTATAAAACATAATGTATTGATAATCAAAATTTCATAAATTTTTTGATGCTTGTATGGGCTTTCATTTTTTGGGCAAATCTCTAGATTGTATGGGTTTCTTGATCTTCTAAATGTAGGTTAATCAGACAGCTTGGGACAATTTAATGAGTATTGAAAATATAAAAGATAGATTATTTTGAAACAAACCGTTGGAGGAACCTGAGCTAGGTGCCAACGACAGCTATTCCCAGCGACATAATGATCTGACATATGTTAAGTTTCTACTTCCTGACCAAGATAGGCTTAGAGGAGATGTTATGATTGAGTCCAAGCAGCAGTTGCAAGAGCATGAGGAGGTAGAGGTATCGCCAGCTAAATTCTTCCATTAGATGTCCTTCTTCCTCCTGTTGTTCTTTCTCTTCTCTTTCTTCTTACTACTTTTGCTTTTTATGTTCTTGTTTGAAGCAGTAGCTTTCTCTTCTCTTTCTTCTCAAACAAGAACATAAAAAGCAAAAGTAGTAAGAAGAAGATACAAATACATGTGAAGGTTTGAAACAATCTATTCGATGAAAAACTAATATATGATAAAATTATTATCTTTTAAAAATTGATATACATATCTCATATATATATATATATCAATTTAGAAGTGAAAACAAATTGTTTAAAAAAATTGAAAACAAAATGTTTCTATAAAAATAAATGAAAACAAACATCTGCGCGGTTGCGCAGTCGAGATTTAGTTGTTTAATTAAGTGTGGCTGTTTTATACATATAATAAATATAATTTTTGCTGAACAAATATTTTGATGGATATAATATGTGAAAGTTCAACCGATAATATATTATTTAGTGACAAATAACGTAAACGGTGTGATTTAAAATGTCATAGTCTTGTAAACATTATTGTTTTGTCTTTTGAGCCACTTTGTCAAGGATTGTGATGATCGCATGAAGTTATGGATTAGTTAACCCGGGAGATGATATCTCTTAGGATTTCTGTAAAGAGGCATTTTATTTTAAAGAATAAATTATTTACATTTATTTTGAAAGATAGATTTTTGAAGAGGTTGTTGGATTATAGTGGATGTCGCTGATCTTTTATATCCGTGTAAATGACACAAAAAATTTCCGGTGAGTTATGTATAAGTTAATGAAATGATTTCTTGGGAATGATAATTTAGTGGTAATGTTATAGGCTAGTGTAGCTGGATTGTAGTTGATGCATTAAACATTTACTACAAAACTGAGTAAAATTTATTCGTAATAGTTAAATTTGAAATTTGAACATATTGTTATTTACGTTTGTTTTTGGTTTTGTATTACCGTGGTGATTTGGGTTTAAGAAAGTCAAACAGAATATTGTCGGGAATTTCTAATTTATATTAATGTTATATATATATATATATTATAAATATATTAGTATAAGCAAATATATTAATTATATTTTATTTTTAAAATATGCTTTATTTTTAGTTTATGATGTAAGTTTGTGTACTTTTCAATTTCTTCACACATGTAAATCTTAAAAGATTATTAATAACATTTTATAGTTAATAAATTTGTTTATGCTAACATTTTATAATTAACAATCAAAGTTATTATTTATGTTTATATTTGAAAATATGCTGTATCTTTTTTTTTTAATTTAAGCTGTAAATTTGTTTAGTTTTCAATTTCTTCACACACGTAAATCTTAAAATATTATTAATAACATTTTATAGTTATTAAAAAAGTTTTTTATATACTTAAATATCAAAATTATTAATATTAGATATTTAATTAAGGATATATATATATATATATATGAAGTTGATATGATATTTATTATTGAATTTATCTATCTTATATAATTTTTAAATATTTAAAATATAAATATATGAGTATAATTATATTTATTAATATTGTTATTTAGTAATAACTTTGTATGAAAATTTGTTTGCGATTATAAAAATTATAACTGATTTTTGTTAACGACATGATTTATAATAAAAATTACGAATAATTTAATGTATAGTGTTAATAAAATCAATACAAACGATAGAATGACAAGTGTCATATTTTACCTCTATGGAGAGAAAAAATTCTACTTTATTATATAAGATATAATTTTTAGTTTAAATAGCTAATATTAAATTAAATGTCAATGATATGACATTGTAAATTAAAATTTAGTATTGCCTCTGTTTCAAAATGTTACATATTATGGAATTTGCTTCAAAATGATCTATCTTTTATATTTTCAATACATCAGTTAATGGTGGTTTGTAATTTTCAAAATGTTTATTAATATTCCATTGATTAAAAGTTATAGGGAATAATTAGTTATAAAAAATAATGTATTGGTAATCAAAATTTCATAAATTTTTAGATGCTTGTATGGGCTTTCATTTTTTGGGCAAATCTTTAGATTGTATGGGTTCTCTTGATCTTCTAACTGTAGGTTAATCAGACAGCTTCGGGCAATTTAATGAATATTGAAAATATAAAAGATAGATCATTTTGAAACAAGTCGTTAGAGGAGCATGAGCTAGGTGCCGACGACAGCTATACTCAGCGACATAATTATATGAGATATGTTAAGTCTCTACTTCCTGATCAAGAGAGGCTTAGAGGAGGTGTTATAACTGAGCCTAAACAGCAGGTGTAAGAGCATGAGGAGGTAGAGGTATCACCAGCTAAATTCTTCCATCAGATGTTCTTCTTCTTCTTCATGCTGTTTTTTCTCTTCTCTTTCTTCTTACTACTTTTGCTTTTTATGTTCTAGTTTGAGAGGATGAGGAGGTAGAGATATCCCCAGCTAAATTCTTCCATCAGATGTCCTTCTTCTTCCTCCTCCTATTGTTCTTTCTCTTTTCTTTCTTCTTATTACTTTTACTTTTTATGTTCTTGTTTGAGAGGATGAGGAGATAGAAGTATCATTCTTCCATCAGATGTCCTTCTTCCTCATGTTGATCTTTCTCTTCTCTTTTTTCTTACTACTTTTGGTTTTTATGTTTTTGTTTGAGAGGAAGCTACTGTTTCAAACAAGAACATAAAAAGCAAAGAAAGAGAAGAGAAAGAGCAACAAAAGGAAGAAGAAGGACATCTGATGGAAGAATTTAGCTGGTGATACCTCTACCTCCTCATACTCTTGCACCTGCTGCTTGGTTCAATTTTAACACCTCCTCTAAGTTTCTCTTGATCAGGAAGTAGTGACTTAACATATGTCAGATAATTCTGTCGATGAATATAGTTTTCGTCAACACCTAGTTTAGGCTCCTCTAACAGTTCGTATCCATACTCCCTCAGCTTAATATTTTGAACATTTTGAAGCAGTGGGAGTAGTATAGATGCTTGTATGGACTTTCATTTTTTGGGAAAATCTCTGTATGGGAGTTCTTGATCTTAGAGCACCTCCAATGGTGTTACCCACCATTGGAGTCCTTAGAATTAGATTAATATTTTTTTTTTAGAATAGTTAAGGACCTCTAATGACAAATTTAGCTCCAATGGTGTTATCCATTATAAAATTCTTAAGTATTAAAAAATAATAAAATTGTAAAACATGTAAATTTAAAATTTTGATTTATTGAATGATAAAATGTAATGAAGAATTCAGAAAACTAATTTTCCAAAAAAAATAAGCACAAAAACATGTAAATTTTCTGCACATATTGTAAAGATCAGAGTCCAGAGCTTTACCCTTCTTTCTTGTCTCTCTGTCTGTGCTTCAACAACTGCTTCAAGTTCTTGTTTGTGGAAAGGATCAGCCTCTTTCATCTCTTTCCATGTTTCTGTTAGAGAGGTAGCTTTGAAGTCTTTGATGACCATTGAAATGCATATTACCTTGCACCATATTTATCAACTCTCCCACCGAATGGTCCACATGTTGCATTATCAAATTCTGCAACAACCACAAACATAAAACATTGTCAATAACAAAGAGATGACCTTACACGTTTTTAACACTTCGTAAAATCAAACACTTGACGAACCTGAAGCCTGGGAAGCTTCAGTACTGCTTTCAGGCTGTCTCTTGAGGTAGCCCCATCTGGCCAATTCACATATTTCTCCGGCGTGTCAGCTTTATAACACACCAAAAGACAAAACTACAGTTAAACTATGAACATATCCATCAATAAGAGCATGAAAAGGTGAGAATATGAAAACAAAGCATGAAAAGGATACATATAATATCAAGAACCATGTCACTCACACATCCGTCTCTGTGAGAGGCCTTTTAGATCCCAATGTCATCAAGGGATTAATCCATGAGAAGAAGATCCCTGTGGCCAAAAAAAAAAAGAAACAAATTAGAATAAAAGACTTGGGTGAGATTTAACAATTGTTTAAGCTTATGGAGAAGGTACGTGGAAAGGTTCCAGATTCTGTTGATTGGAGGAAGAAAGAAGCTGTTACTAATGTCAAAGATCAAGGAAGGCACGTGGAAAGGTTCCAGATTCTGTTGACCAAAACTCACCATCTTAAGTTGTTATAAGATGGAAAAAAAAATTGTATCTGAGTGTGATTTAGACATAGCACACAAAAATATTTATAAGGCTGATATTCTTTTAGGATTTGAAACTTTAGAAAGGAGGTCTAAGTGAGCTCACCTGAACTGCCACCCCGCTTATGTAGAGATACCATACATAACTGCAATGAAAACAAAGCTTGTATAAAAACAATGACTTCCATAAAACCATATAACAGCACAATCTCCTAACCTGGTATCGAACTCCTTGACTGAGAGAACAAGATGGCTGTGTGGAGACCTCGCTCACAGGGGAGACCTCGCCCCAAGTAAAAGCTTCAACCCCCAAACCTCGCTCACAGGGGAGACTTCAATAGATGTCATATTCTCCAGTCACAACTGGTCGTGGTGGTTTTAGCCATCAGATGGCTGTTGCTTCTCGAGACAATCACGTAGGGAAAATTTCAGCTCCACCTCTACCACGACGGAATATCTCTCCTGGAAAAGCTTCGATGGCTGTGTGGAGCGAAAGGATCTCGAATCTCTCGTCCTCCTCACTAGTCATTTCCATGAAAACCCCCAACCGAAAACATCCCCAAATCGATTCCAAAACAACAAAATTGAATCCTAAATCAAGAGGAAACATCATGCAAGACCCCCAAATTGAAACCCTAATCAATTACATCCATAAATCAACAACGGAAAGAAAGATTTACCGTGATGCTCTGTATACAGAAATCCCCTCTAGAATCGTCGGAGCTTTTTTTTTTTAATTTGAGACGAAAATGAAATTTTTTTTAGAAAAAAAGCGGTATACACATGTGCCAGCTCATTAAGGACTAATCCTTAAACCCCTTCCCTAAGGACTCTTTCTTAGCTACAGAAAAACAAAAATTATTATTAAATTCCCATTTACCTAGGATTGTACGCTAAGTATCTCTCACGTACCTGCGTTGTACATACTCTTATAAATGTAGATTAATTGGACAGCGTGTAGTTGCCTTTCAAAATATCGGGACGACAAAAGGTTTTCCATAAGACACCGAGTTATTACAAACGGCAAGATGTTCTAAGGAGCAACGTGAAAGCGGCAAGACTATCAAATGGCGATTGGGCGCGTGGCGTGTGATTTCTCCCTAAAACCTCTCCCCGCCTCATCCTCGGAAAGCAAGAACCCTAGCTTCTCTGCAAGTCTCTCTGCTCAAAGCTTAAAACCTCAAAAGATGAAATGTTGAATCTTTTCAACTTCAAATGGCGATTTCTAGTGTGGGTTTCGCTTGCAGATCGTATTTCCCTATTCGTAATCGTACCCTCCAGCTTCACTGCTTACGAAAGGTGACTCCTTTATATGGACAAATACTACAATTATCTATTCGATTCAACACTGCTGCTGCTGCAAATGAGATTGTGGATGAGCCAGATGGTTTCTCCAAGGTCGGTGATGGAACAAGTAAGTTGCCTTCATGAGTTCTTGAACTATTGCTACTGTGTTATGTGAAGTAAAGTCTGAATCTTTGATAACTCAACACAATGATATTGTGTTGATTGAATTGGCCAATGAAGGGGATCGTGAGTGGAAGCAGTTGAATTCGAAAGACCTTGGTATAACCAGTTCAATGGTTGCTAAGCCCACAAGACAAGTGCTTAATGGCCTTAAGAGCAAAGGTTGATGATTTTTATGTCTTTAACTAACTTTTGTCTTTAGATTTCTCCAAGTTTCAAAATTTCATTCAACTAATAATTCTTGTAATTGGGTTTTCTCTTGTTTTTTTGTTGTTGTTGTTCTGTAGGATATGATGTATACCTTGTGGGAGGATGTGTAAGGGATCTTATTTTGAAGCGGACACCAAGAGACTTTGATATACTCACTTCTGCTGAACTTAGAGAGGTTTGGTCTTTTTTTTTTTTTTTTTTGTTGCCACTGTCTACATCAACTCAAATCTGGTTTCATTTTTTTTCTTTTTGGGCATCGATTTTGTGTAGGTGGTTCGGACTTTCTCAAGATGTGAAATTGTTGGAAGAAGGTTTCCTATATGTCATGTACACGTTGGTGATGATATAGTTGAGGTTTGTTTTCTGTTTTTAACTTGTCAGTACAATATAGGCATTGCAAAACCAAAACCTCTACCAACTCTCTTTTTTCTGTCTTTCTTTTGTTTGAGTAGGTTTCGAGTTTTAGTACCTCCGCACAGAACTCTTCTAGAAACATGAGAAGTAGTGAGCTCAGAGAATCCAATGGCTCAGATGGTGACGAGGATTGTGTTCGTTTGAACAACTGTTTGCAGCGTGATTTCACTATTAATGGGTATTCTTGTTTATACTTAAGTGATTTTGATAAGTTTTCTACGTCTTATTTTTACTCACGTCTCTTTGTGTGTTCAGGTTGATGTTTGATCCATATGCCAAAGTCGTGTATGACTATCTTGGAGGAATTGAAGATATTAGAAAAGCTAAAGTGTGAATGTATCCTACTTTATTTTTTTTCTTTCAAGAATTATTTTTAAATCAAACCATTTTGGATGAACATTTATTCTCAATGTGGTTTCTACAATCACAGGTTCGAACAGTGATTCACGCTGGCACATCTTTTCAACAGGACTGTGGTGAGTTTTTTTAAAATAAACAAATGTTTATTCTATGTAAGCGTGTGGGCTAGTGAGTAACTTATTGTCATTCGTGATGTTTGCAGCTCGGATTCTTCGTGCGATAAGAGTTGCTGCACGTTTAGGTTTCAGAATTTCCAAGGAAACAGCTCATTTTATTAAGCATCTTTCCTTCCTAGTACAGAGACTTGACAAGGTAAGCTTTAGCTTACATTACTGCTGCATCTATCCTCTAAAGATGTATATGCTTTCGTGTCCATGAACTGTTCTGCATCAAATATTCAGGGAAGGATCTTGATGGAAATGAATTACATGTTAGCTTATGGATCAGCAGAAGCATCTTTGAGATTTCTGTGGAAATTTGGGATATTAGAATTCATACTACCAATTCAGGTAAGTTTCAATCAGGGTTTCACTTATGTCTCTTTGTTTTGCATTATTGTTAATGTTTATATATCTTACTTTGATTTCATAGGCAGCATATCTTGCGCGGAGTGGTTTCAAGAGACGTGACAAAAGGACTAACATGCTTCTGGTCAGTAAGAAAGCTCTTTCTTAGATAGATTTTGATGTGTTTGTCGCTTAGAACTTATTCTCAAGAAACTGAAAAAAATGAACATTTTATCACGCAGTCTCTCTTTGCTAATTTGGATAAGTTGTTAGCGCCTGATAAACCTTGTCACAGCAGTTTATGGTAAGCTACATCCATATTATCTGAATCCATATCTTATCTTAATTTTGGATAAGTTGTTATGGTTTATTATAAAATCTGGTGATTTAACAGGATAGCAATCTTGGCGTTCCACAAAGCACTCTCTGATCAACCTCGAAGTCCTTTAGTGGTAGCTACGTTTAGCCTTGCAGTCCACAACGGTGGAGATATTCTAGAAGCTGTAAAAATCACAAAGAAGATCACTAGGCCACACGACAGCAGCTTCTCCGAGCTAGTACAAGAGCCCAAGGAGGAAAATATCAACCTTCAAACACTATTAGACGAGGTCATGGATCTTGACGCATCAGTCAAAGACTCCTTAAACCAGATGACTGATGGTTATTACATTTCTAAAGCTATGGCAGCTTACCCTCAAGCACCGTTTTCAGATATGGTAACAATAAAAAAAAAATCTTTAAACACAAAGATGGTGAAGTTGATGTCTTAAGGATGTGTTTGATGTTGTTTTTTTCAGGTGTTTATTCCGTTGCAGTTGTACCTTAGAGCAGGGAGGATCTTTGAGTGTGTGAAAGAAGAGAGGCTAATGGGATTCGAGGCGAAGCAAGGAAGCAAGATTGAGTATGCTGCGTTGTATTCAGGGGATGTTACGGAGATCCGACATGTGTTTGCGAGGGTCGTCTTCGATACTGTGTTTCCGTTGAACCTATCTCAAGATATTTAAACAAATCTGTCTGAGTCCTTAAAGCTTGCAAAGAAACTTTTGTTTCTTATAAAATCTTCTTTTTTTTTGGCGCGCCCGAAGTTCGTTAGTTTCGTTGGAGTTTAAATGGTCAAATGACAAATATAACCCTATCTTATATATTAAAAGAGAAGTAATGATTTGACTTCATGAGTGATTTTTTTTTAAAAATGGACTATTACTAGAAAGTTATCTTATATTAAGGCTCTAACTGGTAACCATCACGGGAATATCAGGAACAAATAGGAATAGAATAGATGGGAATAAAATTATGGGAATGAAGAGGAACAACTATTCCTTATCAAATTTAATAAGGAACAAATGTGCTTAATAAATCTCTACAATAAAAGGAATGAGGAGGAACAGAAAGGAAAAACTATTCCTTATGAATGGTAAATTATTTTAGGAACATTAAGGAATGCATTGTTCCTCCTCATTCCTTTGGTCACCATTTATAGCCTAAGTCTCTAATAATTTTATCATTATTATATCTTATGAAAAATCATATCTATAATAACAAAGATACGCCTAACAATTTAGTTTTGGTAAATTATTCCACACCTTCCAACTTAGTCACGCAAAATATGTCAACAGATATAAGTTTAGGAATCTTATATATTAAAACAGAAGTCATGACTTGACTTCATGTGTGATTTTTAAAAAAAATGGACTATTACTAGAAAGTTATGTTACATTAATTCTCTAATAATCTTATCATTATTATATCTTATGAAAAATCATATCTATAATAACAAAGATACGCTTAACAATTTGGTTTTGGTAAATTAGTCCACACCTTCCAACTTAGTCACACAAAATATGTCAATATATATAAGTTTAGGAATCTTCTATTATTTATAAGGAAATATGTCAATAATAGTTAAATGCATCCACAATATATTAACAAAAATCACAGATTAGTAATATTGAATATTTATATACCCTAAAAAAATTTACACCATATACAGTAGAACCTCTATAAATTAATACTTAAATTAATATACACTAAATATCTCTATAAAATAATATAATTTTATAGTCTCAAATTGAATTTTGGGTTCAGTTAGTATATCGATAAATTAATATCTCTCTAAATTAGTAAAAAATAAAATTTTGATGTAGTCCCAACATTATTAATTTATAGAGGTTTCACTGTATATATATATTTGATAAATTTATTTCGATGTAAATTTTTAAAATTATCTTTTTTTAAAAAAAAACAAAAATTGTTTAAAAACTGCCTTTTTAATAAAATTCTTTATAATATTAATTTATGAAGCTATAAGTTTAGTTTTTAGCAAAAAATTCTTCGAAGTTTATATTATCTTTGCAAAGTAAAGTATACTAATATTTAATCAAGCTTTATTTATACTATTTTATCTTAAAATGAAATACTAATCTAACAAACAATAAAATATAGAAGAAGAAACAAACACATGTCTGAAAACATGCATAATATAGAAAATTAGAAACAATCTATTTGATTAAAACACTTATTATATAATATTATTATGTTTGAAAAACATTTACTATACATATCGTAAATATGTGATTAATATAATATATACCAATTTACAAGTGAAAACAAAATTTTTATATGGATAACTATAAACGAAAACAAACACCCGCGCGGTTGCGCGGGTCAAAATCTAGTTTACTCTATTAAAATAGAGTCATTCTTTTTATCTACTGATACAAGTTGTCATTTAAATTTGGACCCTTTCTAGAATGTTAAAAATAATATAAGTCATATAATTGATTGAACCGTATTACTTAAATTAAACTAACACAATTAATGTAAAGAGACGACCTTAATGTAAAATACCCTTCAAAATACGGCAGGTATCTATGTGTATACCGAAAACACATATTTTCTCCTACAAATATGGAATGTTCTAAAAGAATATATATCATCAAAATATTGAATATGGAAATCTACTAATTATATTAATATGGAAATCGTAATATACCATTTAGCATCTTAACAATTCCTTAAAAAAATGGAAATTTAATAATTATATGAAACCAATGGAAATTTACTCTATTAAAATAAAGTCTTTCTTTTTATCTATTAATACAAATTGTCATTTAAATTTGGACTCTTTTTAGAGTGTTACAACAAGCTATATAGATAATTGAACCGCATTACTTAAATTAAACCGATGGTTATTTATGGGATATAGTCTTGGGCTTACTTTGTTTTTAGGAAAACATATATGGTTTGATTTTTAGGCTTACTATTAACGAAAAACTCCAAAAAACATTGAATAAAATTTCTATCTTAATGGATCAAAAAAATCAATTATTATTTTCAGGCCCAAATGTATTTAATATTTTTAACAAAACAAAATTGTCTATTATTAATAATTTACTTAAATCATGTACTTTAAAACATGTTATTGTATTTTTTATTTTAAATAACAATCAATTTTTTGATAAATTTCAATGGTAACTTTTAAATAATTTATTTTTTATTTTTCTTAAATAATTTACTGATTTAAAAAAATAAATGTAAAGCAAAACCAAAAACCAATTCTAAAAACTACAACCCAAAACCAAAAGCTGAAAACGCATTGTTCTGGATAACATATTGTTATAATTTTTGCTTTTGTTTATTTACAAAATAAACTATTGCAATTTTTTTTTTAAATTTTTTTCATCTTTTCAGTTTTAAATTAGTTGTTCGATTATTTAAAATATGTTTGTTGGTAATATCAGTTCAAACTAACTCAGCAGATCTAAAAATTAAAAACCCAAACAAAAGCTGAAAGTCAAAAATAGAAACTTAAAAACTAAAAACCAAAATCTAAAAATAAAAATTGAAACTAAAAACTAATGAAAAAATCGTCACCACAAATTTTGATAAACTGATTTTATACCAAAACATTCTTTAAATTAAGACATAACCCAATTATATAAATTTGTTATAAAAAATTTCCGCGCTTTCAAGCGCGGGTCAAAATCTAGTCTTATCTATTAAAATAGAGACATTATTTTTATCTACTGATCAAGTTGTCATTTAAATTTGGACTCTTTCTAGAGTGTTACAAATAATATAAGTCATATAATTGATTGAACCGCATTACTTAAATTAAACCAATACAATTAATATAACATGGCGACCTTAATGTAAAGTATCTTCAAAATACGGCAAATATCTATGTGTATACCAAAAACACATATTTTCTTCTACAAATATGGAATGTTCTAAAAGAATATATATTATCAAAATATGGAATATGGAAATCTACTAATTATATTAAATTAAAATATGGAATTTGGAAATCTACTAATTATATTAATGTGGAAATCATAATATACCATTTAGCATCTTAACAATTCCTTAAAAAAAAATAGAAATTTAATAATTATATGAAACCAATGGAAATCTACTCTATTAAAATAAAGTCTTTCTTTTTATCTACTAATACAAATTGTCATTTAAATTTGGACTCATTCTAGAGTGTTACAACAAACCATATAGTTAAATGAACCGCATTACTAAACCGATGGTTATTTATGAGATATAGTTTTGGGCTTACTTTTGTTTTTAGTACAAATTATATGGTTTGATTTTTAGGCTTACTATTAAGGAAAAACTCCAAAAAACATTGTATAAAATTTATATCTTAATGGATCAAAAAATCAATTATTATTTTCAGGCCCAAATGTATTTAATATTTTTAACAAACAAAATTGTCTATTATTAATCATTTATTTATATCATGTACTTTAAAACATGTTATTGTATTTTTATTTTAAATAACAATCACTTTTTTTTATAAATTTCAATGGTAATTTTTAAATAATTTATTGTTTTATTTTTCTTAAATAATTTACTGATTTAAAAAAAAATGTAAAGCAAAACCAATTCTAAAAACTAAAACCTAAAACCAAAAGCTGAAAATGCATTGTTCTGGATAACATATTGTTATAGTTTTTGCTTTTGTTTATTTACAAAATAAACTATTGCAATTTTTTTTTAAAAAAAAATTGTCATCTTTTCAGTTTTAAATTAGATGTTCGATTATTTGAGATTTGTTTGTTGGTAATATCAGTTCAAACTAACTCAGCGGATCTAAAAATTAAAAACCCAAACAAAAGTTGAAAATCTAAAAATCAAAACTGAAACTAAAAACTAATGAAAAAATCGTCACCACAAATTTTGGTAAACTGATTTTATACCAAAACATTATTTAAATTAAGACATAACCCAATTATATAAATTTTAGTTATAAAAAATTTCTGCGCTTTCAAGCGCGGGTCAAAATCTAGTCTTTTATTATATATAAGAAAATATGTCAATAATAGTTAAATGCATCCACAATATATTAACAAAAATCACAGATTAGTAATATGAAATTTTTATATACCCTAACAAAATGTATACGCTATATAGATTAGAAAAACAATTTCGATGTAAATTTTTAAAATTATATTGTTTAAAAAAAAGAAATTGTTTAAAAAATTATCTTTTAATAAAATTCTTTATAATATTAATTTATGAAGCTATAAGTTTAGTTTTTAGCAAAAATTTATTCGAAGTTTATATTATCTTTGCAATTTGAAGTATAATAATATTTAATCAAGTTCTATTTATATTATTTTATCTCAATATAAAGTACTAATCTAACAAACAATAAAATATAGAAGAAGAAACAAACACATGTTTAAAAAACATGTATAATATAGAACATTTGAAACAATCTTTGATTAAAACACTTAATATAAACTAAATGTTTTAATATATAATATTATTATGTTTGAAATATTATGAATATAAAAAATTATATGTAAATATGAAAAACATTTACTATACATATCGTAAATATGTGATTAATATAATATATACCAATTTACAAGTGAAAACAAAATGTTTATATAATTAACTATAAACGAAAATAAACATCTGCGCGGTTACGCGGGTCAAAATCTAGTTAATTGTTAAATTGGTTGTTAGTTCCAGTTTGTGTGACTCTCGATTGTTTGATAAGTTGCTAAGCAATGCCATATGTATGACTATTTTATGACATATTTATTTATTTATTTTTGCCAATAATATCATGTCATTAAGTGTAATTAATCCTTAACATCATTTATACTTAAAAATTAATGTACATTAGAATATATGTAGTTGCAAAATTTGCGTAAAAAGACAAAATACCTTTTCAAAAGAAATAGATTTTGTTTGCCAACTATGGACTTAATATTATCATATACTTTTATTTGTCAACGATTTAGAGTATTATTACATTGACTTGTCATTGAATTTAAATCCTATAAAATCTACTATAATAATTAAAGAATTAAATCCATAAAGCAGTTGACTATTGGGTCCCATATTTTCCTCCGCTAAACCTCGCAAAAACCGCGCTCGACGCATGTGTTCTTCTTTCTTTCTCCACACTAAAACGCCACCGTTTTCAAACACCCTCCCTCACATCTTTTTAAAAACAAAACTGCTTGTCCAAAATCTCCTTTGCTTAACAGTTTGGTAATAATAAGTGATGGATCTCAGAAAACCAGGGAGCCGATCATCTAACAACATTGAATTCAGATCAACTCCGGCGTCTCCCGCTCACCGGAACCAAAACGTAGCCACCAAGGCGGCTGCTCAACGGTTGGCCAAAGTCATGGCCTTACAGCACAAAGAAAATGATGACTATGATGATGACGACGATGATGATGATGATC